AGACGGCAGGGGCAGAGGCGACGAGGCCCTAGGGAGCGGCACGGCGGGAGGCGCCGACGACCGGGGAGGCGCCAGAACAGCGGACAGGCGGACATCGGACAACCAGACAGCGGAAAAAGCGGACAACAGGGACATCGGACAGCCTGACGGCGGACAGCCGGACAGCGGGTCTCGCCGGGGTCCGACAGGGCGCGGTCGGGGCGGGGCTGACAGACGCGCCGGCGACCGTCCCCCGTGTCCTCCGGGCCATGTCCGGTGGCGGCGCGGGCGCTGCGTGTCCGCGGACAGGCTGCAGGCGTGTCCGGAGGGCTCCCAGCGCCGGCCCGGAGGCAGGTGTGTCCGCTGTGGCGTGCTGCCGCCGCTGGAGGACGGACGCTGTCCGGACGGCTGTGCCCGGACAGCGGACAAGTGCGCCTGCTGTCAGCCGGGTCGCCGACAAAAATCGGACAACTAACAGGCAGCGAACGGACAGCTAAAGCTCTTGACACGCGTGTGGTCGAGTCTGGGTCGGTGGCTCTTGACCAAGCCGCGCCGCCGGACAGAAAGCATGGCGCAGCAGACTTGTGCCTCTGCCGGTCACCAGCGACTGCACAACAGCACCAACCAGTCACCAGGACTAAAACAGCAGAGCCGCCCAGTGTGCCGAATGGCGTCATAAATAGCATGCCGAGATTGCTGATGCCGTGGTAGCGCGGTTATGGAGGCTCGTACATTCGGATCGATGTGACTGAGCCTGACGCGAGAACACCGCATGAATGCATGGTCTGTGCTGAAGTTTATTCAAACAAACAAAATAAATCAAAAAGGGACGAGAATATGTCAGCTATGTACCAAATGGCATACGGCCGGTCTGTGAATGGAGTTACCTATAACAGACGACTCCAAATCCGTATGCATACGAACCTTTATCTATGCTTGCTATCTTTCAAAATTTGGTCAGTATGATACCGATGTAAATTAAATAAGCACATTTGAGATAATTTTATGACCATTTCATAAAAAGAAATAGAACTTTAGGCTACACTGTCTTCCAGGGCCATTAGCTTGTGCCGAGGAGGGCGTTAAAATGCTAGATTACCAAAATATAACAATGATTTCGATAATATGAGATGAAATAACGCGCATTGATTAGTGTTTATGTTCTTGGCTTATGGCTTATTCTTGAGTGAGACTGAAGAGTCATGTCTTAATAGTTAATACCCAGGTAAATGCTTATTTGAAATTGTTTTAACGGACTTTCACTGGGTAGTGGGTAAAAGTTATTATTGGTCCCGGTACTCCGACTTGTATTGAAAAGTCTTCGATGGGGCACACATAGGTTTAAAACAGACAAAAATCAGGTAGCCATTTTTCGCAACACATCAATCAAATTTCTAAATATCCATGCTAATTTTTGACTGATACAATCAGCTGCTTAGTTATAAGATAGCCGCAATCGGGACTCGGGAGGCGAAATTGTCTGTTTGACCTGTCACGATCACAGAGGTTACACAAAGTCACCACCTACAAAGCGATTGATAAAAATGTGTGCGCCGAGTCGAATTAGATGCCGTTAACCCACGTCCCACTGAGCCCTACGGGGGGGGGGGGGCTATTTCATAGCCCCCCTCCTAACTCCGAAACTACTGAGCCGATCGTCGAAATTCAAACTGCATCTGAAAGTCCCGGAAAAACTGTCGAGCGAAACCTAATTTCATTGACCTCGAGGTCACCGATGACGTCACAGGTCACGTCAAAGTAAAAATTATCGTTATTTGGCTTGTTAACATTTTGGGCTCTGGCTGCCGTCTTACAAGTCAGATCAGGCTGATTTTTGGTTTACACACTCGTGAACAGATGCTTTAGATACCCTGAGGGTCCAAACTTGTACTTTGATTTTCAGGTCAGGGTCAGGTCATCATAGGTCACGGAAATCATATGTCATAAGTCGGTCACGTGACACATGTTTTATGGCCCATTTAGGTCATAGATTTCGAATTCGGTGTCGCCTGTGTCACTTGAGGCCATTTTCATCTGATTATAGCTGAGGTCGGGTCACTTTCAGGTCAAAAAAGGTCAAATTTCAAAGTTGAAATTTTTTCAACAAAAACATGTCTATCGGATGCATTTTGAGCTCAGGAACACGATGGTGCTATTAATATTGGTGTACGATGTCAAATTCGTACAGAAAAATCAATTTGAAAAAAAAAATTGCTATAATGCGTATAACTTGGCCATTGTTTAACCCGCGCCCGGCTGGGGGTCCTGGATTTCCACGCCCTGCTGGGGGGGGGTGTTTGAACACCCCCCCCCCCCTTCTAACTCGGCTCCTGGGCCACGTAGCGATACGCGGAAGGCGGCGTTCGAAAGAGCGTCAAAAATAATGACGAAATCACTTCGGTCAATTTTTGGTCAGGTCAAAGGTCAGGTCACCAGAGGTCATTGAAGGCAAAATTTCGCCGATTTCCAGGTCGAATGTCGACAATTTCCAAGAAGCCAGCGCATAACTCGGGAACCAATAGAGCTACAGCGCCGCGGAAAAGCGCATTCGATAGCCCTATTAACGCCCTTTCTGAGTAATTCTCTCAGATTTGACCTAACGTCAACGGTTTTGCCTGCAGGGGGCAAAAACTGCAAAAATAGCTGATTTTTTTCGGAAACAGTTTTTCTGCAATAACTTTTGACCCAAGCCTTGTACGAGCTTACTTTTACCAGCATCGTGTTCCTCTCGTCAAGACGCATCGAATGAACTATAACTTGACCTTGAAAGGTCAACTTGAAAATTTGACCTCAGGTCAAGGTCATGACCTGACCGGAAAGGGTCATGTTGCATATCAGTCGATCCGTATCGTCGAGCTGAACACATCTAAGGCGTTTTCATCGCTCTAGCATGCCTCTATCAACAGTTATTTGCGAAAAACTGTTAGATACCATTCGTGACCTAAGATGACCTCAGGGCATAAACAGGGGTCACGGACACCATTTCCATGTTCAGTGTGTCTAAACCACTTGTAATTCAGTGTTTGGGAGTGTTTATAATGTCTTTCGTCCAAAAGAGGCGCATTTCAATTTTCTCCCATTGACTTATAATGGGGAGGTCGCAAAATTGACCTGACCTTAGGTCATCGATATCAAAATTCTGAGATATACATTTTGTACATGCTATTGCTCTTAGCAATCGCTGAAAGTTTCAAAGCGATCGGTCACTCGGTGTAGCTATGACAGACATTGAAACTTTTTATGAGGTGAGGTCACTTCAAGTGACCTGGTGACCTGACCTTGAATGACCTTGGTCTGAAATTTTCACAACATGTGTAGAATTGATGTATGATAAGGTGTACCAAAAACGGCGGCGCTCCGCGCCGCCGTTTTTGAGATATTCGCGAAAAACCACAAGGGGGGGTGTTCAAACACCCCCCCCAGCAGGGCGCGGGTTAATATATCTGGCTAAAACTTGCTAGAGTACCTAAGTCATAAGCATGTGTTCTATCATACATATATTTGTTTTGTTTTTTTTGAAAAGTCACAAAGTTTTTGAAAAAAGATAAAAATACAAATTTTGAATTTTAATACATATCATTTTCAAAATTTTCAAAATTTTGAAAATTCGAGATAGCAGTTGGATAGCGCAGTCCATTCTGAGTCCTCTCATGCAAAGACATTGGATCTAGCTCAAAAACTGAGCTCTTAGGAGTGATTCCCATGGTTCAATGTTTTGCGTCGAAATCGGCGGAACATGACGTCACTCTGACGTCATTCCCGGCCGATCTATGATAGATGCGAAGTTCAAATTTTGACACAATGTGTCAAATTGATGCAGCCGAAGGCATTGAAAGTTTGGCGGCGATACGTCAAGCGGTTTAGAAGTTATTGCAGAAAAACGGGAGGGGGCTATGAATAGCCCCCCCCCCCGTGGGGCGCGGGTTAATGTCGCGATCGGCCCGGGAGTTGCTGAGCTGAAGGGCGGGTGCAAAAGACGAGAACGCCTTTCGAAGTCACAGCCTTTGCAAAGTTGACCCCTGCCAGAAGAATGCATTCACTATACTCGAGACGGTTAATCGTATACTATGTAAACGATATATCGTTGGTGCTGCGAATCAAACGCGGTGACACTTTACGTCAATGGCTTTTTTCGGCGGAAGCCCTGTTCGTGCACCGACCGCCCCATGAGGTCATCCTATAGCTCAGGAACGTCGAACTACTTTGCTAATTCGAAAAAATATAATTTGTTTGTCCGATCAGCTGTTCCTTATATTGTGACCTCGGTGACCTCGAAAGATCAAATTCCTAAACGTTTTCACCTTTTGCATTCATGTGAAAACGTAAGTGCATATTAAGATGTCACTATGTCCATATTTGAGCTTCGAAGTGCCCCTCCGCATATAGTTGCCATAGGAGCCAATCGTGAGGGGGGCGATCGCATCGACCCCCTCGCCCTGTCGAGTCGCCTTATAAAAAAATGCCCTGCCAGGGCGAGGGTTAAAACTTATAAGGTGGCTTGGCTATGAAAAGGCAATATCCCACGTTGGCCTGTTCGAAGCTAAGCTAAGGCCACTGCGGTCATCTGAGGACAACATATACAAAGTGGGTAACAAAATTTGATGTTGAAAACGTAGCTGGAGAATGGTCAAGACGAATAGGACATGCCGCCCCGCGCGGGTGGTGTCCACCTGGACCAAACCGCAGGCTGCACCGCAGTCTGGCACTCTGCAGTCCCAAGACAAGACCCAAGGCCAAACCGGCGAGCCCGGGCCTGTGACGGTGGATCTGTGGTGCTGGTGTCCGAGTACGCGCAATTCTTAACGATACTACAGAAAATCAAATATTTGTTACTTGTTAGTCTCAGTCAGCTTGGCACGAGTCACGAGAGGTCAAGCGAGAGGTGTTCGGAGTTGGCAGTGAAATTGGCTTGCTCTTTTTAGCAGCATTATTGTTCTATTGCTGATACATTTTATGCGTGGTGGCGACATACGCAGCGCGGTAATTTTTGCACACACGACAAGGCGTGAGAGGTTTGTACAGTTTTATTTTGGTTTTATTCATTAAATGCTTAGTAACGGATCCAGGAACCGTATGCTTGGATTTTGTTTTTATTCATTGCCGTGTATTTGTTTTTTTTTGTTGGACGCAAGAGCCAAGTTGCTACGCGCCCTAACCCACAGGCCACAACAACAACACAACGTGTATTTTTTTTTAATGCTTGGTAAATAATTCAAGTTCTCTTTCTATTTGAGGAAAATTGTGAATAATTACTAACATCAGATGTTGTAGGCGATATATGCCCCAATGCAGTGGCTATTACAATTGCCAGTACCATGTTGCGACCCTTGGCCCTACAAGGCGCTTTGAAATAATCTGTGATGATTTAATCTGAATCAGCAAGGTCATAATCTAATGATAAAATAAGTAAATTACACTGATCAACAGCCAAAAATGTACAGAGAGTTGAGCATTCGTTTCTACCTAATTCGAGGCCGCTGATTCCAAATCTGGTCACCGTTTTGTCCCATCGGGCTCAGTTTTTTGTCTGGCACATACTGATGCCTTAAATTCTCACTTTTTATGCATTGTTATTGGCCTATTGTAGATATCCTTAGATCTAGATTATATATCTTTTTAATCCATATTTACCACAGCCAGGCAACACAGATGAGCACAAAACTATTGAATTTGTTGGAACAGAAATGTATATCACACATCACAGCGCAATGTAGGTAATCACATATTGTACAATCACGGCAAAGTGCAATCAACCAACGGTATGGTCATCCATCTGTGCTACCTCTCGACCACACAGGCAAGATTTTTGGTCATTTCAAACACTTTGGCATCTTCCTTTCGCTCAGCAACTCTTCTTGTTAGAATCGCTTCTGATTCTTGCTTTGTCTCCTCCCCTGCTGACGTTCCTCTCTCTGCAGTGTCCAGCAGTAATCACCCATCATATTGGGAACAGACTTGCCCTGATATCTGCTCTCCATCACGGCGATGTCCTGATGGAACCTCTCCCCATGCTCGTCACTGACATCTCCATGATTTTCCGAAAGTAAATTGGATCACTAGCCATGTAATATAAAGACAGAATAACAAGCTGAGTACATGCACCTAAGAAAAGGGCGCAAACATACTGTAATGCCAAAACCTAACACGATACCCCATTTCTAGTGCCAGATTCGTATTTTGCACCCTAAATTACCCCAGACTCAGAGCTTTTTCCTTCGGAGTCACCGGCAATGTCATATAAAGGAAGAGTGAAATGTTGAAAATAGCCATTCAGAGCAGAAACACAGACATACTGGATCTCAAAAACCTAGCCTAATACGTCATTTCTGATGCCAGATTCGTGTTCAGCGTCACAAATTACCACAGAAATGGGTATTCTGCTTTCTGTACTATGACAAAAGTCAAATTTTGTTGTTCAGTGTTATTATTTATTTTCACGCTGGTGTGCTGGGTCATTTCCTTACTGCAGGGCTTTTATTTCAAAGCCAAGTCTCAAACTATCAGGACCTTGACCGGACTGTCACTGAACTCTTTAAGTTGATATAACCTGTTCAAATTTCTACAGATTATTAAAGGGACCCTCCCACCTTCAAAAAAGTTTATGAATTGGCATGAAAGTGATGTCGCTCGGTTCAGAAAGAGCGAAAACGAATATCTACCAAATTTCACCGAAAAATATTCACCGTTTTTCAAGATATTATACTTCTACTTTTGTTTACTTTTTTGGGATCTTCGCTGTTTCTAGCGACTTTATTTTAGAAGTGCGGCGTTTGCGGCAGATGTTGCGCGCAAATAGCATATACCACCGCGTGCTACAAAACGTTTTAGTCAAACATTTAAAAATCGTTAGATATCTGCGCTGACGTCACACATTCAGAGGGGTATTCCTAAGCATTAGCCCCTCTGAATCAAAATGCTGCAATTTTGAAATTCAATATTTCCGATTTAAGGCATTTCTCGATGTTGTGAGTGCCGAAACCGGTAATTGTGAGCCAGGGACCCCATTTTGGCTATCTCAACTCAAACCTAATGTTAAGGTGGGAGGGTCCCTTTAACTAAATTATATTTATATTTGCACTGGCCTGATAAAATAAATTCAGGATCTGAATTCAGGGGCGGATCCAGGAAAACTCCAAGGGGAGGGTCATGAATCGAAGTGGTGCCCCTACCTATGCCCAAAATTAAAAACTCAACGGATTTCGTCCACTTCATTTTGGTGGTGCCCCCATTTTCAGTTTTTTTTCTTTTTATTTTTTATTTTTAGTCAGTATCTTAGCTGTTAGCCACAACCACATTTACCAATTGTAAGCAAGTATATATGAATGTGCTATGTGCATAGATGCTATGTGTATATATGTTGTGGACGCTGAGTAGTGAGTACTTACCAGGAACGTTATCAGGTAAGCAAATCGTTGTCAGTCCGACGAACTTGACCCTGGCGTCTAAAGGGTCTGTCCTTGACACTTCAGGCTTGTCAGGGGCACCAAAGTCCTTCCAGGGACACCACAAACCTTTCAGGGGCACCTACGGCCTTGTAGGGGCGCCACAGGCCCGCCAGGGGCACCACAGGCCTGCCAGGAAGTAGGGGCACCACAGGTCTAGCAAGTATACACGACAGGCCTGTCAGGGGCACAACGGACCTGTTGGGCCCATGAGCACCCCTAGGAGCAGGGGCACCACAGTCCTTCCAGGGGCACTGCAGGCCTGTGAGGGGCACCAGCGGCCTAGCAGGGGCACCAGTCAACACAGGCCTGCCAGGGGCACCACAGACCTGCAAAGGGCACCAGAGGTCTGCCAGGAGCACCACCGACCTCGCAGGGGTAACTTGGGCCTGTCAGGGGCCAGGGGCACCACGGGCCTGTCGAGAGGCACTTCAGGCTTTTCAGGGGCACCATAGTCCTCTCCGGGCGCAGGGGTAGCAGGGGCACCAGAGGCCTGCCAGGGGCACTACAGGCCTAGCAAGGGCACCACTGGTCTATCAGGGGCACCACGAGCCTGTCATAGCCAGGCATCTCAGGCTTGTCAAGGCCCAGGGGCACCACAGGTCTGTGAGGGGCACCAGCGACCTAGCAGGGGCACCAGTCAACACAGGTCTGCCAGGGGCGCCACAGACCTGCCAGGGGCACCACAGACCTGCCAGGGGCACCAGAGGTCTGCCAGGGGCACCACCGGCCTCGCAGGGGCACCTTGGGCCTGTCAGGGGCACCACGGGCCTGCCGAGGGGCACTTCAGACTTTTCAGGGGCACCAGTCCTCTCCGGGCGCAGGGGTACCAGCGGCCTAGCAAGGGCACCAGAGGCCTGCCAGGGGCACCAGCGGCCTAGCAAGGGCACCAGAGGCCTGCCAGGGGCACCACAGGCCTAACAAGGGCACCACGGGCCTGTCAGGGGCACCTCAGGCTTGTCAGGGCCCAGGGACACCACAGTCCTTCCAAGGGCACCGCAAGCCTGTCAGGGGCACCAGAGGCCTGCCAGGGGCACCACAGGCCTAGCAAGGGCACCACTGGCCTGTCAGGGGCACCTCAGGCTTGTTAGGGCCCAGGGGCACCACAGTCCTTCCAGGGGCATTACAAGCCTGTCAGGGGTACCAGAGGCCTAGCAAGGGCACCACAGGCCTGCCATGGACACCACAGGCCTGCCAGGGGCACCACCGCCCTTGCAGGGGCGCCTCAGGCCTGTCAGGGGCACCACGTGCCTACCGGGGACACTTCAGGCTTGTCAGGGGCGTTACAGTCCTGTCAGGGCCCAGGGGCACCAGGCCCGTGGTGTCCCTGCTAGGCCTGTGGTGCCCCTGGCGGTCCTGTGGTGCCCCTGGCGGTCCTGTGGTGCCCCTGTCAGGACTGTGATACCCCTGATAGGCCGGTGGTGCCCCTGGCAGGTCTTTGGGCCCCCGGGCCTCAAGGGGGGGGGCATGACCCATGTGACCCCCCCCCCCCCTTGGATCCGCCCCTGTCTGAATTTGATCTGACATTATGTTTGTATTGATTCTCATTTCTCAGAAATCAATCAATCAATCAATTTTATTTAACATCCCATCATATAGGGACAAAGCATATTGGCATGATACAATACAAGGTGTCTCACACAGTTACACAATACACATCATATTCATGTGACACAAAGACGTACAAACAGCTGTTCCATGCAGCCTGTTCAGCGCAAACCAGTAATCCCGCAAACTTTAACAGGAGTGCTACGATGACACTCGTTGGGGTAAGACAAGCATATGGATCATGGCCCAGGCGTCGCCATTGTTCTGGGCCAGTAGCCAGCGCAGTGAGTCGGCAATACCATCCACTCGTCTGGGAGCGCTAATCAGGTCTCGTGACACATGCCCCCCAGCAACTCTCAATAGTGTTTCATAGTTCATCCCACACAGTGAGAGCATGTGACTTACAAGTGAGCCTGGGCAGTGCAAACGGGTCGAATTGAGCGCAGTGTGAGCCAGATCACTTAACAAAACACGACGAAGGCGATGCTCCCCGCGAAACGCGTCCCTGAAAGTATTGAATAAAGCTCGACGGAGAACTTCCTGCACACTCGGAATCCGTAGTGCCGCCAGTAGAGCTGTATGGTGCGCTGTGCGAGGCAAACGCAAGGCCGACTTGATTGCAGTCGCCTGCCAAGAATCAAGACGTAATATGTCCTCTGACCTTAAAAAGCACACAGCGCATCCATAAAGCAGAGCTGGCGATACTACCATACGCCAAAGATAGGCCTTGTCCACTGCAGTCAAATACGAATTGAACATGCCGGCCGGCGTGAGGCCGAAGAAAGCACCTCTTCCCCGGCGCATTCTTGCGCTGATATGGCCTGTAGCCTGTAGCTGCGATTGAAGTTGTACACCCAGATGCTCTGTCTCTTGTCTAAGAGACAAGGTCTGACCACATAAGACCCATCGGGGCACCTGAGCCAGTAGTTCTTTTCCAAATATAAAACAATGACTTTTTGTTAAGTGAGGGTTCGTGTGGACGAATTCTAGCCTAGAGCTCACTGAGAAAGTTGTCACAATGTCAAGCAATTTTTGCAGATTTCGCACGTTATTTGACATCAACAGCAGATCGTCTGCATAGGCCACTACGGGAATGTGATGGCCATGTACCGACGGGCCCAGTCCGCTGTCATCAAGCTGCTGGATCAGTGGCAGCAGGAACAAGTTAGTAAGGCAGGGTGACAAGAGAGCTCCTTGTCTCACCCCTCGGCGTACATCGAATGTGTCTGAAAGCGCTCCACCGAATCGGACTAGCGTTGTTAAATGTGTGTACCAGTACGCAAGGAGAGCCCAGCTCCGCGGAGACAGATAGTCGTTTGCCCTCAGTAGGACGCCAGAGTGCCATATGCGGTCAAAACATTTTCGGGCGTCCAGATTCGCAACAAACACAGCGCATTTACGAGACAGATAATACTGTGCTGTCCTGTCAGACAATATGGTTTGCTCTCTTGTGCCGCGCTTAGATAGGAAACCGAACTGAAGCTCAGACGGGCGGAATGTGGTGCCTAACTCTTCTAGCAAAATCAACTCTAGTAGTTTAGAAACTGTGCCTACGAGAGAGATTGGTCGGTAGCTGTCCGCGCAGTTGGGGTCAAGGTCATTTTTCTTTATCAGCGGCACAACTGTGCTTTTCGTAAAACTATCTGGCACACACATTTCGTTTAGGCATGCGGTTGGTTAGAAGGCTGCTGAGAGCCTGCAGGAGGACTGGAGAGGACCCGTACAGGAGGTGTTCTGCCGAGACTCCGTCGGGGCCAGGAGACGCGTCACGATTCAACTGTGGTAGCAGACGCGCGACTTCCTCGGCAGAAATTCGCTTACCGGGACCCGGGTAAGCTCGTGCTTCATCCATTAAAGCCAGAACTCGCCTATGCACTCCCTCCTGCTCTGATGAGAGTGTCTCATCGTCGGTGTGAATAAGACCGAAATGGTCTCTGAAGTCCATCGCTGTGAGCGTGGAGCGCGGGCTAGCTGAGCCACGGCGTGCGATTTCCACGCGCCGCCAGAATGCCCTGATCTTTCGATCACGTCGTAGCGCCGACAGAATGCGGGCACCAGTGTCAGCCTTGGAGCGCGCCGCCTCTGAACGCGCTCGTCTATATGCTCGACGTGCTGCTCGGAAACAATCATGCAACACGGTATTCCGCGGTTGACCAGCTTCAGTCCACAAGCAGTGCCAGAATCGGGCCCTGTCACGGGCGGCTGATGCCGCAGGAGTCCACCAGGACTTAGGTGGCTTCCAGCCTCTAGAGCATCCAACATCGGCAGTAGCCTCATGAATGGAAGCTGTCAGCTGTCTGTCAAGTTCATTTACCGTGGAGCAGTGAGGGATACGCGCTGACAGCAGATCCGCGAGGCGTCTGCAGTAAGCATCATTCCTTTCATCGCTGCTCCAGTCTAACACTACACGGTGACTGGAGTAATCATCTCGAGCTTTGGGTGCACAAAGTGTGTGGCCAACTGGGAGAGATAGTATACAGCACATTGGCAGATGAGGACTGAGGTTATCAGAACACGGAGAAAGTATTTTGCACGATAGGAGTTTGCTGCCGACAAATGAGTGGGGCACAGCAATGTGATCTATGTGGGTTTGATGTCCTCCTCGCTGATAGGTGAAAGTCTCAGACTGCTCAAACAAAATTCGGCAACGATTAGATCCTGGAGATCAAGCAGCCGCTGCATTTCCAGACTGAAGGCATTGAAGCCGCGAAGCTGGGCCCAACTTGCCGGCCGCTGGGACAGTGGCAGCGAGGGAGAGGGCAATTAAAATCACCTACCAGCACGAGGTGCGTAACAGCTCGATAAGCGCACATTAAAACCTCCAGGCTCGCACATGTATCACGATACTTGTCTAGTTGCTCGAAAGACCCACAAAAATAAGGCATATAGCAACCAATGATGATTAAAAGTGGCCTAACTCCAGCGTTCACCTGTACCCCCAGCAATCGTGAGTCTCCAGATTGCAATTGGGAGAAGGTGAGGAGACCGCTTTTCCTGCAGAGCATGGCAGTGCCACCGTGCCGTCGCCCTTCCCCGACACCGGGCGGAGTGTCCATAGCAAATGTCTGCAACACTTCAATGTCATTAGCACCGTAGCTAAACAAAATATTACAGATCAAATTTGCTTCCGCGCAAGAGAGCCACGTTTCGGATAAGAAAAGTATGTCTAGGTCAGCCAGTAGGTCAATAATGTAAGCGGCTGCAGTTAGAAAGCCCTCACAGTTGTAGGAGCCGATGCGAAACTGACGAGTGCTTTGTTGGTCCACTGCCGTAAGCTTAGAGTTACTGGCTGAACCAGGTTCCGTTACCGTGCATGATGGCGGTGGCTGGGAGAACTGCTGTGTCGGAAGTTCTGAATTTTCGCGAGTCATGCTGCTGCCGGTGCGGGAGGCTTGGCCAGCTATCGGTTCGAAAGAGGTTTGGCTGACACTGATCATGGTGCTGCCACGAAAAACCTCCGCTGGTCTGTCGTTGCTGCTGCAGCTGAAGCCCCTGCATTTGCGGCTGTTGCGGAGGCGGCGGCGGCGGCGGTGGTGATGGTGGGGGCGGCGGCGGCGGCGGCGGCGGCGGCGGGAGAAGCCCGTGCCGGGTCTGGCACTGATACGGGCAGGCAGGCACGGGAGGAGCCTGCCAGGGCTGGGTTCGCTCTAGCCACTGCGGTTGTGCCAGCTGCTGCTGCGCATGCAGCCCCTGCCATTCAGCTGGCTGTTGAACTGGTCTGGTCTGGTTGGGAGACTGGCATTCCCATGAAGTCTGGCCTTGGGGCTGCGCCCACGGTGGGCAAAGAGGTAGCCGCCGTTCCATTTCCTGCCCTTGCCTCCAGTTTCTCTGCTGTAGAGATTGGCGACCTTGAAACTCCGGAGGCAGCTGGCGACTCGGGTTGAACTGGCGATTCCTCTGCTGATGCTGAGTCTGTCCTCGGCGCCCACGTTGCGGCTTTTGCTGCATGGTAGTGCGAGCGGGTTCCGACGGATGCTTTCCGAGCGTCGCGTAGGTGACATGGTCCTTCGTGTGTATATCCGTCTTCCTTACCCGGAGTCCAAGTGGCCAGTTAGCTGGATTAAGGACAAGTTCTTGGTCACAGCTATCAGCTGAGAAAAGGAAGGACTTCCATTTGGTCTCACCCCGAGGGTCTAGTTTTCTGAATCCGCTGAGATGCACGACGTTGGATACCACCCTGTGCACTGTGCTGTCAGGGGTGTCAGAGTTGACCCCTTCTAGGATGAAGGTAGCAGGTGATGGGCTCAGGGGCGTAACTCTAATGTCAGCCACGCTACCGGTGCCCGCAGAGGCAGGTGCGCCGACGTTATCAATGATGACGCTACACTGGACGGGCCCACGATTTGTGCTCGGGCCGGGAGGAGGCAGAGGAGCTGAATCGCTGCTAGTTCTATATGGCAATCGACGCTGCTGGGGCTGTGCTACCGACTCTTCGCTGTCGCTGTCACAGTCGGTGCCAGGCGGACCGGAGCGCCGCTTCATTTGAGCGACTATAGCCTCGGCGAGCTTATCAATGTCGAGGCTGCGGGTCATCTCAGTGGCGAGGCTCGGTGGTGACTTGGTAGGACGATTGGAGTCTCGTTGTCCAGTTCCAGCACGGTTTTCTTCCGAAGAGGACGCAGATTCGATATGTTCACATGCAGCAGGGTGGGCTGAGGTGGTCGCAGAGTCACCCCTAACTGCGTTGGCTGGAGCGGCTGGATTGTTGGACGCCGGTTCTGTTGGTTGTGCCGGTGCCTGAGCTGCTGCTCCTGTCTGTGAGGTTGAGGGAGGGCTTGTTCCCGCTTCAGCTGCGTCTGGACCGCTGCCCGACTCTCTCGGGTGAGTCACACTTGAAGCCGCAGAGTCTTCGCTGGTATTGGAATCCGCTGGGACGTCGGCTGGCGCTGAGCAGTCTTCAGTGTTTACTGCCTCCGCTACAGGTTTTGAAGTGCCTGCTACTATCAAAGCGTGCTGAGGGGGCAGTCGGTCTGATGAGCTGGAACCGGTAGGAGGCGCCATGTCACACCTGACAGCTCGGCTTTCCTCATTGGTCGCACACCTTGCCACGCGCTCCTCCAGGTTAGCAATGCGAATCTGTTGGGCCGCGATAGTTGCTTTCATTTTCCCCCCTGAGACTCGGAGATCTTGAATTTCTCGATCCAACCGAATCATGTTGTCCAGCATTGCTTCCATATTTGCGGAGTCAGTCTGCGACAAAGTTTGTGTGGCCGAGGAAGATTGGCCGAGACTGGCTGGAGCACGACGATCCGGCGGCTTCAGAACACTGTCTGCTTCCTTCAGAAGTGCTTCTTGGGCCATCGATGCACCAAATGCCCAACAATCATCAACCAGTTTCGATACATTCCCTGGCATACGCTTCGTTAGAGGTCGTCCTGCGATAGCTGGTATTGCGTCTACCAGGTGCAAGTGGAGTTGATCTCGAAGATTTCGAAGAGACGACTCATCTAACGTTGCGAGTTTTTCTTTGGCCGAAAGTGATTCTTGATTGAAAAAGATGCTAATGTTTGACAGGATGCTGTCAACTTCTACCACCTCGGCAGGGTTTGTCATGGCTCAGGAATAGATCGTATTTCTTCAGCGTTTTGCCTTCTTTTCCTTGACAGTTCCTTGACCAGTTCCCTGACAGTTCCTTGTAAGGGAGGGGATCTTGTAATGCATGAATACCAGCACAATTTCATCAGCATCTTAACATTGTTTTCACATCTTGAAATAAACAGAATCACAGTCTCTAATCACAGTCTCACAGTCTCACAGTCAGAATCATAGTCTCTAATTCAGACTTATTTGACAACTTTGTTGTTTCTGTATTTTTTTCCAATACTTTCCAACCAATTTTCTTGTTTTTTTTTCCAACTGTTATAAGTGTCATATTTTTCAGAAAATCGGTTATCAGCATGCCTTCACTTCCTACATTAGCTAAGATTGCTGGCTGTGGAGCTTTACTGGTCAGCGGAGCCTTCTCCTTCACACAATGGAAAATAGAGGTCAGCAGAAAGAAAGGAAGGACAAGTGGCTGTCTGCTAGTGGCAAATATTCTCTGATGATTTGGTTGCACTTGCGTCTTGTCACAGTCCATTGCCCTTGAGGCTGGATTTACCTAATGATGCTTTTGTACTTTTTAATTACCTATCTACCTTGTAACTTGAAATACTTGGAACTCACTTCACTTCAATGAACATTCAACATTGCATCAGTAATTACTCAGTTACTTGCTATCAATAAGGGGTCAGTAATTTGATGTAGCCTGTTTATTTAGCTATGACCATGGGAGGAAACAAGCAGGGTTGGGCATGGCTCTTATTCTCCTATAAACCCTGAATTAAAAAATTAAATTATTGTTGGTTTCCTTTCATTTTAGTGTTGCACAACAGACAAACATTATGGAATCCGCAGCATGGTGAAGTTTTGTTTTTGATTATGTTCTAGGAGGGCCTGAAGAGTGGCGCCTGGTACACTGAGTCGATGCGTCTGTTGCGGGCCCACCGCGGCGCCGCTGGTTTGCTCGGAGAACCGATAGTCGACGGCAGGCTGGACCTGGGCAGCAACGACACCAACTTCTGTGATCAGACACGAGCCCAGTTTCGCGTGCCCGTCAAAGGTGGGTCATTATGTGGAACCTTAGGTCAGAAACTTCAGCTCCTCGCCCGTTCAGTTCAGCTCGTCTCGTAGACGGTGCGGCTACCTGTCATCTACCGTTTGAACAAGGCTGACATCTAGCGGTTCCGTTTCGAATTGTCGCTAATCGCTGTTCGCACGGCAGGCTATTGGCCGGCAGGATAGTGGTCGTGGACGTGCACTTAGACATGTGTGTTGTGAATTTAGTTGTGACTCGCTATTAGATCTGCGTCGTTTTGTTGTGTTGCATTTAATTGATGTCACGGATGTGCGAATTGGAGTTGAGTGTTTTTGCCGCGTTGGGAGGTGCGGTCGTGGTGAGTCACGTGACCTTTGTCAAGGCTGGTATTTTGCGCCTTATTGTTGTTGTCGGCTAGTTTCGAGTGATTCTGAAGTCTGAAGTTCTTGATCGGACGTTTTGTTCTTTTTTTGGCTGAAATCGATGCTTGAAGTATTCTCTTTTCAACATGGGTTTCAATACAGAGTGTGATTTAATTCGTTACATTTGGTGCCGAAACGCTCGGGAACGGGATCTTTGATTTTCGTTTTGTGATCTCGCGTCAAGATGAGCACTGAGAAGCTTCGAAAGAGAGCGGCAGCGCGAGGATGGATGAGTCGCTGTCGCCGTAAGTTGGAGGAGTTGCTCGAGTGCCAAGACATTGATGTAAGCGCCCTTCAGACAGCTAAAGGTGATTGTGAGAAAAGACTGGCACTGTTGGATGAAGCACAGTCAGAAGCCGAGCTCAGTTTCCCCTCAGAGGCAGAGATGTTAGATGACATTGAGAGTGCTGCCGAGTTCCGAGAGGGGATAACTGATGTGCTGAACAGAGCTGATGCTGTACTGAGCAAGAAGCCCTCAAGTTCCATTGGATCCTCGCAAACAGGCCACCTGCAGCTACCCAAACTAGAACTACCAAAGTTTGGAGGAGATGTGCTGCAGTGGCAGTCCTTCTGGGAGTGTTTTGAGGCCGCAGTGCACAATGCTGATCTGCCTGAAGTGACCAAATTCGCTTACCTGAGATCATTCCTCGTGGGTGAAGCCAAGGAGAGTGTCGCTGGCCTGCCTCTGACTGGAGCAAACTACAGCAGTGCTTGCGACCTGCTGATGAAGAGATTTGGGAGGAAGGAGGTGGTTGTCTTCTCCCACATTCAGCAGCTGCTCTCTGTTCCGGAGGCGTCATCCTCGAGCGTCCCATCCCTCCGAGAACTTCAAGACCGTCTTCAGGTCCACATTCGCAGCTTGGCATCACTGGATGTCGGAGGTGACCGTTACGGCATTGTTCTGGTCCCCTGATTCTGTCGAAGCTGACCCCAGACATTCGCCTCGAGTGGGCCCGTGAGGGCTGTGGCAGGGAGTCGGACCTGGATTGGCTGATGAGCTTCCTGTCTGAAGAGATCAACCGCAGGGAGCGATCCTGTGCGTTCAGCAGACTACAGGTGGCGTCTGCTCGAGAGACTGCTGCGTCCACCGAGAGTCGACCGAAGACCACAAACGGCCCTCAGCAAAGGAGGAAGAAGGAGCCGCGTGAAAGGGTGCCAGCAGCAGCAGCTCTGCAGTCAGGAGCGAGTCCGGGGTGCCCTTTCTGTGGGCAGACACACCAGCCTGAGGTATGTGTCAAGCTTCAGCCCCTGTCTGTCCCCGAGCGTAGAGATGCCATCCGACAGGCAGGACTGTGTTTCCGCTGCTTGCATGCTGGGCATGTTGCACGAAAGTGTGGGGCAGTGTGCGCTGAGTGTGGTGGACGGCACAATGTAGTGTGCTGTTTCAAGCTACATGGAGGGGGTATGCAGCACGATCAAGGGGGTGCGACAGGAGCCAGTGATAGCAGTATCCGTAGCAGTGGCTCAAACCCAGCTCAGCATCCATCCCTGTCATGCAAGAGTGGTGGTCTGGAGAGGAGCTGCACAGTGCTGCCCACCGCTCGTGTAACTGTAGTAGGTCGCGGCGGACAGCGAGTAGAAGCCACTGCGCTTTTCGATACAGGTAGTGATAGGACATATGTCAGTGACAGACTCGTTAAGTCAGCTGAGCCCGAGTGGGTAGGCTCTGAGACAGTATCCTATGCGGCATTTGGAGGGACTGGCTCATCTGCTGAGCACAGAGATGTGTACCGAGTGGAGATGGTTGGCTCCAATGTAGCCTCTCCGACAGCCCTTTCCGTTCAGGCTATCAGGATCCCTGTGATATGCATGCCACTCCAGCGCCCACGCATGCCTGCTGCTGTGCTGCAGTCCTTCAGTCACCTGGAGCTGGCTGATCCGCCCTCTGACAGACAACTGACTGTAGACATACTGGTGGGGCTGGACTGCTACTGGGATCTGATGAAACAGGGTGAGATTCGGCTGGAAGGGGGACCCGTGGCGCAGGAGACCGCACTGGGGTGGATCATCTCCGGTAAGGTGAGTGCGCCAGATGGTGCTAGGACGGTGGGCAGCGCCACAAGTCTGCTGTGTCTTGGTGACATTCACGAGCGGTCACTGAGGCGGTTGTGGTCCCTCGAAGGGATTGGGATCAGTGAGCCAGAGGAGACCGATTCTGAGGTGCTTACCCACTTTGATGCATCTGTGAGCAAAGTTGATGGTAGGTACGAGGTGGCGCTGCCGTGGAAGGCTGGTAGCGAAAAGAAACTCCAAGAAAACAGGTCCGCCGCTGAGGCGCGCCTGTCGGGTCTGTCTCGTCGGCTGGACAGAGACCCAGAGCTGGGAGTGGCCTATTCGGAGGCACTCCAGGAGATGGAGCAGTCGGGTGTGGTGGAGGAGGTTCCCAGCCACGAGCTGGATGGTCCTTATCCTTGCTTCTACCTGCCTCACCGTCCTGTTGTAAAGGAATCCAGCACTTCGACTCGGGTGAGACCGGTGTTTGACGCTTCTGCAACCGGTCCCAATGGTGTCTCGCTCAACGATTGCCTTGAGGTGGGACCGTGTCTGATTCCCAGTCTTGTAGACGTGCTGCTTCGTTTCAGACGCTGGAAGGTGGCCGTGACGGCGGACATCAGCAAAGCCTTCCTGCAGGTGGGCCTCAGGAAGGAAGACAGGGACGCTCACAGGTTCCTCTGGATTCATGAGGGTCGGAAGCGGGTGATGCGCTTTCGAAGGGTGACCTTTGGGGTCAGCTCCAGTCCGTTCTTGTTGAACGCGACTATCCGCCATCACCTTTCAAGGTATCCCTCCTCTCGCGCGATAACTGAGATGCTCGAGAACTTTTATGTTGATGACCTCCTTTCGGGAGCCGACTCTGAGCAGGAGGCGAGCGCTCTGCTGACGGAGGCTCAAGCCGTGATGGCTGACGCCGGTATGACCCTGACGAAGTGCACGTCAAACAGCTCAGTGATGTTCGACAAGGCTCACGCTGCCTCTGGCACAGGCGAGCTCGAGAGTGTGAAGGTCCTGGGGGTGAGTTGGAGTCCAGCTGAGGACGTCTTCTCGTTCGAGGGCCTCACTGTCCCTGCTGATGTGACTCCGACCAAGCGTGTGGTGCTGAGCTGCATAGCTCGGCTATTCGACCCCTTGGGGTTTGTTGCTCCGTTCGTGATGGTTGCAAAACGCATCTTCCAGGAGCTGTGGAAGCTCGGTATTGGGTGGGATGATGAGCTTCCCTCGGAGTCCAGCCTGATGTTCATGGAGTGGCTGAAAGGTCTGGAGCTGCTCCAGCAGATTCACATTCCCCGCTGCTACTCGACTGAGGGCTGGAACCGTGGTGCTGGCGTTTCGATTCACGCCTTCGGTGACGCCTCTCCTAAGGGCTACGGGGCAGCGGTCTACCTCCGGGTCTCCCAGTCAGATGGCTCTATTGAGGTGACCTTGGTCATGGCCAAGACGAGGTTGGTGCCACTGAAGAGTGTTACTCTGCCACGACTTGAGCTACTGGGAAGTCTGCTGGCTGCACGCCTAGCCGTTCTTGTGAGGCAGGCTCTGAGGCTTCCTGATGACACAGAGACTCGGTGCTGGACAGACTCGATGATCGCACTAGGATGGATCCGTGGCGAGCCTAGGCGATGGAAGCAATTTGTTGCAAATCGAGTGACGGAGATACAGGGTCTGACCGCTCCGTCGGACTGGTCTCATTGTCCAGGTGAGGAGAACCCAGCAGATCTGACGACCCGCGGAGTATCGGCTGAGTGTCTGAGCGGATCGGAGCTGTGGTTCCGTGGTCCCAGGTGGCTGGCTACGCCTCAGGCTCGTCCCGGGGCTGATGAGTCAGTGCCTCTCGTGTCCAGTGAAGAGCTGCCGGAGGCAACACTTCTGTCGTGCGAGCTGGATGATGCCGGTGTCTCGGTGGTTGGGAGCGCCGGCCTCCCAGCTCTGGTGACTGCGGCACAGAGTGCCCCAATATTCGACTGCAGCCGGTGGTCGTCTATGAACAAGGCGGTCAGAGTGGTGGCTTGGGTGAACCGCTTCCGCCACAACGCGCGGTCAGGGCGCCACAATCGGTCCACTGGCGATCTCTCGGCCGAGGAGTTGGTGGCGGCCAGGCACCTGCTGCTGCGAGAGGAACAACGACTGGCCTTTGCAGCGGAGTTCAGCGCCCTACAACGGGGCAAGCCAGTACCTAAAAGTTCGAGGGTATACCGTCTGTCCCCCTTCATAGGCGACGACGGGCTCCTGAGAATCGGAAGCAGGCTTCAGGAGTCTGAGTTGACCAGTGAGGAGCGACACCCTGTTTTGCTCCCAAAGGGACGGGTGGCCGAACTGCTGGTGTGGGACCAGCATCGTATGATGTGCCACTGTGGTGTGTCTACTCTGATCACTGCACTCCGAGCGGCCTTTTGGATCGTGGGTCTCCGCTGCCTGGCAAAGCGCATCAAACGCTCGTGTTTGGTTTGTCAGCGGCAGGATGCTGTCCAGTGTAACGAGCCGGCGGCGCCGCTCCCTCGCGACAGGGTAACCCGTGCGCCGCCGTTCTCGGTCACAGGAGTGGATTTCGCGGGGCCGATTTTCGCGGTGGACTGCCCGCGAAGAAAGTTCTATGTGTGCCTATTCACCTGCGCTGTGACACGCGCAGTGCATCTGGAGTTGACAGGATCACTGTCACAGGCTGACTTTTTGATGGCGCTCAGACGTTTCGCTGCCAGAAGGACTCTGCCGTCAGTTATCTATTCAGATAACGCGCGAACGTTCAGCGGAGCCGATCAGCTGATGCAGCGGTACTTTGGACATCTCGCTCCCCGGTGGAAGTTTATCGTGCCAAACTCACCGTGGTGGGGCGGTTGGTGGGAGCGACTGGTGCGCTCCGTGAAGGTGGGACTCAGGAAGTCGCTCGGCACAAGATGTCTCACTCAAGTGGAGTTAGAGACTGTGCTGACTGAGGTCGAGTCATGTGTGAATTCACGTCCACTGACTCAGGTGACTGACGCGATCGACTGCGAGAGTCCGCTAACGCCCAGTCATTTCCTCACGGGACGTGGCGCCAGCTTCCAGGCCAGGCTGCTGGAGGATCCAGAAGCGGTAAGTGGTAGAGCGCTCTCCGACAGGGCTAGGGTACGCGAGAGGCGTCTGAACCGTTTCTGGACGGTCTGGAGGGATGTATATTTGCGGAACCTCCCTCACTCGGTGCGCAAGTTTTCGCATCAAGGTCAGCTACAGCCGGGGTCGGTGGTGCTCGTCAGGGAGGATAACGTTCCCCGAATGAAGTGGGTGATGGGGACCGTCACTAAGCTGTTCCCTGGCAGAGATGGGGTGACCAGGTCTGCTGAGGTTCGAACCCAGGGAGGGCACTTGAGGACCCGGGCAGTCCAGAGACTCTATGACTTGGGACTACTCGACTGATGCCCTCCACCTGAGAGCAGCAGGCAGCGCGCTCCTCTTCTTACCTCTGTCCCCTCATAGACAGTTCGAATGAGAAAGGGCTGGACGGATTGAGGCAAAATGGGTTTGGATTGTCAAGGCAATCCAAAGGCGGGGAGGATGTTGTGAATTTAGTTGTGACTCGCTATTAGATCTGCGTCGTTTTGTTGTGTTGCATTTAATTGATGTCACGGATGTGCGAATTGGAGTTGAGTGTTTTTGCCGCGTTGGGAGGTGCGGTCGTGGTGAGTCACGTGACCTTTGTCAAGGCTGGTATTTTGCGCCTTATTGTTGTTGTCGGCTAGTTTCGAGTGATTCTGAAGTCTGAAGTTCTTGATCGGACGTTTTGTTCTTTTTTGGCTGAAATCGATGCTTGAAGTATTCTCTTTTCAACATGGGTTTCAATACAGAGTGTGATTTAATTCGTTACAATGTGTATGTACATAATTCAATAACGCTACCACGCCTCTATGCCATGCGAGCTCATTGTTTTACTTTTATGATAAATATGGAATGTAGTTTGTTGGTGCAGGTACCGTGTAAAATTATAGCGCCGACGGCGAAATTATCGATGGCCTACCGGGCTGATTTCGGCTAACCAGTAACACTGCAGGGGTGTCGTTTTGTATAGGCCTGGTAGGGCCCGAGCCCTACCAATGTTTGTTTGTGCCCTACCAATATTCCCTGAGCTCTACCAATATTTTGTCAGCCATCACTTGGCAAAATGGAAAACGAAATAAAAAGCAATTAACCGCATCTACATCTAAGGATCTAACTACGGTAAGCACATGTAGCTGGAAATGAGGCGTCGTGTCATGGGCTCAAGTTCTTGGTGGATACCAAGAGGCTCGAAACACCAATGGTTTTAGACGGCCCATGGCTGCCTCTGAGCGCCACACACCGTGCGACGGCCCATAATAAATCCAGTTCGTCTCCAAAACCAGTCTCTGAGGGCCCTACGCCGACTTCGGAGGGTGCCGCGATGCTCCAGAATAGGGCATATTGGTTGGAGTAGGTCCTACACCGTGGTCCCCGAGGGTCCCGAGGGTCCAACACCAGGTCCTTTCCGCATCAGATCACGAAAACGCAAACTCATAATCTGACTCTCATCCTTTTATTTTAGCCAGATCTTTCTAACTATCGTAATGTTTCGAGATCTCGTCAGTTGTCGAGCCCTTCACTCAGCGTGGGCCTTCAAAGCCTTCCCTGGGCCCTTTCAGCGCAACCAGCCCTTTTAGTCGGCGCGGGCCTCTCAGAATGGCGTGTGTTCCGCTGACTGTGATAGTGGCACTATCACAGTCACGCTATCATAGTGCCTTTATAACTGCGCGTTTGGTGCATCGGGTCTAGTGAGGGCGCAGATTTCTACATTTTTTTAAAGATTTTAGTTTGTTTTGTCAGTGACCAAGGTGGAAAAATATGTAACCGAAATCCGATGAGAAAGGCAGATTTGGGGGTACCCTACCTTGGTAAACCCCCGTCACATACGGTCGTCCGCCGCCTTGGGCCATACCAATCATTTTCGGAAAACGACACCCCTGAGTAACAGTATCATTTTATTTCACGATGGATGGCCTACACTAGCTGATGAGCTTGTATTATCATGTAGCTCAGAGGACATATTTATCGCAATGACCTATCAGGTCTTTTTTGTGCTCGGAAAAGGCCTGCAGCCACCCACTCGTCGTAACGGGAGTTTGGCGTGTGTCTGCGCGCAGGTCCGAAGCAGAAGGGCTACCTGCACCTTTGGGCGTCTCGTGCAGACGGTGCGTGGACCGTAAACCGGTTGGAGCTGGAGCTGGCGACAGATGCCAGTCGGAAGCTGCTGGTACACTCCAACGAGGACCCTCCGGTGGCGGCCCAGACTGAGACTCCCTCTGCGACCTCTATGGTAGAGACGCCCGCCGGGGCGGCCGAACCAGAGGCGGCTAGCTGATGGCCGAGGCTGGTGGAGAAGCCAGAAGGGACTGATCCACAGGACGGCGGTAGGTACGGTGTCTGTAGTGAGCTTACAAGACAGCTCAGTGCCAGTTCGGGTGGGGAGGGCTCTCGCTTTTGCTAGGACTGGTCGGTGTCCCTGCCCAGAGCGCCGCTGGCGGCTGCCACGGAACGATACGTGCATCGGCGAGCGTTGGTGGCGCTGTGCTCAATGTTTGGCTCGAAGGGGCTCACCTTAGGCGCTCGCCAGCCCGTTAGTTGTTGAACTGAGGGTGGTGAGTCGCACAGTCAGATGTATGTCCACGGGATGCTAACCTAAGTCAGCACAAGTTACCAGAGCGGCTGACAGTGTTCATTTTCGTACTAGGCTGTGTTCAAAGCGTACTGTCTGTTGCAATAGTGTTATTGCGCGCGAGAGGATCGTGTGCGCCTTGTCTCGAAGCAGACATGCTGTTAAACCATGTGTAGCAAAGCATGTTCTTGCAAGAGTTACTGTGATAAGCACGTAACCTGATGTTTACGCGGAGTTTAATGGCGTTGATCGATTAAGAATGGACAAGAGGCTTAATTGCTGACCGATACTGGTTTAAAAGAGCCGTCTAACAGGTGACAATGACATCACATACGATCTTATGTTTGCCAGTAGACGGTGAATAAATTTCACTTGTCTGCGTTTGCTGCTTACATAGCCTCGGTGTCTGCTATTGACTCTAGAAGCTTTGATTCGGGCATTTTTGGTGTGTGGATCAAGTCCGGGATATCAGAAAGTATTGACCATTTCGACCACTTACGTTTTCAGCGAGAACGAAATTAAAAATAATGTCAATGAAAATAAAATGTTTAAATCCGGGACCTTACGTGGGCAGCGACTAGCGAGGTAAATGTCAATGCTCAAATATGAAATCGGGCTTGTATGTTTGCGTGCTTGTTTTGAAGGGTTAGGCTGTTCGGTCTGACGAGACCATTTCAGAGCCGGAAGGATGATAGGTTAAGGGGGAGACATTGGTCTGGGACAGGCACCATATTAAACCGTCGGGCCTGAGCCCATCCAGTTGGGCAGGCCGCCCAGCCCCTCAAGCACGCACTGGACCCAGCTACGGGTGTGCCCCGTTGGAGCTGCCTGCATGGGATAAAGTTGCCCGTCCAGCACGGATTCTTTTTTATAGATTTAGTCCCGACCAGGAGCCTTTTGAATGGAGGGATGCACAACGACAGAGCCCCCGCTAAGCAGAGCTTGCTATGTGCGCAAAATGACCTTGAAGTCGACACGCCCTGAAGCCCCAATAAACAAGCAATAAGCAGTTTGTTACGTTGGTCCTGCCCTCCACCCTCCGATCGCGCAATTCCTGTCTGGCAGAATTTAGAGTCCAGAGTTTAGCGTATGCAATTAGCCGTGCACGGCCGGTCCCTTTACTGATTTCAGCTGGGTACGGCCTGCCACCAACCGTAACCATACCCGCCAGGAGGCTCATAAACACCGGGCGCCCCTCGAACCCCGGACTCGCCGGGGCTCGTGCCTCGTTCTCTCACCGCGCAGAGTCCAACGCTCTACCGACTGAACTACGCGACCGGGACCGGATGGGGGGGTTGAGTTGAGACGTTGAGGATAAGTATTTGACTGTTTTGAGGATGGAAATGTCGGAGCGGTGTGATGAAATCGGGGGTTTACATTAGGGTGAATAGCCTCGACGTCTTGATTTATTCCACATTAAATAATTTAGCCGCCGCATGCTGGTATGCTGATCGAAGCGCGTTTATAGTTCTGTTCGACTACCTTTCTACCGACAAGTTGCCTGGTAACTAATCGGTATTTATCGGCTTCTCATTGGTTGATAGCAAAACCCACGTACTTTTCACCAATGGGAGAACGGGAAGCACCAGCCACTCGGCAGCATGCTGATAAAACGATTATTACCGAACACTATTCTGGTGCGCTCATTTGTTTACGCTGGGTTGGCTCATGGCTGTGGGTTTCTCGTGTGGTTCTTCTTGGCTGATGACATGTGTGGCAGGTTATTGGCCCAACCGCATTATAAATCAAAATACACATAAGTATCCATCAAAACTTGTCTGCTGCAAATTGTGAAGGTAAATACTTCAATTCTTATTTTATTGGTTCAAGTAGGTAGGTAGGTAGCTGTTGGCATTCACATTAGCCTGCATCTTGATCTCAGTTCAGTAGGCGGAACTATGGTCATGAGTACCCAAATATAGGAACGTTCCCATTTTTGGGAACGGAGTTCCCAAATATGGGAACGGGCGTTCCCATTTATGAGAACGGAAGGCAATTTTTCGGCCGTTCGCCCACTAAAACTCAAAAGTGCATCACGTCTCAAAAAAGTGCACGCTGATTTAAGTATCTACTAAATCTCCATAAAGTTATCTTTAATCTGACCGTGGAACAAGGAAATTGACCGTGGAATGATATTTTTAATGATTTTTTAAAAATGACAGAATGGTGGAAATATGGGTTATACGACATTTAACATGCAATTTTAAGGAAAATGAAGCATTTTTTACATTTTGAGGTCAAGTATAATAATTTTCGCCTGGTTATGAAGTTTCATTCTAGCGACACCAGATGCTGACATATGCAAGCGAACACGCGGACAGTCCCGAGGTAATATTGTTGACTTTTGGTGTCGGGGCGATCGACCGCGTGGAACGTCAGTGATTTTACCGAACTACTGTTGTAAACTCAGTTTCAGTGGTTTAAAATCATTCAGCTGTATTTTATCAGCCCTGAAAGACATATTTTATTTGGATGCTAGCTGTTTAGCGTTGTTTTATAAGCAGCGTCATGAGCGTGGTTTTTGTCTTCGGCGTTTCTAAGCATGATCGTTTGGGGGGATTTTCTCTGATATAGGTCGCTCTGTGTGGCTTATTTATAATTTTTATGCTGATTTCGATCATTCCTCGTGCCCATCCTACCAGGCCTTTTGCCACTTACACTCATTAAGAAAGGAAAAAACTAGATTTTCATTGGGACTAGGTGTTTTGAGGGTGTAACATATTCAGCGTTCCCATTTTTGGATACTTCTTGTGCTCGTCAACTCTCGGTGATTAGCAGACAGGTGCTTGACATGTCTCCACCCTCGGCGCGGACGGTGGATATAGGTATGGAAGACCTTGTTGAACATCGCTGAGCGTTGTGGATTACGTAATCCTGCAGAGGGGGGCGTGCCCGCTGCGAGATCGACGGGAATAAAAGCGCAGAAGACCGGGCGAAACATGCAACGGTCTTGCCGGAAAGGTCATCTGATGATTGTTGCGTTAACAATAATTTGCGGCGTTGGACGTGATGCTTGTTCATGAAAAGAGCCCCTGAAAGGCGTCGGTGAAATCGTTCCCAATTTTGGGTACGCCGTTCCCATAATAAGGAACGCTTGCAGCGCCAGTGTACGAGAGCGTTCCCAAATTTGGGCTCGCGGCCCGGGTGATGGACTGCTTTAGAAATAGGGGAACGATTTGAAACTACGATGGGCCTTACAATATCAAACTCTTTCCCAACAATATTGAGACAAATATCAGGCGGTTCACGATCGTTTTATATTTTTTGGACGTCATTTAACGGTTCTTTTTCTTGTTTTAAATAATGCCTACATGGCGTTCCCATATTTGGGTTTATCGTTCCCAAACATGGGAACGAAAATGCGTTCCCGAAAATGGGTACGCTTGACCATAGTTCCGCCTACTGAGTTGGGCAAACTAGACTTTTGGAATCAAAATATGGAGGCATCAATAATTTGATTCTGGTGGGAGGAGCCATGACCAAATATGGGCATGGAATCAATTTTTTGATTCATTTGGGTACACTTTTGACTTCAAATGAATCGTTACGGTTGAAAAAAGGCCCATGACGGTGAGATTTTTCTTTTAAAAGGTAGAAAAATGTGGTAGGTTTGCAAAAAGTGTTACCTCAAAGCTAAGAAATTGTCCTTTTGGCCTTGTGAATGGGAAAAAGACAGAGCCACTGTCCATCACGTAAAAGCTGTTTTGAGGAAATCACACTGTATGCTATTTTTGTATCATGAATCACATACTAACCAATCAGTGTTTGTGTAAAATGGCAAAATGAAATTTTTAAACCCCTAATTATCATTGTTGTAGTGCTTTTATATTATTTGTATGGTTTTTACCTGTTGCTTCAGTTTTTGTATTCTTGACATTTAAAAATTGTGAATTGTTATTAAATGTAGTGAAGGTAAAGTACAACAATGCTATAGGTATCAGTTGTGGTGCTGAGGATACCACTAAATGAGAATAATAGCAAGATAAGTGCTGTATTCTTGCAAGTAATTGTTGCCTATCTGTTAACATTACCTGTGAATCAAAATAATGATTAGCCAGCTGATGGGGAATCAATATTATGATTATCTGTTTAAAGTGAATCTATTCCTTGATTGCCTTTCACTACCTATAGAATTCAAATTGTTATGATAGGAGCAATATTATTTTGCTTAGGAGATAGTTCAAGCATTTCTGTTCAAGATCAGGCATGCTCCTTCTTGAAACACTCTCTTATTTTTATGTGATTGGTAAGTTAGAAATGGTCTGCATTTATGCCCAAAAGGAATCAATCTTTTGATGCCTCCATATTTTGATTCCAAAGGTCTAGTTTGCCCAACTGATCTGTGGCCTTGTGGAATATTTCATTTTTTTGTGCTGTCTTTCTAGCCATACATTTCCGAAATCATGCAGTGAGCCATGAGGAGTGATGAGATGGATAGGGACAGTGACAAAATTGCTAGGATATATTGATATATGCATACCGCAAAGTGGGGCTATTTGAGACAGTATTTGAAACTGCTATGAAATGAAGATTGTTTGATTTTTGTGATAATTTTGCTCAGGAAGGTGTGGAATCGAGTAGTAAATCGACTGAGTAAAAATAAAGCATATATTTCAAACGGTTTTTATTTCACAACTATTTTAAATACTGTCTCAAATAGTCCCACTGTCTCAAATAGCCCCACCTTACGGTATATGTATATAAATTGGATAGGTATGGAGTATGTATAAACATATTGATATATTGATGTGGTTGCCTGATATGTATGACTACCATTTTCACAGGTGTGGTGACTTGAGTGGGTCACAAACAGCAGATATGCTGAGGAGTCGGAAGCCAGTGTATCCGAGAAGGTTTTCCCTGAGGCAACAGGCAGATGGCCAACCGACAGAACACCTGACACCAGAGCAGGACAGAATGTGAGTAGAAACAGACTCTCCGCTTGGCATGTTATTTGTTATAGTGTGATTTTTGCCTGATTTTTGAATTCTGACTCCAATGGCCCAAAAGTAGTTTCACATGTTTCTCAAACATCCCCACCTTCATCTTGTCTGTTTGATTTTTGGATTATTTTGTCCCAATTATTTGTATTTGGTCAATGGGCAAACTTGCAACATCTTCTCCACCTTAATAACTTGGTTATCTAGTGTGTTAAGCAAGAAACAGCCTCTCATGTTTCTTGCTTCTGGTCTTGCTTTTGGTCAACCAGGTCAACTTTTGACCTTTCTGCCCAGAACAATGCACAAATGGTACGTGACAATATTGAGCCTCATGCTCAGTGCTCATACTACACTTGCTGCAGGCACACCTCACTAATTTGTAGACATAGCCTCTGACTGAAAACTATGGCAGCTACATTTGTTAGACATTATCATGTCCCTTTTGTTTTGAGTAGGTACCCAAAAAATGAATTGCATCAGTAGAAAATTTGCATGTCGGACTATGCCGCTATGGCGAACTTTTGTATGGTTATTGTGAATGGAGGACCTGACTTGCAAAAACGAGCATTGTTTCACTTGTCTCCGTCTCCTTGGCGTTTGAGGTCCATAAAAGAAGCTTTCTCGTCGGGATGTGGATAAGACGGCTTGTCAAATGTCAGCTTTACCTTGTGTCATGTCTATTACTTGTAGTGCTAATTTGCAGTAGCGGCGGAACACCTTCAATTAAGGGGGTGGGGGGGGGGGGCACTGCCGACTTTTGGTCCCATTTTTTTCCATGCAACGCCCATAGGGCTAATGTTAAAATGTCAAAATCAAAGGGGGCACGGTGCCCCGGTGCCCTCCCCGTTCCGCCGCCTATGCTAATTTGGTGTGGGTTTACCCACGGTTTACCTACCAACTTATTTTGTACGGTCTCGTTTACTGCCCAAGGCAACTTTATTTATGCTTTACATTTGAAAAGTGTTCAGATGTACGTCGCTCTAGTTTGGCGCACCAGTTAATACAAAATGCAGCAACGTGTTTCAACTACGTGTTGGATGTTGCCGGCAACACCAGCACCAAGTTTGTTCTATTTCACTCGGCAATGTTTGAAGGTCCGCTGATATTTTCCCGTAAAGGTCCATCTTCCTAGCCTACCCTCCCCAGGCATTCTTTAGCGCCACGGACGGTAGGGAGGGGACCCATACGGACGGGACTAGGCCGTCAGGCATGCGTCAACGTCGCTTGGCACAGCTCCAGACGAATGGAGCTGGGGAACTGGGTGAGCGCCGACGAATGGCCACCGGCACGTCTCGTGGGGCCCTCGACAGCAGCCATGGGTCCGTCAGCGGCCGGCGTGTCGAATCTCTCCCCTCCCCCCCCATTCTCCCCCCACACTCAGTCGTCACAAGCCGCTCGGTGACCGGGTGAACTTGATCGATGATTGGCTGTTGCATGATAATTTCTTGGCGACTGGCATGGGCCCGTTGGCGGTACGTACATTCGCTTGGCGAAAAAAAAAAAAAACGACTGCCTCTCTGACGAGAGAGCTGTAGGCTGAATTGAAGACTAATATGTCATATGACGTATTTCTACTGTTTTGCCCAACGAAAACGAGATTCTGCGGCTCCCACATCTTTTTGAGGAGTGGCGATTCTGATCGGTGCTAGATGTTTACGATTCAAGTTATGATCGATGCTATACCAAAATATTTCTCCGGTTCTGGTATCTACTGGTATCTGGGGCACCGTTGCTGGCTTATGGGTTTTAGTAAGCTGAGCGTCGATGAATGTGGGAATTGTAGTGCCAAACATTCGCAATGTTTTTGGAAGCAAAGTTGTATGGACTAGCCAGTGCATAATGTTCCTGAGAGAGCCCATTCATTGCACGCCAAAACCGGACGAGATCGTCGGCCGGAGTCGCGAGTGTGTCAGCGGCCACCGGGTCCGGCGTCCCCCGTACCGGGCCCGGTGCCAGCGGCCGGCGCCGGCGGACTGTTTTAGACGGGCCGACGGCGGACGGAGGCCGGTCTGTCTGCGCGTGTCCGCGCCGGTGGCCGGTGGCGGCTGCGGGCCGGCGGCCGAGGAGCCGACGCCGGGGAGCGGCCCCCAGAGGAGTGAGTAGTGCGTCTGGGCGAGACGGCTGTTCGGCTTTCGAGTGGTTGGTACTTGGGCTGTTTGGCTTTGCTATAGTTCTTTATTTTCTTGGTGAGAATGGGAATGAGAGACCATGACTAAGTTTGTAGAACGACTGTTTCGAAATGGAAGGTATCTTGGCAATGGACTGCTCGGACAGCTCTTGGATAAAGTATGCCTCATCTAGCACACAAGGTCGCTTCCCTGCCCCAGTTTGCCTTCCGAGCTGGTTCCAAATCACTCGGGTATTTTCGGACTGTGGAGGCCGGAATAAGCTGGTGTTCACTTGAGTGTCCATCGGAGATCGCTGTGTGATTCCAACCAGAACGAGTTTGTCCTGTAAAACTCTGCGGCAACGGGCAAACGATTCATCCGGCACGTTGTGAATAGACAGCTGACTGCAAGACACAGCTGACTGATCAGACAGCTGACTACTCGGACAGCTGACTGCTGGGGCAGCTGACTTAATGTGACAGCTGACTGCTCAGTCGGCTCTGAGCTGCTATAGTATGTCCGATCGGGCTGACCGCCGAATCGGACCATCTGCTGCCGTCGACGGCACTACACACTGGGCCGCAGCGGGGTCCGACCATTCCTTCACTGGGCTCTGACCCACTGCTGCGCCAGCGGCTCGGATCACCCGGCCACTTGACCAAGGTCTACACTCTACTTTTGCCTCATATTAGCTCCCTTTTTCATTTTTTCATTGCAGCAATATGTTCTGTCATCCTGTCGTCGTAAAATCGAAATTACCTGCGCGTATTAGCCATTGGATGGGCAAAAGCAACCATTGTAATTGTATGACTGTCATTTCGTTGGCACGTGATTGTCGTCCCTCCAGTCGGCCGCCCACCTGGGTGGTGGCATCTGCCGGCTGCTTGGTGACGTCATTAGCGAGACAGTCTGCGTCACAGTCAGAGATTTGGCACCGTACCCGGGCTCACAGTTGAATGAATGATGAGTAGAGGAAATCATCGATGGCACAAGTTTTGCTTTTATTTTCATTCCTTCGATATTATCAATTGTTCTGTGTTTTGAATTTTTCAAAACTCAAATGAATTTTTCAGGGCAATTTTGAATATCTCTTCATTTGTTCATTCATGACCGTAAGCTTACTACAATGAGAGTCAATGCCCATTGCCCTTTCGGTTTTCAATAAGAAAATGTTACTGTACTTATTTATCCTCCTTTAAATGTTCTGGGAAAAGTGACCAAGAAACTGCAGGTTCGCCGCTCTTTCCCTCGTTTTAACGCGCACATATCGACACCTTTTTTTAAACCCCACATCTGTTCTCCGGTGAATTTCCGGGAAGCACGAAAGATCTCTTTTTAGAAGTGTCCAATCGTCCGATCCTGATCAAATTTGTGTGTTCGTAAGCTTGCTCTGGCATTGCTTGATCTGCCAAGACAGACAAACTTGAGAAAAAATCGAGTGACTGTACCTTTTTTAAAGGTTTCTAAACAACTTGTCTGAACTTCACGGGAGAACAAATGTGGGGTTTAAAAAAAAAGGTGTCGATATTTGTGGTCAACATATTTGAGCGCAGAGTGCAGACATTGGATAAGACATGATGAGTGTTTTATAATTTGCGGTTCTCTGCAACGACTGAGTTTTTTCCATGTGTTCTACACGGTGACTGAAAACGTGTGATTATTTCTCCTTCTTGCTCGGAGTCGGAAATTTTAGCTATTCTCTTTTTCATCGAGGATTGTTTGCATTTTAAGAGAGCACAAGCTTTTTTAATTTAGTCCGAGCCTTTTGAATGGAAGGATTTACAAGGACAGAGCCCCTGCTAAGCGAAGCTTGTTGCGTTGACCCTGCCCTCTACCCTCCGATTGCGAAATTCCGGTTTTATGGCAGAATTTGGAGTCCAAAGCATAACGTGCGCACATAGCCGCGCACGGCCGCGGGTCCCCTCACTGATTTCGCCTGGCTACGGTCTGCCACCAACCGCAACCATACCTGTCAGGAGGCCCATAAACGTCAAGCGCCCGTCGCGCTCTGTTATAACCTGGAACGCGTGCTCTCATCACGCGGAGTCCAACGCTCTACCGATTGAGCCACGGGACCGGCCTAAATCTTAGCCTGCGTGCTGCATACATGTTGAACTGTGAAACTCTGAACTCTGCATCCTGATTTCTTTATTCTGATCCGTTCGCATTTAATTTGCCGTCGTCTAGGTCGCAACGTTGCGGGACGCCGACGCCCGGGCCGTAGTTCCAGCCGCCGTTCCTAGATGGCAGTAGAAGTAGGCGCCTGAAGTGATGCTGTGCCGCAATGCTGACGGGCGGACGGTACAGCATGCGGCAGTGAAATGGATGGGATGCCATGAAGGGAGTTACAATAAGATCTTCACCACAAGATGGGGATTCGCTTTTTCGCTTTTTCCGATTATTTCCTGTTTGCAATCCCTTCGCGTTATTTATGACTGTCCCTTTCCCTTTGCTTTGCTGGCCATTAGGCTAGTTAGCACACAAAGGGAAGACGGATCACTGCATCCTCTATTGTTTGCGTGCTCCGACCATTGTTACTGAGTGACCCACCACCGTTCAGCGATCTTCGGACGCCGCTTGCCGCTCAGTCGCGGCCTCCGACCTCCGCTCCGTCAGTCATTTATCAGTCACAGGCTCCTTCCTGTAAGCAACCTCCGCCCGTCAAACACACACTCTATGCATCTGCATAATGACAAGACGTCGCCAGTATCTACCTAATTGTGCGCGTGTGTGCCTGTGTGTGTGTGTTTGTGTGTGCGCGCCGCTCGCACTGCGCCCCGTCCAATCGGTGGCCGTTACCATGACTACGGCGTGCCCGTCGCGGTCGTCATGGCGACGTTGACGCTGGATATTGAACATCTCTGGTGCGGCGGCGGCGCTACGCGTTGCCGTACTGTGTTGTCTTGTAGGCGCGTCCGCGTCTCGCATCCATGCCTCTCTCTTTCTCTCTCCCTCTCTCCTTTTGTCCGTACCAAATCGTTCCGAGAAACGTCCCATACAGAGCGGATGGAACCGAGAAATGTGACTAATGGCTGTGGAATACCACTGCCTGGCTGTGTCGAAACTCGGGAGGGTGATCTTTTGACACTTTTTTAGCCAACGTCCAGTGGGCGAGGTAATTACCATTGGGTGGGGGGGGGGGTGATGAACATAAGTGTGGAAGAATCAATAAATGCAGTGGTAGACGAATCAGAATCGGGCTCGATCGTCTTGACGGGAGTCCTTTGTTCTAACTGAGTCATTGACTGTCCAGATGATCCATTAAACGATCAAACATTTATTCGTAGTAGATCATCGTCCAGTTGGTGTAGCTATGTTGCACATTTGACTATCAGTTGAGGTGTGGTCACAAAAGCTACAGTTGTATGAGGAAAAAGGTGATTAGTAGTGCCATAAAACGGAAGTGTTTGCGCCACCTTTCTTAGTTTCTCGAGAAAACTGATCCTACATTTAGTCACTGTCCCTCTGGCTATGGTTTTGTTACGGGCGTGTGCACGAACAATGCTGCATTCCGTCTGACGTTAGTGCTTCACTACCGATGCCGGTTGGGCAGAGACACAGGCAGTCGAACCTCACGCTATGGGCTGTAGACCGGCTCTCGGTGCGGGCCGAACCCCGTCGTGTCTAAGCCCCGAGCCCGGTGGTGTCCTGCGGTGCCAGTTTTGTGACCGGGCAGCAGACCTCACGCTATGGGCTGTAGACCGGCTCTCGGTGCGGGCCGAACCCCGTCGTGTCTAAGCCCCGAGCCCGGTGGTGTCCTGCGGTGCCAGTTTTGTGACCGGGCAGCAGACCTCACGCTATGGGCTGTAGACCGGCTCTCGGTGCGGGCCGAACCCCGTCGTGTCTAAGCCCCGAGCCCGGTGGTGTCCTGCGGTGCCAGTTTTGTGACCGGGCAGCAGACCTCACGCTATGGGCTGTAGACCGGCTCTCGGTGCGGGCCGAACCCCGTCGTGTCTAAGCCCCGAGCCCGGTGGTGTCCTGCGGTGCCAGTTTTGTGACCGGGCAGCAGACCTCACGCTATGGGCTGTAGACCGGCTCTCGGTGCGGGCCGAACCCCGTCGTGTCTAAGCCCCGAGCCCGGTGGTGTCCTGCGGTGCCAGTTTTGTGACCGGGCAGCAGACCTCACGCTATGGGCTGTAGACCGGCTCTCAGTGCGGGTCGACCCCGTCGTGTCTAAGCCCCGAGCCGGGCGGTGTCCTGCGGTGCCAGTTTTGTGACCGGGCAGCAGACCAGCTCCATCCAGTGCCAGCCCTCAGCCAGCAGCGCAGTGATGGCGTACGGACCGTCAGTGGGACACTGGGCCGGCCACGCGGAGTGGGCGTCCCCTGCCTGATCGGTGGTGATCACCAGCCGGTCAGTGTTGCCCAGCTGCACCCGCACACACTGGTCACCGGTGCCGACGCCCCAGTGGGCGCCGATGGCCGTGCACTTGGCGAACTCGGCCTTCTGCATGTAGTACGGTGGAATCAGTCCATGCGAGTCGAACAGAGCTGTGACTACCGAGTTGTTGGGACAAAAGTGGATGGAGTGACCGTTGCTTCTGTTGAGGAGCGTCATTTTGGTTACCCGGCTGGCCTCTAGCTGAAACCCGCCGCCCAGATGGCTGCACTTGACGTAGTCGATGTCGGTGGTCCAGCCGGAGTCAAACAGGCCAGGGGTGTCCCCGATGGCGGTCATTACGCTGCCGCCGGTGATGGCCGGGTTGCAGTCCACCTGCCAGGGCACGCTGAGGTTGGTGGGCAGTGCAGAGTCCCTGGACTCGGCCAACAGCACCTCCACGGCGTCATAGATGGGTCGGCAGACGAGCGGAGCGTCCCAGTCGGCCGTCAGACCGGGCTGACAGAGACACCGGCCGCCCGCCGTGCACTGGGCGTCAGCGCCACAGTCGGCGTCCTGGCGACAGGCCGACCTGTCGCCTACGAACGTGACCTCACCGCCGGTGGTGTTCAGCTCCACGGCGGCGCAGAGCGAGCACCGGCCGTCAGCCAGGTGGCGGAACCCGGCCGCAGAGTGACGGAATGCGTGCACTGCGCAGGCGGTAGCGGAAGCGCCGTCCGGCTGGGCCACCTGCTCCGCCAGACACAGGGCCTCGTCCTGACGCCAGGCGAGCGGCCGAGCGGCAGGTACCAGCACCGACAGAACCAGCAGCGTGACCGGCACCAGCAGTGTCACCTGCACCAGCGGCATGGTGACGTGCCGCGCGGCCCCGACCGGACCAGCGACTGCCGACAGCACCTCCCTGGCTCAGGCACGTTTAGCGTGACGCTGCCCTCCGCGTTGCCCATGGGTGCGTCTGGGAGCGATGCAGCTGGCGTCTTCTGACACATTCACTGCTTTAGAAATGACAGCTGTCCTGAATGACCCGCTGGGGAGCGAGCGATCAACCATCGAAACAGATTCTTCGCTGCACTGGCGTGGCTGGTTTTCTATAGCGCGGGCTTGTGAGTGCACGAATGCACTGAGTGATAGATTGGCGTTGTGCTTTCAGTTCTAAATTATCGTCTGCGCAGCAGGCATGCCTGTAGTTGTTATCGCTCACTGTGAATGTCCCGGTGGACTACGTTCCATGGAGGGCGCTGATTGCGGCGGCAGCTTGTGAAGGACATGCCTGACGCCTCACATGTCTACATATTTCTGTGGGGGGCTGTCATCCGTATCTAGGCGCCAGCATCAACACCTTTTAGTCGCTGCTGGAGGTGTGCCTGATACTGAATTGAGTCGAATTCGTCATGTAGGTACAGTGGAAATTCAACGCGTACTGGAATCATTAAGGAGATTATTTCCTAACGAGGGCTTTTTAGTTGTAGCATACCAGCAAATACATAATTGCAGAACTGTCTCATATATACCATCATACCTGAGGTAGGTAGTAGTTGGGTAGTAGGTATCATATACATGCTCTATTCTACATAAGAAGCTGTTGATTCCACCTAAAGTGCGTTGGAATGCCGACCAAGTCGCCCTTTTTACCTTCAGGACCTAACTGAAGATCTCTTTTGACCACATTTTTTTCTGTCAGGGATGACTAGCATCCGACGATCACCGATCAGGCGATCATCAGACGACCACTGAACCGTGAACTGCAAAATGAGCACATCTATCCAGGGTGACCGTTTAATTGGCAGAGTGGAATCTCCTGCCGGGACAATCCCGTCTCGACGCTGTTGGCTCAGCCACTGCACTTGGGCGCACCGGTCTCAGTCGACTCAGCTGAAGGTCCCTAACTTATCCTCTCATCCGTAATCCGACGACATGTCGTCGGACCTCTTTGTAGACCTCAAATGGTCGCAAGACCGAGTAGGCTTAGGTACTTTATCAAAACAAACAAACAAACAAACAAACAAACAAACAAACAAACAAACCGAAAATATCCCACGAATTTGGTATGTGTTTCATGTTGAATCGTCCTCAGCCATTATTATATTTTTAATCGTTTTTTTTCTTAGTATACTTTGCTAGTCTGGTGCTCACTCACTGTTGACCTCCTACATGTCATCCGAATCATCCCTCTGATCTTTGGCCCCTCCTCGCCCCCTCGACGCTCCTATCCCGCCCTGACCCGCCTCCTTTCCACATGTAGCCCGCGGCAGAACATTGGCATCGATGGGTCGGCCGAGTGGCGGTCGTTGCCATGGCGACACGGCCGCGTCCTCGGCGCCCGGGGCCCGCCCTCCTGGAGAGTAGGCCGTCAGAGTCGCCGGGCAGTGTGAGCGGTGTAATGGGCGGCACGGGCCGGCCCCCGGCGGCGGCAGGAGAGGCCAGGTGGGTCACAGCCAGAGCTTGGGACTGGGGACTAAGGAGGGGTGGGAGAGAGATACAGGGGTGGGCAGGTAAATTGGTGCGGAAATCAAGTAGCTGTATTAATTTTGTAAGATTGACGTATTCTCTTGGATGCGTTCGTGTTCGTATGACGTAGGTATTCTTTGTTCACGTAAGATAAGAATGATCATTCTGGGTAGAACAGTGGTCAAACACAATCATCGATTTATTACGCACGTTACGGCACGTCGATTGTCTAGGCCTGCGAATGACTATAGAAATGTGAAAATGAAACGTTTTCGAGTAGTGGTGTGATACAGGTTATGATGATAAAGCGAGGTGAATCTTGCTAGACATTTCCATCATAAGAGATTTGTTAGTTCTTGGGTCGCTCATTACTTTTGAGTGCCTTGAACTTAGCCGGAACTCGTCAAGGGCTCATGCAAAACTTTCTATCGACCTAACAATCGGCTAGTGACTGCTGCCCGTCAACATGCAATGTCTCACCTTTCCTTTTGACCTTGACCTGTCTACCCTGATATGTCAATAATTATTCACCATGGAAGTTGTAACTGTTGTCTGTTAGTTCATCTGTCTGCCTACTTAGACGAACCTCCTGTTGCCATCAACGTAACCCTTAGCGTTGTGCATAAGTCGTTTTCTGTACCGTGTCGGTCAGTACTACAGTACCGAGGTCCAAGCCCTCAAATGATTCTGCCCGTCTCCACTGACCGCCGCCCGTCTGTCGTTCGCAGGAACGTGCAGCCGCCGTCTCCGCCGGCCGAACAGGCTGAGGGCGACGGTGACATCTCTGCAGGGGAGGTCGACATCAAGATCGAGCCAGAGGAGTGGCAGGCAGCGCTGGAGCAGTCGCCGCCCTGCTCTCCCGAACAGGACGGCATGCATTTGGGACTGGGTCAGTACAGCGAACTCGGGTGACGTCGGCGGTGGACCCTTCAAAATGCTGACGTGCTGGAAAGTTGTCAAATAATTATGTTTGTATGTTTCTGTCCTCAGTGCTTATGTTCATGGAAACATGTCGAATGCTTTTTTTCTTAAAGGAAGGGTGCCACCTTTTGGACACAACGCAGTTTTTACAAGATTAGCCTCACATGAACCTAAAAACCGGCTTCACTTACCTATGCTCGAGACGGTCAGCATTGAATCCGCGCGTGAAGTTATCATTTGCGAGTTTTGCTGCCAGCATTCGGGCAGGCAAAAATCTTCAGCACTATTTCCTCGTCGTGTTAAGGGTATTTTATAAAACATGAAATCAGCAAAGGTATGTATAAAAGTTATACTTTTGAAGCATGTTTTATCATTTTGAAAGGGTATATTTTTTCTTTATGGTATACACTTAAGTTTTAAAATTTTAATTGGGAAGTTTTTCTAGTAAGTTGCATGAAGGGTGAAGGGTTCCATAGATCTCTTAAGCATTGTAAAGGAAAAACCTTTACTCCACTTATTTGATGTTCTTTAACTGTTGGCAAATATGGCCAACAGTTACCTACTTGGTTACCTACAACTTAGTTCAAATCATGTTATCTTCTTCCTTTTTATTTGTTCATCTTTTTGTCTCAGTTGCGCCATCAATGCAAATGGCAGAATGATATGTTGCCATGACAACAGGATATGCCAGCCGTCCTAGCTGCCACATCAAACGACCTTGAGTTGTAGTGGTGATATAAACAACGATCTTTTTTTTGGCCAATGTATTAAATGCAATGTTTCGGTTTTTTGTATATTGTGGACGCGCTAACCACGTCTAAAAATTCAAATAAGTAAAATAGATTCATAGAACAAAAATTTCGGAAGGTGGCACCCTTCCTTTAAGTGATTGTTTTGTGAGTGCTGGCGGTGTTATCACCGAAATACCGTTGTTGCCGGACTGCCTTAGTTTACTACCCCACTCGGACCATAGAATCAGGATAGGACTTTGATTTTCTCTGACATAGAACGTCGGCTCATAATGACTGTAGTCGGCGCGTTCATAAGCCCCCAATGAACACACTGTGGTTCCCTTCCAGGCGAGCGGCTGGAGGACCCCATGGTCATGGTGCCGAGAGGTGACCTGCTGAGGGCGCGGCTACTGGGCGGCCGTCGGAGAGCTGAAGCTAGGACCCGGAGCGCGGACGACGACGGCTTCAGCTCGGACGGAGACGCCTCGGTGGGTGGGGGGCTCCGATTGTCGATTTTTTGACATTGCCGTTATCATTTCATTCTTTTAGTCGATTGTTCAGTTTGTATTATCAATCATTCGATGTCGAATGGAGGTTATCTTCAGTTTCACTGTTTTGCACAGTTTCACTTCGTGAACTTTATTCAGACGAAATGGAACAATGAAACAAAGAGTTTCACTTTATGCTTCAAGACATATTCGCCTTATGTTAGTATATCTCGAATGAAAATATGACTATTCAAGTTTCAAAATTTGTTTAGGAATTACCTAGTTTCTGTTACTGCTAAGATGACGAACAATGCAGACGTGCCAACCACACTACAATGCCTTTGGCTGCTTTTCAGATGTTGGACGGTGACCAATTTATAGATGACCCGGGGCCTGACGAGGAGCTCACCTCGCTCTCCTGGCTCCAGGACAAAAATCTGATCAAGGGTCAGTACCGGCCGCGGCAGCGTGGACCCTCGCCTGGCTTAGTGTCGGTTTTGCTGCTCTTCTTCGATATATCATGGATGGTGCGAGACTGTTAAACGGCTGCCGTATTCCTGTGTGGTTTTTGTCCTACAGCTTACCGATTCGTGCATTCATTCGTTTACGCCTAAGGGCAATCCTGCTCCAGGCTATTGCCATCCATCGTCAACGGTAGCCAAAGAAAGGCAAGATGACTCCATGCCGATCCTTAAATGGTGCTCGCGTAACTCGTGCTTGACCACTTCAGAATTTTGTATCGTGTGCACTTTTCGTATTCCCTGCCGTTCAACACCACCCTATCTGTGCTCCGTTGGGTCTGCAACGCTGCCCCTCCCCCCTTACTGACAGCATCTCCTCTGTTCCTCCAGGGATCCCGCTGAAAGCTCCCCTCGCCCCCGGAACGCTCAACTGTGAGGGGCAGATCAAGCAAGAGCCGTCTGTGGAGCAGGGCTCGGCCGACGAGGCAGAGGAAGACCCCGACTCGTCCCTGAGAAAGGACCGGCGTGTCCCCTACGCACCATCCTGCTTCTTCAGGGTTCGGCACTACCTCAAGCACTCCACCAACGGCTATGACCCCAAGGTGAGCTCAGGCCACGACGGCTATGACCCACGACGGCTAACGTTCAGGGCAGGATGCCGCGGCAGGCGGAACACGGGCAAATGGATGAAGTTTTCTTCTGTTGGCGGGATTTAGGCATGTAGCAGTAAATTAATTTTTGCACCTTACAGCGTTGAAATCAAAATTATGCACTGCTTATGCCCAGGCTGGCTCATGTCTCGGCTCTGGAATGGACACAATCCTAGTTTGAGCTCATGGACAGGGTGCCCGGTTTTTCTTGCTCTCCCTCCCGCATCTCCCCTCCTTCAGCTGTGTTCCATTTCTGCCCACCCCCCTCCCGCCGCCGCACCCCTCCCCGTGGCTAACGCCTCATCAGCCGGGGTTGTCCAGAGCACCTAATTGGTCAGACCACCGAACAAAGTGGGCACACCGTCAAATTACTTGGTGTCGCCTCCCCGGATCCATTGTCACCGTCTCCGCCACCGGCAGTGCCGTGGGACTAATTTGGGGGATTGGGCCCAGCGCCAGGGAGGTTGATTGGACTCCGCTACACCCCAGTCCCCATCCTTTTCCTCCCTCTGAGGGAAGGGGTAAACGGCAGAGTGTGACGGCTGCTTTCGTCTAGACGGATGTAGCAGCTTGTACGCTCGTTTTGTTTATTGATAGATTTATCTCCTCAATCGATTACTCTTGTTTACTGTGTTCACTTGTTTACCGTGACCTTCGTCTTGCAGATCCACGCCGCGTACAAGCCGCCCTACTCCTTCTCTTGTATGATCTTCATGGCCATTGAGGACTCGCGCTACAAGGCGCTGCCGGTGCGAGAGATCTACACCTGGATCGAGCAGCACTTTCCGTTCTATCAGTCGGCCGCCGTCGGCTGGAAGAACTCGGTCAGGCACAACCTGTCGCTCAGCAAGTGCTTCAAACGCGCCGACGCACCGGTGGGTGGATAGAAGTTACTATCTGACACACTGTATAATGTGCGCTTTAATGTGCGCTTACTCGTATAACGAATGTGCTTTTGCATTCATTTCATGGCTAAATGTTTGAGGTAGCTATGTCCGCATTTACGAAATATGTAAATTTAATACCAACTAGTAACTACGTGCGTGCTTTTATGATTGTGATTGGTGTCAATTTTTTCCGTTCTTTTTTTTATATGACAGCGTATTTGATTTAGCATTATTCGGCCATCAATATTGGTATCAGTGTCCAGCTGGACCATCCTGCCGACGATCACAGCTGTCGGGGCGTAATTTACCAAACGTCGTGTGGCGTCATCTGCCCGACCTGCCGCGCCTGTGTCTGACCGTGCTCCCCGTCCCGCCAGCCGCCGCCGTGGGGCTCCAGCCGTCCGAAGGGCTCCTACTGGATGGTGGAGCCCGAGTCGCGTGCCAGCATGATCTATGGACTCCAGCGGATGGCCAACGGAGACGGGCGGTGGCGACGGTCGCCCAAAATCGGGAAGATCAAACAAGTTAATAATGCAAGTGATCGCTCCGACCACAAGTATAATAGTACCTTCCTAAGGCGACAAAAAGGTGCGAGTGCGTCGGTGTGCGCGGCTGGGGATGGTGATGGGCGACTGATTTACCCTATCTGACCGGTCACCCGCCCCTAGGGTAGGGCGTGTCGGATCACGGGGTGGGGCAGTCCAGACCGGTCATAGTGCCGCAATGAGAAGGTTGCAGTCACATGGCTATTCAATGTTGGACTTGGCTAATGCTGTGCTGATCATATGAGTTTTTGAAGTGATATTTTATTATCAAAGTGTTTAATTAAAGTGAGATAAAGGTAAAGGTTGTGATGGGCCTGTAGTCTACCCTCCCAGACGTCTGTCTGTGCTCTCCCAGTTTGACCTTTACCTGTGACTGACTGACTGCCCCAGTTTGACATTCTGACCACTTCCACCCAATATGACGATCCCAGACTGTACCTTCCCAGTGTGACCTGACCACACCCTCCCAGTCTAGCTGTTCGTCTATCCCAGACCTTACTCTCTCAGTCTAACCGTGTGTTCGTGCCAGACTCAGTAGTCTCCAGTCCCCTCCCAGTCTAACCGTCCGTCCTCACCGACAGTGGCTGTGTCTGGCGGCGGTGAGGGCGGCGACCACGGGCCCAACCCTCAGCTGTTTCCGTTCCTGGCCGCACGTCTTCTGGCCGCTCCGGGACGGAGTCCGGCGAACGGCGCCTACTCACAGCCGCTGCCGCCGAACTGCAAACTGCTCACGCCCGCCAACTTCGGTAACGGTGCTGGGCACGCCGCTGGGCAGTGGGCGGGCTCTTTGGACAGGGCGTTCGATGGGGAGGGGAAGTAAATAGTCGTGTTGGGTGTTGGTCTACGTTGGGTCGGTATAGGCATCACCGTAAACGGCAGCCGAATTAAGGACTACTGAGGAACTAGTGGATTATAGCGGGGCTTGTAGCATCGCATGACTGTTTAAGTTGTCGATGAGATCAGATTATTGATTTTTTAGAAATGCTTGTATTGTTTATTTTGAAGTGATAAATAGAAAGTCGCACTAAAACTGATTCGTGTGGTCGGGCTATAACGACCGGCCTGTTGCGTCTATGTTCACAGACCAGGGCTACCAGCGAGTGAGGGAGGGCAAATACCTGCCGGAGCCGCCCGCGAACGCCGTGGACAATGCACACAGAGCGGTAAGTGGGCTGACACCTCGAACCCAACCGACCGCTCCCCTAACCAACCCTTCCCATCTCGCTCCCCGAACTGAAGGATAGAGTATTTCAAGGCATACGGCGATGAAAGAGAAATTGACTCGATATGTGCAATCGGTGTCTGCCTGAAAAGGGACACTTGCTTTTAAATGGTTCGTGATTTAATTTAAGTCTAAAAGTATATATTTTTTATTCATGGCTCATACATTTCGTGCACTCATCTGAAGGTTTTCTAGTCAACGGCACTAACATGTCTTTTATCTCTGACTAGACCGGCACTGATGACAAGTGCCGTCCCAACACTGACCCCCTCGGTGTCTGTGCCGCCAGGCGGTGTTCCCTCCGGTGATGATCATATCCCGTTCCGCCGCCGAGGACCACACCTACGCCTGCTGCCACGCGGCGGACCGCGAAGGACACAGCGGGTCCTCAGAGGACAGCGGCGACGACTCGGAGTCGGACCAGTCAGACCAACCCCTTCAGAAACTTCGGTAAGACGTACGGCTGGGACGGCTTTGGGGTGGAGCTGTTATGATACCCGCGTTAATGGAGCACGAATGCGTTTACTAACGTCATGCTGGGTTGCTATAATATTGCTCAAATGTGGACTCGTATTCTCAGCACCCTCTCGGGATTCCTGTGAGGAATTGGGTTGTTAACGTGCCATTTATTAATTGGGGCGTCTGGTTGTCTTCTCTTTCTGGCATTTGTGCGGGAATTCGATTAAGCTCACCGTTAATTGCTTTGCGAGTGCTGGACACCGTGGCACATATTTACCTCCAAGACGAGATGCTGCCAGATAGCGCGGCAGATGGGAAGGGCTAGGAGATCGCTCTGGTCGCGTATGTGAAACTCCAGGCCGCCTGCCGGCGTGGTGCGAGCGGGTGCGTCGCTGACACCGTCTCTGCCCACAGCGGCCGTCTGGGCGACTCCCTGCCGAGCAGCGGTCGCTCTGGCGAGCTCACTCCTGAGGAGGTGGAGGGCGCCGACCTGCTGCTGAATCTGGCCGGCATCTCGCGGTCCCAGTCGCCGCAGCCGGTGCCCGCAGAGCCGCCGCGGCGCCGGCCGGGCAGACCGCGCGGCCGCGGCCGGCCCCGGTAGACCGGACTGACGGCGTTCGGACTGGCCATCTCCGTTAGGACATCGAGAGTGCAGTTCGAGAATCATGTGTGGTGCTAGAGTGAAGACACGAGGACCTGCAAAATCATGTGTGAGACGCAATTTGGAGACCTGTATTATACAAAAGTGTATATTATGAAGCAGTGTGTGCCATGTATTGCTGAAGATCTATTGCAAAGTTGTGAGGGCTTTCTGTTGAAGCAACTTTCTTACTTTTTGTGTAATACGATTGGGCATGTTGATCTGTGTGGGTATGTTGTTACTCACAGGCGAGCTGGTATGTTGTGCGAAAGACGAGTATGGCCGTGTCAGCCGCATGCCGTGAAGGAGGACCAGAGTGTCTGGTGTGCCGGACGGGGACAGGAAGGGTGCAGGCCCACGAGGGGTCACGGTACGGCGGCCGACACTGCCGCCCACCGGGTGCCAAATCATTGAAAAGCAATGCTGGGACTTGTTGCATTTTTGGTCGTAGGGCCGTCATACTGTGAGAGGATGAGATGTTTTTGTTTAAATACGGAACTCGTTCTTTTTTAGGCTGACTGTTTAGCTGCGTTGGATGCGAGAGTATCGTGTTTGTTACCAGATTGCGCTTTTATGTGACCGTTGTGGGTAGAAAATGTGTAGCAAGCTCGTAACGACGGGCATAATAATACAATTTTCACTTGGCGTTTTGCAGTTTACTACCTGTATTGGAAGCATTCGCGTCGTGTCTATTGTGAGTCGTTTGTTAAGATGTGAGCGAAGTAGCGAAGTCGTGTCGTAGGTAACACCCACGCATACACCTTGGTTGAAGGAGCGGAAGCGTGTCTTTCAAAGTTTGGTGGCGTCCAAAACAAGCTTTCCACCTGCGGTAACTAGCGCGATTGTACTCAGAGTTCAACCAGCTTTTCCCTTTCATTTGTCTCTGGTCTTTTCTCTTTCACTATCAGGACATGCCGGCCAATCCAACGGTCACAAGCACGCACATAATGTATAATTTCTATTAAAAGTGTATTACGATGCTTGGAATGCTCCTTAATAATAGCTCGCAAAGAACATTTACCGTCTCTTGGCAGTCCCCCACTGGGTTCACAGCCCCTCCCCATGCGTTCTCTGGACTTCAAAAATCCCATTGCACAATACAAATATACACAATGCTGTCAACCAACATTCGGCATTTTCCTTCCTTAGTAAATGCCGGAGTGTTCTTCAAGACGTTTCACTAGTATGCTATCAAATGTAGTGACAGACATTCACAAGGCAATGCCATTCGCCTAAGATTCTTGGATTTCACAATAACAACAGCCCGGCAATTGAGGGTCACGCCACATGTCTTTTGAGTCCGCTGCAGCACTTATTCACATCAGCACGAGCAAGGCATTCTGAATCACACAATTCACGACTGTCACGTGGCACTTTCTAGCGGTGTCGCGCACAGACAGCTACCGTGTCTGTCCCTTCACGGCGAGGGACCGAGAGCGCTGGTTCTGTCGCAGTCGCCTCAGCGCCTCTGCGCGTCGCCGGTTCATCTCAGCCTTCTGTCGAGCCGGGTCGAGCGGCGCAGCTGCCGCTGGTGGTTTTGTTGCAGCGCGTTGTGTGCCAGTGGATGCGCTCTTTGCAGCTGCATTGGTCGTGGTGGGAGCCGCTGGGGCGCAGGTACCCCTGACGGCTGCCTGAGCGCCGTTCAAGCGAGTCCTCGGCGGCGCTACCGTAGCTGCTGCTGATGACGGCGACGTCTGTGAAGAAGACAACCGGCCCGGCTGTGCCGTCCATCTCCCTCCGGTCTCTCCAGGCGGCCGGTGGTCGGGTGCCGACACTGTCCTCGGCAGACCTCGGCCGGCCGGCCGCGGCACGCTGGAGCCACTGCTCGCGCCGCTGGACGACGCCGAAGGCTCACCAGCTCCGTCCAGAGCCTCGACCGGAATCTGACTGAAAATTTCGTCCTCGTCGTCCGGCATAGCTTCCATGACGAACGCGTTGAAGGACCTGCCGCGACGCACCGGCGACTCGGTAGCGGCCATCTCGGCCAGCTGGGTGCAGCGCAGCATGGACCGGTCCAGCTCCGGGTCGGACTCGATCTCCGGGGGCGCGCCGCTGTCGGCCTCCGGCTCCGAAGGCGGCGGCGGGGGCTGCTCCGGCTCTGGTTCACACTCCGGCTCCGGCTGCCGTTCACACTCGGGCTCCGTCGTTCGGGTAGGTGTGTTCGGTGTGTTTGACTGTGTGCAGAGCGTTTCGGCTCGCTCGAGCAGGGCCATCAGTTGCTGCTGCTGTTGTCGTGTGGCGCGGGCGGGTCGCCGCCGGCTGGCGGGCAGCAGCGGCGCCGGGGAGGCCACCAGCGGCGGCGGCAGCGGCGGCACGCGGTCGGCGGGACGGCCGGCGCTGCGGCGCATCTCCTCTATGGTCCGCCGCTGCGTCTCGTCCTCCCAGTACACCTCGCACGTCTGTGAGAGCGGCGGAGGACTGAACGGGGACACGGGCGAGTCCCAGCACGAGTCTGTCGGCGGCGCGCGCAGTGGGGTGCCGTACGCCGAGCTGGAGGACGCCGCGCACACGGCCATCGGACTGGGACTGCACAGGCCGCGGTCCCGCCGCGACAGCTTGGTCCGGCCGCGCCTCATCACCGGAGTGGTGTCCATGGCTGGCTGCCCGAGGTTCAGGGCTCAGGCAGAACACCTGGGTGAGAAAGAACCTGAAATTAGAAACGCTCATTCATCAACATTCCTGCTAGCCCTACAGTTCTAGAATACAAGCTGGTTGCAAGGACCAAATTGAAACAATGCTTTCTTTTGCTTTCAGTAATCAATTTGGTCAAGGACTAAGGAAAGAAATTTGAAAAGGTTAGGTCAACACTTTTTTTTTGCATGTTTATTTACTATTCACCTATTTATTTTTAATAGAGTTTGGTGTCCTCACAATAGCATGGTGCTATGAGACCACTAAAACTGATTGCATAACAAATAGAATAGGTGCCTATTCCATAATGTCAACAGTGAAATATAAAATGGAGGCAAGAGTTGTAGGTCAACATAATAAGGATGAAAAATGTATACCTAGTAATAGGTAATCACCAATGTGTCTTAAGCATAACGCCAATTGCCATGCATCTGGATAAAGGAAACTTATGAACTTCCCAGTTCCCATTCATACTTGGTAGGTAGGTATGACACTTGACAGAAAGCACTAAGGTCATGGATTTAGAAGAAACACCTCATTTAGAGTCCTATAAATAATGTAATCAAGCAGGTTCAAAGCAAGAAGAAGCACTTGGAATATTCACAGAGATCACTCAACTCAAATGGAAGAGCTTATAATATTTTTAATTGCGCCTGGTCTGCTTTGGGAGAGCCAATCATGAATTATGAAACTGACATTTGAGAGGGCCTGCCTGAATCAAAGCCCATGTGATAATCTCCACATTGCAACTGAGCTAAATTGGGCAACAGTGGGGCTGGTGTCACCAACGCATGTTTCATTTTTGCAACCAAGGAGAGGTGCAGGTGGTTGTAGGTTTGTAGGTTGGCGGACACTTGAGCCTGCCGGATACGCACCATAATCCACCAAGGTTTGTACTTTTTATGTTGTAGGTGGAGGTTTTAGGTTGTAAGTTTGTAGGTTTGTAGGTATTTATGTTGAAGCCAGGTTAGGTCAGGTTAGGTAAGCAGTGGCGGATCCAGAGGGGGGGGGGGGAAATGGGCATTTGCCCTCCCCCAAACGGCATAATTTTAACATTGACATTACGCCTATGGACGATGCATGGAAAGAATCGATAAATTGTTATGGTTTACCCTCCCCAAAACTCTGAGCTGGATCCGCCTCTGTAGGTAAGGTTTGTTTTGGTTTGGTTAGAAAGAAGCACCTCCGGGTATAACTATACACCTCTCCTTGGTTGTGAAAACAAAACATGTGTTGCCGTTGGTGACTCCTCGGCCTGCCCCATAGCCCATGACTACCCTAAAATCTCAATTGAATAAACAATTAGCAAAGGTTAAAAATTAACCAGTCTAGTTTAAGTTTGGTTTAAGTCACTCTCTGAAGAAATTTGGAGGGAATAGTCATACCAAATTTCGCGGCGCTACGCGCCGCGGTTTTCCCGCTATTCGCGAAAAACCTCAGGGGGGGCGGATATCCGCCCCCCCCCCGTCGGTGCGCGGGTTAAGTGTGGATATTATTTTGATCACTGCGCCAGCCGTGGAATGAAATCATCCCCACCCACATTGACGACTATAGTGGGACTCATGTAATTTCAAACTAAAATATAATTACTGGAGGCTGCTGAGTTATTTGTTTTTCAGCTTTACCGTCACTTTGAAGCTAAACGTATCAATTAAATTAATGAAAACGCACCTAGCTTACCTACTCTCCCGCGCGCCAAAACATTCATCATCGCGCCACAAATGTAACCAATTTACCGAAGGCAGCGTTCAAGGTTACAAGAAATAATCTGGAGCACTTTTTAAACGCTTGTTTCATAAATGACGTCATAAAAAATGAATGCAATAAAATGAAAAAAAAATATAGCTAATGACGAGAGGGAGCGGTATCTTGCAAGGCGTGCCTTGTAGAATTTGGGCCATGGCCCTGTTTCACCGGTGATAGCAGCACGTTGCTTTTACACGTGTCAAATTGGGTTTCCATGGAAACATCAACAGGCCCATTGCTCCAACACTACCACAAGTGTGACGTCAGCTCGCGCAATTTGATAGCAGCGTGGTAGCAGCGTCCCGTGAAACACCGCCCATATGTCACCTCAAGCTAGAAACACTGTGCAGTCGCGGCTGTCTCATCCCTATCTCCGTAACGTGTCGTGTGCGACCAATGACGTCACGGCATTGCGGCGTTCTGATTGGGCGGCAGCTCCGAATCGCCCGACTGGTGGTCCCCGCTCGACAAGCGCACGTGCGCCGACTATAGGCATTTGTATAGTTCGTTTTTCTTAAGTTTGCCCCTCACTGTAAACGTCTTTTTGAACACAGCACGAGAATTGCTAGCTGAATTACTGAGAAAACTGGTTGGCGCACATTGATTTCACCAGATTTCACAGACGATCAATTTTACCAAATTCGTTTACTATTTCACAGACTCATAGCTCGTATTTACCCATACCTACAGCTCCACAGTGATAGACGACTTCTCAGGAATTATGTCTGAACTAATTAATAAATTGCACGGCGTTTAACATTAACGTTACATCGTCGGTGTTCAAAACTTATTTTGAAAATATTATTCATATCTCCAATACAATGTGCGCCAACCAGTTTTCTCAGCAATTCAGCTAGCAATTCTCGTGCTGTGTTCAAAAAGACGTTTACAGTGAGGGGCAAACTTAAAGGAAATAGTTCACTTTCACGAAATTATATTTTTTGCAATGGATTTATGATTTTTTATGTTCAAAATGATCAGCAAAGAAAATAAAACCTTTTTATAACAAAATATTATTTTCTATATTTTTGATATAGGAAGAACTTTTCAGTTTCTGTAAGGCACAGGCGATCCAGTATGAAAAGAGCATGGGTCCAGAAAATTCTTCAGAAGCTAGAGAAATTATCGCGGCCACCGGCATTTGGGCGATCTGCTCATGCTTTTGTTACTGGAGCGCCTCTGAAGAATTTTCTGAATAATTTTCTTTTGTTACTGGAGCGTTTCTGAAGAATTTTCGGGACCCATGCTCGTTTCATACTGGATGCAAATATATGCAAGGCACACAACCTCAACGCAAGGCACCTTTTTCGGGACGAGAAATAGAATATCTTTGCCTAGGGTGATCGTTGGGCTGTAAAAGCTCCTGATTTATGCTCGTCTCAGCCCAAGCTATGGAACTGCTATTCCAGTTAAAAACCCATGTTAAAATGTGAACTATTTCCTTTAAGAAAAACGAACTATAGTGGCATTGACGGCAGAAAAAAGTGAGTTAATGCAGAGCTCTGAATATACTTGAATAGTGTCTAAGCCGTTGGTAATACGTAAAAACTTCAGATAGGTTTCTTGTTTGTCTTGATTTGAGCTTTAATATCAACAAATAACTCAATTGCCCCCACAGGAAGCTGCTCAGACCAAGGGGGCTGGGACGAGAGGAGTGGCTGTTCCCCCAAGCGGGTGTATCAGAGACCATCCTGAGGGGTGTTCACGGGCACCGCACACTGCTGCGTGCGGTGTGTGCGGTACGTCCAGCAGGCGTGGGGGTAGGGGATGGGTAGGCGGCTCTGACGTCACGGCTGCGTGCGGTGGACGGTCCGCTGTGGCCAGTCCCGACCGGCCACAGCGATCGCTGTGTGCGGTGACGCAAGGCTGACGTAGGGACGCAGTGGGCGGAGCTTGGAGGCTGTGTGCGGTCCAACCGCACACAGGGCCCGTGAACAGCCCTCTGCTCAATCAGGTTCCCAGGTTGACCCTCTGGCTGTGCTGCCCAGTCCTGCAGTGGGAGGTGCTGCTGTTCTGTCTGGGGGCGGAGGCTGTGGAGACATCCCTGCTCGAGCAACCCCACAGGAAGTTGTGCAGGCTGAGCAAGCTGGGGCGAGTGGACTGGCTGTTCCCCCTAGTGGGTGTAGCAGAGACCATCCAACTCACAGTGGCCCTCAGGCTAATGCTCTGTCCACACAGAATGGCGGGGGTAACACACCTGCTCAAGGTATATGACTTAGAGCGACGACAGTGGACTGGAAGAAGAGCCTGAAAGTCTTATATACTAATGCTGACCAGTTCCCAAATAAGAGGGATGAGCTATGCATGAAGATTGCTGGCGATGAACCTGATGTCATGCTAATTGCAGAGGTCATACCCAAAGCACAAGTAATTCCCATCTCTCTCGCACTTTTGGATGTGCCTGGTTACTCCATGTATCCAAGCTTTGACCCTCTCCAGCCCAAGCTAGGATCTAGTAGCTTTCGAGGTGTTTGCATCTATGTAAAGAATGACCTGCAAGTCTCAGAGCTATCTTTTGGCCTGAACACATACATTGAAAATGTTTGGGTACAACTTACTCTGGAAGGTTGCGACAAGCTCCTGATTGGATGTGTCTATCGGAGTCCATCACACCATCCGCAGGAGAGCACTGATGAACTATGTCAGCTCTTGCGCATGGCCTGCGCTTCTATGCCATCCCACTTTCTCGTCTGTGGTGACTTCAACCTACCACATATTGATTGGGAAAATTTGTTTTCCTCTGCCCCAGCCGAAGACCATTCTCATGCTTTCCTGGAAGCTCTTAACGATTGCTACCTCTTTCAAAAGGTGACCCTACCGACACGCTACCGCACTGGTGAGACACCAAACATCCTCGATCTTATTCTGACACTGGAGGACGGCATGGTGCAGAACTTGAGGTATGAAGCGGGCTTAGGTAAAAGTGACCATCTCATTCTTCAATTTGATGTGCTCTGCTACTCCTCCCGCAACAACTCTCACATGAAGCACCCTAACTATTTCAAAGGGAACCCTGCAAGGTTTATCGCCCTGGTGGAGGAAGTTGACTGGAGCTCTGCCGACGACCACAGTGTGGATGAGCAGTATACGTTTCTGCGCGAGTCCTTGCTCAAAGCTGCCAATGTCTGTTTCCCCACCAGTAAGAGAAAAAGTAATCGCAAGAACATTTACATAAATGGGCAGGCCCTACGGCTGAAGAAACGAAAAGAAGAGCTGTGGAAAATATATGTGTGTTCAAAGAATATCATTGACTACACCAGGTACACTCAGTGTAGAAACCGGTTACGGAAGTTGACAAGAAACCTGAGGAGGGACCTGGAGATCAGCCTAGCCAGAAACGTCAAAGAATGCCCGAAAGCCTTTTGGCGCTACTCCAACACTAGGATCCGAACAAAAGCCAGGCTCGAAAACCTCAAAGATGACTCCGGGCTGGTGGTAAGCGATGATCTCGGGAAAGCGCACCTCTTGAATGCCTTCTTTAGCAGTGTTTTTACAGCCGAAGACGTCTCACAGATTCCCGAACCACCCTCACAGTACGCTGGCCGTCCGTTGGAGACGATCCAGATCACGTCCGAGGCTGTGAGGAGGAAGCTCGAGACCCTGAAGACGACTTGTGCACCGGGCCCTGACGGCTTACACCCGAAGCTCTTGCAACTCGCATCCCGGCCACTAGCTGGTCCACTTGCCTCCATCTATCGTGCCTCTCTCGATCAAGGCGTTATTCCCGACTCTTGGAAGGCGGCAACGGTCATTCCCATTCACAAGAAAGGCAGCAAGCAAACTCCTGGTAACTATCGTCCCATCAGTCTTACGTCGATCCCGTGCAAAATCCTTGAATCACTGATCCGGGACGAACTCATGGATTTCCTATGCTCCACAGACCAGCTCTCCAAGCACCAGCACGGGTTCCGCCCACGGAGGTCCTGCAACTCGCAACTCATTGAGGTACTGGACGACTGGAGTAAGATGATTGAGCAGGGGAGCCCAGTTGATACAGTTTACCTTGATTTTCGTAAAGCCTTTGATGCGGTCCCTCACAAGCGCCTTCTATTGAAGCTTCGTAGTCTTGGTGTGTCAGGCAACCTTCTTCAATGGATCGATGCTTTTCTCTCCGATCGGAAGCAGCAAGTCTCCGTCAACGGTCACCTCTCTGGCTGGTCTGCCGTCTCAAGTGGAGTGCCGCAAGGCTCGGTCCTCGGTCCGCTCCTGTTCCTTGCCTTCATCAACGATATGCCCGCTGTCGTCGACTGCATGGTGAAAATGTTCGCGGACGACACAAAAATCTACCGCAGCGTGTCAGCACCCTCGGAAGCGGCATCTCTGCAAGCCGACATTGATGCTGTGGTGGCCTGGTCTGACAGATGGCAACTTCCCTTCAACCAGGACAAATGCGAGGTTCTTCACCTAGGCACCAACAACGCTCAACTCCAGTACACGATGCGAGGGGTCAACCTGCAAGTGGCTGAAACCGTACGCGACCTGGGCATCCACGTGGACCCAAACCTCAAGTTCAGAAAGCAAGCAGCGGCGGCGGCGGCAAAGGCGAACCAGATCCTGGCGGTTGTCAGACGATCGTTCGAGCATATTGACGACTTTACACTCCCTCTGCTGTACAGAGCACTTGTTCGCCCCCACTTAGAGTATGGTAATGTTGCTTGGGGTCCTTTTAACCGAGCCGACCAACTCCTGATCGAACGTGTTCAGCGGAGAGCCACTCGTTTAGTCAGCTCTATCAGACACCTGCCATATGAGGAACGACTAGAGGCACTGAAGCTTCCATCACTATTCTACCGAAGACGTCGCGGGGATATGATCCAAGTGTACCAGGTTCTCCACGGCGGAATGGACCTGCTTCCAGAGGACTTCTTCACTCTTGCAGCAGTCCAGCGCACCCGCGGTCACCCGTGGAAACTCCTGAAGCCGAGGGCCGAATCAAGACCGAGAAGACAAGCGTTCGGTGCGCGGGTAGTGAACGACTGGAATAGTCTCCCCCTCTCGGTCGTGAGTGCTGCCTCTGTAGACCTCTTCAAATCCAGGCTGGACGCCCACTGGGCAAACATCAGGTACTCAGTGCCTGACTGAGTTTTGACATTCAAGTTGCCTCGAGCTCGATGAGAACGGTACCCCACAGGCCAAAGAGCCTTTCAAAATTCTGATCAAAGTAAGGTAAGGTAAGGTAAGGTAATATGATATGATTTTTACCTTAGTGTCGAGTCTGGCAGCTATGTGGGAGAGCCCTAAAGTTGGGTCATTTTCCATAGAATTGCATTACAGCCGTCCGACGCTTCGTACCTGTGACGTCACGGAAATCGCTGCTTTGGCCTAATGAGCATATCTATATAGGGCCTTGGTGCAGTCGGAGTTCTAGGGTGAGACTAAATGCTTACTTCGAAATCTAAGCTGCGTTGCGGCATTGGCGGTTATGTGCGGCGTGTATGCCGCATGATTAGTAAGCGGCGACCACTAAATTAAAAATTCAATAGCTTTGACCTGTTTTCAATGGATAACACTGCATACCAGGCCCATGTCGTCCCCTATCTCTCTGCGTGTCCACTAACACGAATGACGTCACGCATGTGGGCGGAGCTATGGGCGGAGCCTAACGCACGCGGCAGTCCAAGCCGCCATATTTGAATTTATATTTTAATAGAATGTTGCCGATATTTTGGGTGAAGTCAATTTATATGGATAGCTTGGTGACAGTTTAGCTATACGAATAATAATTTATTATGGATGTGCGTATATTCAGCTTGGAATTGCAATTAAAGTTCCGCACCGCATAGATTCGAACTCGGGACCTTAGGAATACTGCGCGGGCACGCTAACCACTACACTACCGCGACCGCGCGGCGGCCGGCGGCAGGGAGGCTGCGGAGACATGGGGGGACATTTTACGCTTTTGTGAAAAAAGCAAAAGATTTAGCGAAAAACACGTAATAGATAACTTGCAGAAAATTGTCTGCTCTTTCAGATAAGATACTTAGGTTTGATATATCTTGTGCAGACTCCATTCTACAGTGCTTCGAAAATCGCTCATTTACATGGGGATTGAACGGGGCTTCGAGACTTGACTCCAAATGACGTCACGAGCTGACGTCACGAAAAGGTAGAATCGCCGGACGACCCTACCTGGTATATATGGCCTTGCTGCATACCAAAAATGTCCATCGCTCTCGTCATAGGATATTTAGATTTAAATAACTAACTTATCTACATCATTGTTTTGAACCAAATTAATACTCAGCCGCGAATGTATAAGGTATAACCCCTTGCCGTTTCGCTCCTGATCAAGCTAGAGCTTCGCGGAAAAAACGAGCGTGTTGCCCGTGACGAGAGAAAGCCGATGATACCCAATTTTAAGGTCCTAGGTCATCGGTTGACGGTCAATGACCCAAAAGGCGGGAAAATTGGGACCTGTTAGAACGTCGTAGTGTGGCTGCTATGGGTTTTTTCGGGGTGCTGATCACGAATATCATGCTAGTTTTGATCACAGATGATGTCTTCATTCATTTAGGCCAGGTCGGGTTAGGTCAGGTCAGGTCATGTAGTAGAGGTCACCAGTAGAGGTCCTGCCAGGTATTTGTAGTAGGTGTCAACCGCCTCTGACAGCCTCGTAACATGTTACGAAGGCACCAAAACTACTTTGTAAACGTTCGTGGTTGCTTAATTCGAATTCAGCTCGAAAAAACTGACCTAGAAACATGTCAAACTCGAAAAAGTGAAGCGAGGTCACCAAAGGTCAATGACCTGACCTGACCTTCAGGTGACCTTGACACCCACCCTAATGCATGGGGGCAACATCATATCACATGTTTGAACGCTTGAAACCACGAAAAGACTGCAAACGCGCTGCTAATGCGAGCCGACATACGCTGAATCGCGGTTCCGGCCAAACATGGTCTCGAAAAGTAGGTCACAGGTCAAAGGTCATTTGGGTCAGGGTCATGGAATTTTAAGGATGGGTGTTAAATTGATCAATGCGAGGGTACTGAAAGTTTCGTCGCGATCAGCCGCTTTTTAAGCGAGTTATTCGCGAAAAACCTTAGGGGGGTTGCATCACCCCCCCCCCCCCCCTGTGCGGGCGAGGTCATGTTTTGATAGCAAGACTGAAACAGACTTTTTTGGGTAGCCAGGAAATCGCATGCCAGAGCCTATTCAAATTCTTTTATCGGCCTTTATATGCACCAGTCGCATACAGGTACGGGATTTAGCATAGGTACGATTTCCAGACAATCGAAAGACTGTTTGGAGACAACAAAGGAAGGAATGAGTGAGTTAAGTTGAAAGTATTAATTTGGTTCAAAATGATGATGTAGATAACCTAGTTATTTAACCCGCGCCCTGCTGGGGGGGGTGTTTGAACACACTGAACTTGAAAATGGTGTCCGTGACCCTTGTTTATGCCCTGAGGTCATCTTAGGTCACGAATGGTATCTAACAGTTTTTCGCAAATAACTTTTGATAGAGGCATGCTAGAGCGATGAAAACGCCTTAGATGTGTTCAGCTCGACGATACGGATCGACTGACATGCAACATGACCCTTCCCGGTCAGGTCATGACCTTGACCTGAGGTCAAATTTTCAAGTTGACCTTTCAAGGTCAAGTTATAGTTCATTCGATGCGTCTTGACGAGAGGAACACGATGCCGGTAAAAGTAAGCTCGTACAAGGCTTGGGTCAAAAGTTATTGCAGAAAAACTGTTTTCGAAAAAATCGGCTATTTTTGCAGTTTTTGCCCCCTGCAGGCAAAACCGTTGACGTTAGGTCAAATCTGAGAGAATTACTCAGAAAGGGCGTTAATAGAGCTATCGAATGCGCTTTTACGCGGCGCTGTAGCTCTATTGGTTCCCGAGTTATGCGTTGGCTTCTTGGAAATTATCGACATTCGACCTGGAAATCGGCGAAATTTTGCCTTCAATGACCTCTGGTGACCTGACCTTTGACCTGACCAAAAAATTGACCGAAGTGATTTCGTCATTATTTTTTACGCTCTTTCGAACGCCGCCTTCCGCGTATCGCTACGTGGCCCAGGAGCCGAGTTACAATACAAGGGGGGTGTTCAAACACCCCCCCCCCCCAGCAGGGCGTGGAAATCCAGGACCCCCAGCAGGGCGCGGGTTAAAGCTGAATATCTTATGACGAGAGCGGTTGGCATTTTTGGTATGCAGTGTTATTCATTGAGAACCGGTCGGAGCGTTTGAGTCTTTAATTTAGTGGTCGCCGCTTACTAATCATGCGGCATACACGCCGCACATAACCGCCAATGCCGCAACGTAGCTTAGATTTCGAAGTAAGCATTTAGTCCCACCCGGAGTTCTATAGCCTTGGTGCAGACGGTCGTCAAGTTAGATGTAAGTGAATCCTAATCTATAATCTAAGATTCGGAATCAGGTGAGCCCCTACGATTTGGACCAAACTTGGTCAGTAGATAGTACGTAACGTCCTGATTACGATGCACCCAAAATCTAAGCTCGGCCCGCCATATTTACGAAGTTACGGATGTTTGAATTTCAAGGTCATTCGGGAGAGCCCCTACGATTTCCGTCAAAATTTGTGTACGGACACTCTAGATGCTCGTCATTACGAATATCACCAAATTTAAGCTCGGCCCGCCATATTTACGAAGTTACGGAGGTTTGAATTTCAAGGTCATTTGGGTGAGCCCCTGCGATTTCCGTCAAAATTGGTATACGGACATATTACATCCTCCTCATTACAAATATCATAAAAGTTAAGCTCGGCCCGCCATATTTTTCAAGTTACGGAGTCACAAAGTTACGGAATTTCAAGGTCATTCGGAGAGCCCCTCCGATTTTCGTCAAAATTTGTATGCGGACACATTACATGCTCCTCATTACGAATATCATAAAAGCTAAGCTCGGCCCGCACTATTTCAAAAGTTAGAGATGTTTGAATTTCAGTGAGTTTCAAACGTCAGTAACTTTTGAAATAGTGCGGGCCGAGCTTAGCTTTTATGATATTCGTAATGAGGAGCATGTAATGTGTCCGCATACAAATTTTGACGAAAATCGGAGGGGCTCTCCGAATGACCTTGAAACTCCGTAACTTTGTGACTCCGTAACTTCGTAAATATGGCGGGCCGAGCTTAAATTTTGCGATATTCGTAATGAGGAGCGTCTGGAGTGTCCGTACACAAATTTTGACGGAAATCGTAGGGGCTCACCCAAATGACCTTGAAATTCAAACCTCCGTAACTTCGTAAATATGGCGGGCCGAGCTTAAATTTTGTGATATTCGTAATGAGGAGCATCTAGAGTGTCCCTACACAAATTTTGACGGAAATCGTAGGGGCTCTCCCGAATGACCTTGAAATTCAAACATCCGTAACTTCGTAAATATACGGTCGTCAAGTTAGATGTAAGTGAATCCTAATCTATAATCTAAGATTCGGAATCAGGTGAGCCCCTACGATTTGGACCAAACTTCGTCAGTGGATAGTATGTAACGTCCTGATTACGATGCACCCAAAATCTAAGCTCGGCCCGCCATATTTACGAAGTTACGGATGTTTGAATTTCAAGGTCATTCGGGAGAGCCCCTACGATTTCCGTCAAAATTTGTGTACGGACACTCTAGATGCTCCTCATTACGAATATCACAAAATTTTAGCTCGGCCCGTCATATTTACGAAGTTACGGAGGTTTTAATTTCAAGGTCATTTGGGTGAGCCCCTACGATTTCCGTCAAAATTGGTGTACGGACACTCCAGACGCTCCTCATTACGAATATCGCAAAATTTCAGCTCGGCCCGCCATATTTACGAAGTTACGGAGTCCCAAAGTTACGGAATTTCAAGGTCATTCGGAGAGCCCCTCCGATTTTCGTCAAAATTTGTATGCGGACACATTACATGCTCGTCATTACGAATATCATAAAAGCTAAGCTCGGCCCGCACTATTTCAAAAGTTAGAGATGTTTGAATTTCAGTGAGTTTCAAACGTCAGTAACTTTTGAAATAGTGCGGGCCGAGCTTAGCTTTTATGATATTCGTAATGAGGAGCATGTAATGTGTCCGCATACAAATTTTGACGAAAATCGGAGGGGCTCTCCGAATGACCTTGAAATTCCGTAACTTTGGGACTCCGTAACTTCGTAAATATGGCGGGCCGAGCTTAAATTTTGCGATATTCGTAATGAGGAGCGTCTGGAGTGTCCGTACACCAATTTTGACGGAAATCGTAGGGGCTCACCCAAATGACCTTGAAATTAAAACCTCCGTAACTTCGTAAATATGGCGGGCCGAGCTTAAATTTTGTGATATTCGTAATGAGGAGCATCTAGAGTGTCCGTACACAAATTTTGACGGAAATCGTAGGGGCTCTCCCGAATGACCTTGAAATTCAAACATCCGTTACTTCGTAAATATGGCGGGCCGAGCTTAGATTTTGGGTGCATCGTAATCAGGACGTTACGTACTATCCACTGACCAAGTTTGGTCCAAATCGTAGGGGCTCACCTGATTCCGAATCTTAGATTATAGATTAGGATTCACTTACATCTAACTTGACGACCGTCGTAAATATGGCGGGCCGAGCTTGGATTTTGGGTGCATCGTAATCAGGACGTTACGTACTATCCACTGACCAAGTTTGGTCCAAATCGTAGGGGCTCACCTGATTCCGAATCTTAGATTATAGATTAGGATTCACTTACATCTAACTTGACGACCGTTTGGTGCAGTCATACAGAGAGAGAACTGTGGTTGTTTGTGTTGTGCTTGCATAAGATTGGCAATGCACACACTATGAACAGTGAAGGAGATTGGATGCTGGGCCGTGCAAGGCAAAAATTAACAAATATTTTTTTATTTACAGGTTACAAGTTATGGCACCACCAGTGAGACTGTATGATGCTCATTTCATCCCCTTGCCCTCTCAGGGCAATGTATACAGTCTTGCTTTCTTGCAAGTGGAACGAGGGGTTACGAAGGTGCTTGTAGCATCACTCAAAAGAAAGGTAAGACATTTTCTGTTGTCCTCCTCCTTCATATCAAGTAGCAAAGCATTATTGAGCTACATATCACAAATTTATTGAGTGTCAGATTTATTATGATTTGCAGAAGCAGCATGTCCTTTCCAACTCACATTTTTTAGGTTGTGTGCCTTAGACATTTTGAAGGAATATTGTGGTAGAATGTGGTCAATTTTATTTCATGTTTTATATATTTATTGGCATAACTATGAAGTAATTGCAGTGAAGGCCATTTATATGCTTTTGCTTTGTGATGGTTGCCATGTTTGTAAATTCCTGATCCTGACCATTGCAAGTGGTGCCACTGCCATCTATTGTGAGAGATAGAGTTGCTATTGCTGGCTGGTTTTGGTCATTGCAGCCCATTTTCTGCACAAAAGTTGACAGGATAAATCTCTTATTATGAGAAACTGCAGGTAAAGTAGCAGCTTCTCCAAAAGTTTAGGGTGGCTGCTCCATTAGTCTTCTGAGACATCTTGGCACCCTTCTAAGAAGTCTCCAGATCCCACCCAATCCCAAAGGCATTTACTCACTGTCAGACTCAGCTACTCCTTTTGAAAGGGGACCTCCCATTAAGTCAGAGGCATTATCAAGAGAATTTTCTCTGTATGGCTTTATATGCCTTAGACAAACTTCCTTAGTCTGAAGTTGATTTCTATTCATCTCATCTGTTGGTGCACTCATTGATGTAGTTGTTGCTAGTGTCCCCTTGGGTACTCATTTAGCTAAGGGGCTCTTGTTGACCAAAGATAATTGTTAGGAGGCCAACCAGTCTGTATCCTGCAGCTGCGATGGGTCCGTGACTCCACGCAGATGACGCCTGGTAGTTCATTATGGGCGTCAGCGACGGTCTGGGATCAGAGCAGCACGTGCTCCGACACATCGGCCACCTCTCGACTGAGGTGCAGAGCCCCGCGGCGCTTACCAGGATGTCCTATATACCCTGCTTACCAACCCTGCCTACCACGGCTCTCTGCGGGCGTACCGCCGAGGGGAGCGCGCCGTCAGCTGGTGTCCGAACCGGCTCCCCGGAGAGGGGAGGGGCGGCACACTGCTGAAGGTGGTCCAAAGTCGAGCTATATGTCTCGCCACCGTCCGGTGGTCGCAAATGCCATGGCTCGAGTCAGCGACCAGGCGTCCGCGGATACGAATGCTTGGGACAGGCCGGTCGTTTGTTTCGCTATTTCGTTTGCGCAGTCGTTCCTCGCGATCCCCTAGCATGCCGAAACCTACGAGAGGACCACACCATAGGTGACGAAGTCGTCCGAGGTGATCCTCCACTTATCAGCACCGTAAGGAAAGTTTGGGCCGCGGCTCCACTGTTCAGCCGCCGTTCAAGACTTCTTTCTGAACCTCTGTCTGTATAAACTTTTCAAGACTTCTTTCTGAACCTCTGTCTGTATAAACTTATACCCTGCCTGCCTGACTTATATCCCTGCCTAGTGCCTACAAAATTTTATGTGCTAAACCCAGCGATGGTGGTTTTTTTCAGGTCTACTCCTTGGAGTACGTGCAGGATGACCGTGGCTTCCTCCACCCGACCGTCAACGAGATCCCCTTCACCTACCTGCCGGAGGGGTCCGAAATCATCTCCGTCGATGCATTCAACAAGAGTGAAAACAAAGAGGAAATGGTGGTCGGACTGGCCATTATCAAAGTGAGTTCGCGGTTTTTTAATTTAATCCTGGAGGTTGAGTGAGAGATATGGTGCTTGTAGGCCATGTTACTGCGCTTAGCAATTTAAGTGTCGTTTAGGAGGGCTTTAAGACGGAGGGTTCGAGTTGGGAGAGCAGCGAATCGTTTAACCCGCGTAATAACATTTATCCAGCTGAAAAGACGTTGGAGTTGAGAGGACTGTGCCGTTATATCGGCCTAACGGTTTGATTAGATGTCGGAGTATAACGGTGAACTGGGCGGGAGCATACCGTTGTGTGATGTCGTCCCCTACAAGTTAACGAACGCCGTGTATACTTGGCCTTCAACTGATCATTCCCTCCCACGTTCATCCCTGATCACCAGGACGTGGACCGTTCGGACGGCAAGACGTCGCAGTACCTGAACATCTACAGCGACTGGGAACCCGAGTTTGGCGCCAGTCTGCTGGAGACGCTGGCGCAGAACTGGCGACACGTCGAGCTGGAGTTCATACCCTATCAGCTGCAGCACGCCGTGGTTGAGATTAACGGCATTCTGGATGTGAGTTGGATGCGTTTGTGGCTACTGGCGTACAAAGAAATAAGGGAGAATATGTCATACGGGTGTTTCCTTTGTCTTCGATAGAACGAGATTTGGTTGACGAAATGTGGTTCAGTGGGAAGTTATGTATGTTGATGGTTTGTTACATCTCATACAACTATAAACAGGCTAGCCTTACAGATAGAATAGATCAGGCAGAATACAGCCGGGTGTCTCAGGTCTGTAGGTCTGAGTGCACTCCGGTGATTTATTCAATTCACACTTGTTCAAAACTATTCATTGAGCCCCTTCCCCCATAAACCTTACCTCGTGTCATTTCTACAGACGTGTTTCCTGCTGAGCGGTAGTGACAAAAACATTCACCTGTACGTGGAGGACAAGCCGAACCAGAGCTTCCGCGAGGAGCCGCTCGAGCCGCTCTTCCCAGAGTTTGCCGACCTGCCCTCCATTGTCATGTGGACCAACTTCTACAAGGACATACCGGGAACGTGAGTTAAAAGCGGCACCTCATATGCTTCATCTCCACAGTGGGCCCCAATTACTCAGATACCATTCTGTCGTCCAGCTATTTTTCTATTCATTCATTGTTATCGTATGTTAGGTGAGATTTCTCAGACGAGGTGATGTATAAAAGGCTGCTCAAGTTGCGCTATTTTGCGAATTAATGGTAAACTCATGGTAAACTCTATTGTAAACTCACTTGTTAACTCAAACTGATTCATCCGTGATCGCCATTGTCTTCATAATGACCCATCGCAGCTCATTGTCCCCACATCCCACTCACTCACCATTTATCCGCTTTTTTCCGCAGGCGCATCACGGCGCTGGCCTGCGAGTGCGGCTACGTGCGTGTCAGCGTGGTGGACCTGGCCTCTCTGAGCGTCACATTCGCCTGGTCCGCCACCCACGATAGTCCCATCACCTCCGTACGTCTGTTCAGCCTCGGCACCCGGCTGCAGACGCCCGGGTTTGTGTCTGCCGTGCTCCGGGAGCCGGCGGACGCGGCTGGCGGAGGCCCAGAGTCGCTCCATCTGCTGGTCACCAAAGCTCTGTGGCCGTCAGTGGTGTACAGTGGGCTACCTCTGGCCGAGGGGGAGCCCCCGCCGCGACGTCACACGCTGGCGGAGAGTGATGTCAGTGATGTGGTGACGTGTAGCTGCGTGTGTGATATCAACATGGATGGCAGAAATGAGATCGTGCTGGGGACGTACGGACAGGTGAGTCGGAGGCAGAAGAGGACGTGTTGAGCGAGTGGACAGGCGCTGGACGAGAGGTTCTGAATGGTTATAGTGTGGCGGAACGTACACTTTCTTTGCCATTTTTGTGAAGTTTTTTTTTTTACTGTCACCGAGTTAGAAACTAGTAATTTTTCCGAGAACTTTTTTGTTGTTGAGTTCGGTCACGATGTTATGATTATGTTAGATTGTTTGGAGCTCGAACTCTCTGCGATCCTAGTCAGTTCATAGTCAATTCACATTTTCCTTTTCTCTATTCGTGGCATCTTGAGCTCACTATTTCATCATGTTTTGCTTGCTGTTTTGATATCCGCTCGCGTCTTTCAAATCGAAGGCCTCTGGCGTCATCATTGTTTTCTAACCCGTTCCTGTTCCGCTGTGACAGGAGCTGCTGGTGTACAGCACCCAGGGCGACGAGTGGATGCAGATCTGGCGGTTCAGCTTCTCACAGCCGCTGCTGGCCGTCACCTACGTGGACCTCATCGGGGACGGCATCAACGAGCTGGTGGTGCTCACCAACCACGGCCTGCACGTACTGCAGGTTGGTCTTCAGCGCGTGTGTGGGCGAGCGGCGGCTCGCGGCCACGGCGCCCGATCCTGCTGTATGGTGCGCTGCTGTTAGATGGCAGCATCGTAGCCGATTAGCTCTTTTGGGCCAGCCGACAGGACATATCCTCCGATGGTTTTGGTAGCAGGCTACCAGTCATCGCGCTCTGTACTTTGTATTCTGTTGGTCATTGTCGCATGTGTGGGTGTTCATCAGTGTGCGAAGACGGGAATGGCACAGAAAAAGCGATTTTCAGTTATTTCCATCTTCTGATCGCACACCAAGCACAGACCAAGCTAAGCTAAGCTAAGGCCAAGCTAAGACCGATTCCTTGTGAAAAGACCCCGTCGGCCTATTGGACTGCCTAGATTCTGGGGTTTTTGCTCGGTGGTTGTGACTTTCCTAAGCGAACTCCTGATAAAAGGTGACTGCGGCATGATCAGTCTAGGGCAGCGGTTTATACGGAGTTCTGCTCCAGTCAAGGTAGCGTCTGGTATGTCTGGCTTAAAAACTGCACGACTGGCTTCTCCTTATTCGTTGGATGTCGTGAAATGTGACTGCAACCCTCCCGCCCCTTCCCTCTGCGGCTATTGTCGGCTGGGTATAAGGCTACCAGGCGGTCATATTTATGGAACAGCTTTTGGTCATTATCGCGGTGTCATCAGCATGTCAATGTATGAATACGGACGTGCTTAGGTGGCCTCTTGGCGCCCGCTACACCGGTCTGCGTGTCCATCTGGCCTAATGCATCCATTCCTAATGCAACCATTGCATCGAGTGCAAAATGACCACCGTAGTCGACGCTAAAGCCCTAGTAAACAAACCTAATATTCGCCGCCTTTTTCATCATCACTATCTACGATTGTTCTTTTATTTTACGCAACGAATATCAATCATCTTCGACACAATAGTGCCTTGTCATCCCTCACTACGTCTGCATATTTCTGCCATGATGTCGGCTACCAAAACGCTTTTTATCCTCGAACGATGGTGGATTGCTGATTGAGTCTTAGGAAGCTTTAAGTCTTAGTGAGTTTAATCCCAGAATACTTATAGCGCGACATTGATCAGTATCACTCGTTATTATTGTGGTGGCTTTCCCGCCTTATTCCTCTACCAAAGGATAGGCTCATTACTCAATACTCATCCTTCCTAGCGGTGTCATTTTGAAGAGCTCAGCAGGACCCTTGTTACTATTTTCACTGGACGCACGACTGTGCTTGATTTTAAACACACACACCCGATATATCAACCGTGCATATTCTGTTCTGTCGACAGCACGACACGCGCGAGGCGGCGGCGCTGTGCCTCCAGCGGCGACAGAAGCTCAGTGGTCTGACCGACGGAGAGCTGTCGCGTCTTCTGGACGCCGCGCTACGCCTGGCCTCGCCAGAAGCCGAGACTGCTGCGTCAGATACCCCCGCCGGTGGGACCGCCGACCGGTCGGGTGATACAGCGACCGATAAGACGGGTGATCCGGCGGGCGCGGCGGACTCCCAGACAGGTACTGTTCCGTCCTCTCCGTCCGCCCCGGACAGCGGCAGCTCGGACAGCTACCCGTCGTCGGACGATCCGGTCACCCCGACGTTCGGTCCCTCCATTAGCTGACAGGGCGGTGACGGGTGTGGGCTGATGTGATCGTGTGTCATTCCTTGTGAGAGTATATATCAGGGTTTGTAGTATAGTAAGGCAAATGTATCATTTCGCCATATATCAATGCATTGTCACAAGAAAAATACGAGTAGGTTAGTGGCATACCGTCAGCCCCGACTTTCCATTGCTTTTGTAAGAGCTTAGCAACGCATAACAACATTCCGAAGTGTCCCTGCAAAACAGTAACCCCCCCCCCCCCCCACACACACACACACACACACATACACACACACACGCCGCGCACATTACTTGCACGCCTCGAAAACGACATCACGCACTCTGACTAACGACACACACGTAGCATACATGTGTCACCGCGGAATGTCTGGGTTCGTGCCAGGTTCAGAGCTGCTGTTTCTCGGGCCCAGAACACTGCCAATTGAAGTTTGTGTAGGTTCGGTTTTCGCTGGCGCAGTATCGCATTTGTCACTTCGCTTTTGCTTAGAGATCAAACAGTTATGTATGAAAAAACGTGATAGAAATTATTCAAGGCCAACCACACAACGATTATCACTATACCGACCGATTCGAAACATGCTATTGCTCAATGAGATATTAGGGCTGGGCGGCGAACGGATGGGCCTTGTTTCCAACAGAAAAGTCACTTATCCAACCACGGTCAGTTCAGTGCTTTGTCCACAAATTGTTATTTATCAACAAAATTACATTAAAAAGCGCTTACGCTATCGAATGAATACCCAGTCGCAACAGCGGCCACGCGAGCAGCGACCACTTGACAATGGCCGCGTTATCATAATAAGGCTGGTGGTCAGGCATTTTGTCTCGATAAACCTCTGTACTACAATAACATTCATATATTCTGCCGCCACCCACGACCCACTTGAAACCGGTCACACGGCCATCGTGGCCTATTTTTGTACTGCGTATGATTGTAAGCGTATGGCTATGTGCATTGTGTAATGTCTATGTATGTGGGGTATTTGTGTGCACACCATGTGTAATGTGCGAGTGTGAACGTTGTTTTTATGCAGATCACACAGGTGGGCTGTGTGATCCGGGCATTTTCTTGTTCCAGTGATGAAAGTGTTCAGGGCCAGTGATATCGGTGATAACTGTGTTTCAGTGTTACCGCTCATAGGGTAGATAGCTTGAATTTTGTGCCATGCGGCATGTGCAATGAAGTTGACTGTGTTTCTGTGCTGTATGAGGATTGTACTTTGTAAGCATCATGAGTGCTCATTGTCTCGAACGTAGCGCGTGTGATAAGAATTGTTTTATACTCCACGGGCAGAAACTGGTATACGTATGGCTACCATATGTAGTTATATCACCCTTCTGTGTGCTGCTTGTTGTGTCAATAAATGACACAATTTGATCACAAAAATGTGATATACTATAAAGTATGTCCACAATTCACTGTACAACGTCATTGCCTTCCGTAGCGATGCCGTGTTACTATTTTACGAGCTTTCAGGCACCGTCTGTTCCTTGCTATGGGGCACTCTGCACAGAGGCAGGGATGAATTAGGAAGGTGTGTCGAAACACCACTCCCATCACATGGGTGGGAATGTCGAAGCCCCCGGGACGCGGGTTAAGCCGACACCTGCCTACCGGGGATGTTGGAAGTATGTTTGCTGCACCCGGTCCGAGGACTGCTTACCGCCAATTCAAGGTCGCTTGTGAAAGGCGATCAGACAACCACTGGGAAGCGGCCCCCTCGGCACAAATAGGGCTGTGGTGGTGAGGTTTTATTATCAAACTATCACAGCTCAATGGGCGTCACATGCACCTCCCGCTCCCATGTGTCTGAGGTTCCTGAATCGATGTAAAGCACATGAAAGCATCATCTAAGAACACCAAGGCAAACAAGATTACGCATGGGTAGAACACTTCACCGCAAGCCTCACAGTCCTACTCGGTCCGCATAAACGCAAAAAAAAAAAACACTTTCCAGCAAAGTTGTTCGTCTCGTGCGGACGATGTAACACCCGATGCTGGATACTTGCGGCACCAATTCACGTGCACAGCACCGATAATTTGCAGTGTACCCTCTGATAATACAAGTCATCCACTTCAAAGTCTTCACACGAATACTATTTAACTGCGTCCAACCAGTATTTATCGCACTATTATTTTTCTCTTTTTCTTTCAAGGCACAAAACGAGAGATGCAATACGTTTGATAGGTAGTCACAGTTTGGCCCCCAAACGAACAATAAATGAATGTCTGTAATCAGGATAAAATAGCTTTTATACAATTCAAAGGTTACAATTCTGAGTGGCTTTCATGGGGCGTATACCTCACAGCATTTACGCTGTAAGACGCCATCATGGTATTCCAAGGCAGCGTCAAGCTGCAGAACCGCATCGTTTTTGCTGTTGAATGCGAACGCGTCTGGTCTACGCGAGCGCACAGGTTCCCGAGGTGGGGCAGTGACCTGACCAGCGTAACATCTCCTCCCAGTCGTACCCAAACATCTCGAAGTCCAGCTTGAACAGCGCGCGGAGTTTCCAGATGACAGAGGCTCGTACGGGCGTAAGATACGTTCGTACGTGATCTTCCAGCGACGTACCGTTTCTCTTCAGTGCGTTCATCCGCGGGATTTTAACTTTGTCGTATATTTTCATTCGATGCCACACGTACTGGAAAGAGAAGTACTTTGTTAGGTTTGTGTAGCAGAAGACTACGATTAAAGCTCACGTTGCTTGGGGGGCTGAAAAAGGATGAAAGCGATTAACCCTATTCCTGGCGGGCGGGCTCCGCCGGGACAAGAAACTGGCGGGGGGGCCGATTCGGCCCCCCCCCCTGAGATCTCGAGAACGAAGCAAGATAGCGACAAGCGGTAAACGGCATCGGATACGCACGGCCAAGATCTACAATTTTTACAAAGGTCATTTTCAGGTCAGGTCAAAGATGACGTCACAGGGGTCGAAAAAGTCAAAATGGCGGCGCTAGATATGGAGAGAGTTTTTCTCGAATAACTTTCGAATTAGTCAAGATAGGAACAAACTAAGGGCAACATCGTGATCCTCTCGTCAATCCGCATCGAATGATATATATGTTGACCTCGAAAGGTCAAGGTCAAAGGTTGACCTCAGGTCACGTGACCTCGAGGTCATCATGTATATCATTCGATGCGTCTTGACGAGCTGAACACAATGAGACCATCCACGCGTCTGTATCTTGTTCCTGTACGGAGTTATTGGCCAAAAACCTTTGGTGACCTTTGATGACGTCACATGACCTCACAGCTGCCCAACAGCAAAACAGACCTCAAGGTAGTGAAGGTTGATCGTATATGAAGTCATGTATGGTATATGGGGCCATTCCGACCCGTTTTAGTGGTAAAAACAGGGAGTTGATTTTTCCCCCATTGACTTATAATGGGGAGGTCGCGAAATTGACCTGACCTTAGGTCACCGATATCAAAATTCCGAGATATACAAATTGCACATACTGGTACCCTAACTAAACCCTGAAGAGAAGAAATTGATCGGTCAAAAACTCTAGCTCTGGCGTGATTGCAAACTTTTCTGAGGTAGGGTCACCAAACCGCCTCTGGTGACCTGACCTGAGGTCAGATCAACTCAAAATTTTCAGACATGTTGCGTAGAAGCCTTTTAGGAAAAGTCAGAAAATTTGAGCTTCCTAGCTCAACGCGTTTGGGAGAAATAACCAAAAAACCTCAGGGGGGGCTCCTGAGGCCCCCCCCCCCCGCCAGGAATAGGGTTAATACAGGGACTCAAGATAACCTCGATCACATGTGATTTATCGATGTCATATTGGACCGCATAACTATCTTCAGTGATCAGCAGTCTATGGTTTAAAAATCGGTTTTACGAAGGTGCACGTAAAACTGCCATCGACAGCACCTAGTGCTGACGTGGCTCTGAATCATAGGCGGCACGCTCTCCACTCCACCCTCAGTCAGTGAGTTCGAAGGAGTGGGAGTCAGAAGTCACCCGTCGTGGCGTGGCCCGCTTTCTTCCATCAACCATCGTACTGTCTCAATGCAATTCACCCCTAACGACTCGCAACAACGTCCCTGCTTACCAAACCGAGAAACTGAGCACACCCACTCGCCAGCATCTTCCTCATAATCCTCACAAACCTGATGTACGGCCCGCTGACACGAGAGGCGTGCTGTCACCCACACCGTTCGACCGCCCACCTCCACACATGGAGCGGGCTCCGTTAGCCAGTGGCCCATTGACCCAGCGGCCGAACCGGTCACCCTGGGGGAGGGGTAGCTTACCTTGAAGTCGTCTGAGCCGTCCTCAAGTTTACCGATGACGTCATAATGCATATGGCACGGTGTGCACTGTCGCCAGTACGGCGTCCAGTGGCTGTCGAAATTGTCACCTGAAAACACGGGCATTTTAGGTTTTTGTTTTGTTTTGTTTTGTTTTGTTTTGTTTTGTTTTGTTTTGCTTTGTCTTGACTCTTCTGGGGTTATAGTCCAGTTAAGCTATGTCATTCCTACCCAACATTAAACAGAGCTTTACAGGGCCAAGAGATGAAAGAATTGCGGGAGAGGCCTTGGGCTGATTCGATCACCGATTGGTGCACCGCAGCTACTGAGGCTGCCAGATAAGGATCAGTATGCGCTTTTTAACGCTTCTTGAGAGAGACTCACTGTCTATAAACCATCCGTTCAGCCACCTAGTCACGTTACTCGTTAGAACGCTGTCATGACCAAAAATATTTTATTAAAGCAATGTTATCAGGCACTCACCGGTGGGGTCCATGGCGAGCACAAAGTCGAGGAACTCCCCGAAGGTGGGCACGTTATGGCGAGCCTTCACCTCGGCCCGGTATGCTGCCAGCTTAGTCTCGTAGTCTGCCAGCAACTCAGTTCGGTTGGCCGCGTTTGCTCTGGGGGATAGACGGGCGGGTTAGCTCTAGACGTATAGCGGGTTAGCTTTAGCGGGTTAGCTCTAGCCCAAGGATAGCTTCATTACTTCATTACTTTATCGAAGTCGCCAACGAGCACAGGAACAAATATCGAAATCGACCCCCGGGCTGCCCTCGGTTTACGACAAACAGGCACGAGCCCTGGTAGTTTGCACGTGTTGGCCTCGATGGGCCCGTAAAATGTAACGTGCAGCGGCTGCCCTGCCCAGTTCGGTGGCTGAACTTCTGCTTTGCTCCCAGTACAACAGAACAACACGGTTGCGTGTCTGTTTCACGCAGACGTGATGGCTGCAAACCAACAATTGCGAGCAATGCATTCGTTTCATATACGGACTCCATTCTCACACGGGTTGTGATGACTGGGAGACACAAACACATATTCATTTGATTCTGGGTATCCGTGGGAGTGTAGTGTGCATTTTCCTTGTGCTGCGGGAAAATTGCGCTTATTTTCAGCAGTGCTATCATCGCCGCCAAGGATACGAATACGTGCTTGGTTCGTTGCAAAATCAGCCGGGTATAATGGGTGGTTGCCAGTTCCAGGGCGGAGCGCTGTTCGCGTCGGCATTCGGTAGTGATTCATCTCAACATTTTTGCGATATGTGACGACCGGTTTTGCTTTACGGGTGCCCGTCGCCTATTGTAGACATCACACATTGTTCGGAATGGACCTTTTCCGCGTATTGTCTGATTATAACCGCAAACAAAAACACTTGTTATGCAGCTATACCCTAGCTGCAACGATGTTAAGCTTAATGAATTATGTGCTGTTTAAATATAGATCTAGCCATGTAATCACAGTTCCCAGGAAAGTCGGCTTCCTCTGTTTGAATGCATTACAAACAGTTTGACATAAAATCGACTTGATACGGTCAGATGAGATAACATACGGTAAACACGGTTGCATATGGGGAATCGAAGCCGAAAAGTAGTTAGTATGAATTAACGTTAACTTAACTGCACAATATGTGGACGTTTGCATAAATTGAATGCATATTGAATCTGTCATATGAATCAGGAGTAATGAAAAATATTATTGTCTTGATAACGGTGTCCAGACTGTGATTCGACTAATGTCGAAAAATCTCGTACGACACCCATAAATTAGCTGCTGCTTGTCATATGTTTGCTATGTTCGAGCAAAAACAAGTAAGTTTTTATACCCGCACGGCCCATTGAATGCACGATAGCGTCAATAGCTGTCATTGGCGACCGGCTTCCGCCTCCAATGGTCCATAATCCGTAAAGCTTTCCTGTCATTCTGGGAAATTAGTCTACTATCATGATTCATGACTGTATCGTACGGCAACACTTCAAGTTCATTTCCTTATCCATGAGCCCATGTATGCATGAAGGATTAGGATACCTACCAAACAATTTTAGATAGATGTCCGTTATTTAGAAAAAGTATAATTATATGCTGTCCGCCGTTAGTATTACAAACAATGCTTAGTACCTATATAATTGCATGACGCTGCTCTTATGCCTGTTGGCCCACCTGAGCAACGCGTAAGTGCGGTTCCTGATGCGGATGTCCTCCTGGGTGTTGAATATCGACTTCCTCAGGTGCAGCAGGCTCGGGTGATCAACCTTCACCACTTTGTCCTCATACGCCGAGATGAGACGCTCCAGGGGGTGGCGCACGAACATGAACTTGAAGTAGTGTTTAGTGGCCAGCGCGAACTCTCCAGGCTTCTGTGGGGTGGAGAAGGGACGTGTCGTCAGAATGAATCAGTAGTTGCACCGAGCTCCGTCCCCGTCCTGTCGGAGCTCGTCCTTATAGCTATAGCTTTAGTCCCGGCACGATTTTAGCCCCGACTCGAGAGACTCGAGTGGTATCCTTTCCTTCCCACGACGAGCACTCGGCTCTGACGTTGCCCCACTGTTTTGTATTGTTATTTCTGTTCCAGCTTGATGCACTACTAACGACCGGTTTCGGTCAAAGAACCTGATCATCAGGGATATTGTTTCCAGATCGTGAGCACACAAAAAGCGTGCACAGAAAGTGAAGTAATTGAGATATAATCTGCAGATTTGCACGCAAAGCCAGGCTGTTATGTTTCGCTCTGCTTCTTTTTGACTACCGTACCTAGCCACCCCTCACGGCATTTGGAACTGCTCGTAATGTTTTGCGTGAGGAACGGTTGCCAAAGTCATTACTTTGAAGCCCAGTGCTCACAAATGCCTGATTTCGTCACGCTTTTTATTCATGTGCGCCTGACACAGGGAGCGATGGGAGACATGACGACATTCCCACGACCGCCGGGTCAGGGCTCAGCTGGGACGGCAATAGGCGCACCCACCAGTCGGCTCGGCGCCGCAATGCGCAACACCCGGTCATGACCCGTACAGAATAATGCATGACCCGCGCGGGGGGTCATGCGGCTGTAAAACGGTCGAAGTGATTGACCGATGTATGTCTATTGAAACACCTTGGAAACACCCAAGTAATCATAGGCGGTCCCAGGGGGGGGGGCCACGGGGGCCATGCCCCCCCCCCCTTTGGTGCTGAAAGGTGGGGCCATACCGTAAAGTGGGGCTATTTGAGACAGTGGGGCTATTTGAAACAGTATTTAAAATCGCTATAAAATGAAGATCGTTTGATTCTTTTGTGATATTTTTCATCAGGGAGGTGTGGAATCGAGCAGTAAATCGCTTGGCCAAAAATTGAGCTTAAATTTCAAATGGTTTTTATCTTATAGCAATTTTAACTACTGTCTCAAATAGCCCCACTTTACGGTACTATCTTTTGGCCCCACCTTTCAGATCGAACAAAAGTCCTAGAAAAGCTTTTCGTATGTTTCATTTTCTTTCTTGCGCCATCAAAGGACGTGAATTTCACTCATGAGTGGGCTCAGTTTCGCATTCTGTCAATTTGGCGGTCAGCGTCGCTGGCACCGGTTCACGAGTATGGCCGGATCTTATATGGAATATCAGCGTGGGTTTACTTGAGGCTCTCGTAGGCCCAGCAATGGCTGGCATGAGACCCTCTTCGGCAGTGGCGGGTTGGCCCTGCTAAAGGAGATTGGCTCTAAGACACTAAAGTAAGACCTCATGGGTTGGTGCTGTGCACCTCAGAAGCCCGGTAGTGACGCCGTATGCCGGCTTGGTTTCGTGGGATTGGCGTGGGACCTCCGGGGCCTGCATAGAGTTTGTGTGAGCTAGTATGTAATCTCAGAGGCATGTGTGTAATGTGTACACAGTGGTGGTCGCGGGGGGGGGCATCAGGGCCATGCCCCCCCCCCCAAAGGTCAATAAAGGGGGCCATCATATCATTTGCCCCCCTCAAACAACCAATGGGCCCCCATATAGGTGTATGGGGCCCTGGCAATTATTCGATCGTCACGAGGCTCAGAAAACCCACGCCCAGCTATTAATATAGCTCCCACACCGGTCTTTGAGCGTCTTACACTGACCTCTGAGGGAACTTCAGTGGTGGTCAAGCGCCCACGTTGACCGCTAAGAGCCTACATCAACCTCTGAGGCCCCACATCTGGCCTATGAGGGCCCCTAACCGGCCTCAGGGGCCCCAACCGGCGTCTGAGGGTCTCACACCGGTCTCTGGTGGCCTTATTTCTGTCTCTGGTGTCCCAAGACGAACCTTTAGGTGCCAATGAGGGACCCGCACTGGCTGCTGAAGACCCGATGCCGGCCTCTAAGGGCCTGCATTGGCCTCTTGGCCTTTGAGGGCCCTCTGCTGGCCTCTGGGGCCCAACGACAGCTCATGCCGGTCTTTTAGGGCCCCACGCTGACCTCTGAGGGCCCATGTTGGCCTGTAATGAGTAAGGACCCACATTAGCCTCTGAGAGCCCAACTCGGTCTCTGATGGTCTCAAACTACTGGCCTTTGTAGTTTCCAGGCCCTGTATTGGTCTCTGAGGGCCCTAAACTGGCCTCTACGTGAAAACATACATGGGTGGGTTTCTGAAGATCAGAGGGCACGGTTCCCTCCAGTGCACGCCAAGGGTTTTGAATTTGACAAAAGCTGTGCTCATACGGGATGGTTTTATCAGGGTATAATGGGATGATTTTCGAAAAAATTAAAATATTTCATCCAGCGCTTTTCAAATGCGAGCTTGGGAACCAAAATATAGCCAAATTACAAAATAAATGAGATTTTTCGCGAGGAAAATTGAACGTTTTGCATCATTTAGTCGTCTTTTAGAAGTGCCAGAATGGTCCTGTATATCTCCAATTTATGCTGAGAGCTGAGAGCTCGGAACCTGTGGGGGTCTCCAAAGGTCGGGGTACCTACGCTCTCCTGCCGCCACACAACTAGGTACCTATATGGGTAAATGTCATAGTCTGAAAATGCTCTCTGGGTTTCACATGCTTGTTCAAAGCAAGAGGTATCTGTACTTTTCCGAATTGTTTTATAGTGGTAAGGTCATGAATCCGCGTGCCTGACCTTCCAGTATATGTACCTATGCTACACCGATCCGTCGTCATGGTGCAGTGGCCCGACCGGTGGAAGCACCGTGGGACGGGAAATGGAACTGGTGATTTTGCCTTAAATTGAGCTTAAATATTTCACGTAAGAATGAGATGGACGAAACATAAGTAGTGCCAACTGTGCGGCGCCTCGTGGACGTAAAAAATTAGCCGATCACGCCCCCCCCCCCCCTCCCGGTGACGGATAAATGTTATGTCCCGCGAGTGTGACTTTGGCCCCCCTTTTGCTAGCGGCTGCGACCGCCAGTGCAAGTAATGGATGATCCAGGATGCGTGGGGGTAAAAAAAAATCATTTGATATGACCAGGACAGCAATTTATGCTAGTCCGTGACATCATCGACAGGAATTTTCCCGTTGAATAAGCATACATAGTGCGACATTTGTTCCGCCTTGATGGGTATCGGATTCGGTTTTGGTGAGGAATTACCTGCGTTTAAGCTCTGAACAACATCCATGATTTCAAATGGCGCGTGAGGCAATATGGTGCATTGGCTCATTGAATAAATAAACTGCCTTGCGGATTTCAAGTAAGTTCCCCGTTGGTTGTTCGGGAAATTTGTCGAAGTAGACGAAACGTATGTTACTTGTCTTATGATATCAGCAGGTCAGTCTGATGTCCGGCCATTCACACCAGCAGCTGATAACGCCTATCAAGGGTCATCCCGATGTAAAATTCAGATGCGGACGGCACTCTTATTTTGCATGTAGCCGTTGGGACTTAAATTGCATTATAGTGGCGTGGCGGGTTCTTTTAAGTGGTTGTTGACCTGAACTTCAACATTTTATGCACATCCATTTGCGTCCCACGGCTTTCCACCACGATTGTTTTCCCTCATGAGCCTCTCACGTCCCAACCCTTTACTTTCTAACGGCGGTAGTTCAGGGGTAGGGCACACCAGGGTCACCGTCTCGTCTCTCCTCCTCTCCCTCTCCCTCCCTCTCCCTCTCCCTCTCCCTCTCCCTCTCCCTCTCCCTCTCCCTCTCCCACAGGGTCCGGCTCTCCCTCCATGTTCGGGAGTACGGTGGGCGAGCGGTGTGGGAGGTGTGGCGACTCGCCAGCCGCCCGGCCCCCGTGCGGGGTCACACAGGTCACACGGGTCTCACTCTCATCCCCCGGGGGCACCTTACTCACCGTCGGGTGCAGCAGTGAGGCGATCGAGTGTGGACTGCTGAGCTCATCGAACAGTGGCACGCCGTGGCCGGTCAGCTTCAGAAAGGTGCCGAGCAGAGACGTGGAGGCCACCTTGTTCACCAGACAGGCCATCGTTTTGTGCGGCGGCACCACGGTGAAATGGGACACCTTGATGGTCTCGACTGGACCACCTGTGGGCAGACGGACGGATGGGCGTCAGGGGATGGGAAAGGTGCGTGTGGTGGCGCCCACAGCTGCGGCAAACACTCTCATAAACAAAAGGACTCAATGGGGTGGAGCGGCACAGTGCAGGGTAATCAGCCGTTTCCCAGAAAATGGCCGGCCGGGAGGTCACAGAACCAGTGTCTATGAGGTCAGAGATATCACGTTCAAATGTTAGTGCATAACAACTCACAAGTCAGATCTAGATTAGCTTCATTTGGGTCACGCCGGACGCCAATGGGAGCTCCTTGAGGGTCCTATACGTGTTTGCACATGTAATTATTGTTGATATAGTGGCGCATTAGCCAATTGGCAGCGTGTCTAAAAGCCACTCGTGAGTCGTTCAGACAAGTTCGTGAGCGAGTGCGTTGCGTAAGTTGGCCTCACCGCAGGGGCGAGACCCCAGCCCCCGCCCCGGCGTCTCTTGGGTCATGTTCGCCCACTGGGGACGCATACTGGGGCGTGGGAAGGGAACCCAAACGCCGTTATCAGACAGGTGCTGGATGGTAATCTATTTTCAGACGTTGCATCACGCCGCAGCGAATTACACGCAACTGGCTGCTAGCTTCAAGTGCTAGTCACACAATAACTGGTTTTGCAACATGTGAACGCATCCGACCAGCGCGGTGCCTGGTTTCCTGCGTGTGTGCGTGTACCGATGCGCTCTCGAAAACAACATTGACGTGTATGTATAGTGTATACGTTACATGGATGGTTTCTCAATGCGGCACAACTTGATCTCTGAGGGTTCGGGCTATATCCCCAAGCTCTGAAGGGTATAATTTGACCGCCTTAAAAGGTCACAGGCATAGACCTAGACCTTCCTAGGTAAAGACCCATGCAATATGCATAGGCCGGTCTGTTGGGTCAAACATCGATCGGATATTGAAATCAACTTTTTAAACTTTTTAACTTTTTAGCCAGAACGCTCGGCCGTGGCCAATAAGTTGAACCCCCCCCCCCCCCCCCAAAAAAAAAATGAAGGAAATCGTGCCTGCAGCGAGACACATCCTCTCGATCTTCATCAATCAACTGAGGCCACCATTTTGACAAACATCTTGTAATCTCAGACTGTGATTTGTTTGTTTGCGCGTTCAGATGAATCCCAACTGCGAACCAGGCTATACACGTCGGGCCGTCAGATGGGATGATAACGGATGGGTCGGCTTGATTGACGACTGGAGTGGAACGACAAACAGCTGGTAACTCCCCCCCCCCCCCCCTTCCCTGCCTCCTCCACTGCACCCAATTTCTTTGGTGCAGTTTATTCAAGACCAAGTCTCTCCTTAGCTCGTGCGTGAGCAACTGTCGTCATCATTCTTCATTCTTCATCGTCCGTCTCCGTCTCTCTCTCGGTTCCATCTCTCCCATCTGCTTCCCTGTTCCCGTCCCTTTCCGTTTCCTTCCCCCATTCCATTCCTTCCGGAATGTGCGTGCGGGTCGACCCAGATCTACGCACGCTGAGTGCGGAACTCGATAACCACAGAGCGATAAGAGGAGACGGCGCGAAACGCGGATGGAACCGGCTCCGCGGCCCTGGCTCTCCATACAGCGCCTTACACGCTGAACGGTCAACGGCTGCGCTAGTGGATAACGCGAGTCCGAGTAGGGGAGAGTGGGGCAAAGCGGCCACCCTAACGCTTCTCACGATGCCAACGCTTGATTTTTAAACTTGGGAAGATTCTTTCTATACCAATGTGATCCCTAGTAAGTTGCCTTTTATTTCAACTGCGTTTTATTTCCAAAGGCGTTCACATATGAAAGATATTGACAAAACTTTAAACCTATGCATATTGGCCACTTTGCCCCATACCCTGGGGCAAAGCGGCCACCGGCGTCTTCTCAAGTCCCGATATGAGAAACAAAATAGTTGCCTCGTGTACGACTAGTGTATTTGATGGTGACAAGGTTAATCGAGGATGGATGTTTACTTTATCATCTTCCACCTGTAGGTAAACAAAGAAAGGATTTTCATGAAAATAAACATTTAATTGCATTATTTGGTAACTCATGCAACTGAAAAGTGGCCAAGATGAATGCATGACGACACATTTCAATGTAAATAATGTTTTTATCCAGATGGAAGCAACTTATGGCCAATTGGGGGGGGGGGGGGTGGCCACTTTGCCCCGGCCACTTTGCCCCGCGCATACCGTCCGAGACAAAAATATTCCAGCTTAGCTATTAGTGGGGTAAAAAACATTAAAATTCGTAGAATACATGTACGATAACCATGCAATGCATGGACAAGAACGCTTATAAAAATTCCAAAACGGTTATGGAATAACATAACATTTAAAAATTGTAAACATAGTTGGTAACCTGGCAAGAAATGCTTTTCCGTGTTTCACAGAACAATGGTGATGGGCCTGAAACCCTGGTTTGGCTCATTCGAACGACCGTGAAGAGAAGTATAATTGGAAACCATAAATTGGAACTGACGCCAGCTATGAAGGGCTAAAACGATGGGTGGCCGCTTTGCCCCGGGTGGCCGCTTTGCCCCACTCTCCCCTACCCGTTAATACCTACCTTTTAATATGCAGGGAGTCTGTGACTTCCGAGACGTAAATTAATCGGGAAGGATGACGCCAGTGGGTCCTGTTTTGGGTTGCATATGAACTGGCCATGGGTGGTAAGAAGACGGTGTCTGAATGTATGAATTCCTTTTGTCAAACGCTGAAGGGCAAGAGGAAGACGAGGGAGTTGAGAAGAGGCAGAAAGGTGTGGATAAGGCCAAGGAGAGAGGGAGATGAAAGGGTGGATAAACAGAGGCATCAGGCAGATCCAGATGAGAGAGGGAGAGAGACGCAAGAGTCGGGAAGAAGAACTAAGCTGGGCATTGGGCAAGGAGAAACGGAGATGAAAGGGCGGAGAAAGAGAGGAAGATTAGTTAGGCTGATGCACATCAGACACCACAGTAGGAAGCCGGACGCTTCGAGAATGCTGACACAGATGAGTCAGCGCTCCTCATTGTGATTGTATACGGCCCTCCGCATCCCGAGTCGTGAGGGAGAGCGCCGGCACAGAAAACCACCGACGTAAACGCCCAACTCATGCCGTTCCATGGTGCAGCTTTCCCGTGGTAACGGTAAAGGAGGCAGCCGTGGCGACCTACATCGTGACCGTGATGGGTCACTGGAATAAAATAAATACAAATCACCGCGTTTTTTGCCTTGTCGAAGATGGCTTGCTCGGTCATGTTCACGGGCCCGGCTTTAGCTTCAGGTTAGAGGGACAGGGCGGGTCACCCGGGACGGGTTGCCCCACACCCTGAGGGGCGGGGCTCCGTGATCTGGTGCAATGGGGACTGGATGACCAAGTAAGGGCGGCCGTGCGGGTCAGTCGTGAGGCCGTGACGGCCAAAGGCACCGTCTAACGGTTACCGGCGTCAGACTCACCGCCCACCGTCAGGCGCCCACCGACCGTCAATGGACGGACTGTCTGAACTGTGAACGGGCCGGGCCAGGGCCAGACGTTCAGAGGTGGGCGTAATGGACGTTACTTTCACCCTGCAGCGATTGATTAGCTCCAGTAAGAGCAATCTCATGACGATGGGCACGTCCGAAAGTACTGCATTGTGTTTAGTTACATGCCAGAGAGTACGTTTGCCGAGCACGGCACCTGAGTTATCCGCCAAAAAAGTCGACAACTGCGACAAAACACACCTAAACGTGACTGAAGGTTGAGACTTCCAGCCAGTGAATGCCGATAGACATTCACTGGCAAGTGACAGTACGTACTGCCGCCTGCCGTTCCTTCACGATGACTGCGAACATAAAACCATGACCGAGCCTTTCAATATCATCTGCCTGAAAAACTGCAACCCGCTGCGACTGACGACAGGTGGTGGACACTTCGAGGCTCAGGGATCGCCCCCGGCCGGCGACCGGCACGACGGCCGTCTCCTGTCGTCGTGCCGGTCCAACGACGCGTTGTCCGCGGTCACCCGCTCCCACATGACCCCGCTCCGGGAGGGGAGGGGGGGAGGGAACCGGTGCGGCGCGGCAAAAACGCAGAGGCCGGAGCGGGTCAGCGGCCGCCGAGCGCCGGGGCAGAGGATGGGAGCTGGGTAGAGGATCGGAGGTGGACCGTCACGGTTGGCCAGTAGGGTATATAGGGCCTTGGCCAGTAGAGGCTGGAGACGATCATGGTCGGCAGTCGGCACCCGGCAGCGAATGAAGAGGGGCTAGAAAGCGTTGATAATAATTCATGAGTGACTTTCAGAAGATCGCAGGTCAAGCGTCATACAAAAAGTCAATCCACTGTCTGTCGGTAAATAGTTTCGCTAACTTGGCGCTGTCCAATATGCGGGCAGGCAAAGTACCGATGCAGCTAGGTATTCCCAGCTGCTACTATACAGTAGGTACCCGTAAGATCAATGACCTCTCATGCTAGTCCCGGTATAGGCACTTATGCAGTGATCAGGATTTCGTTCCACACAGCATATGTCCTCGTCCTGCATAAGAAATCAGCAATGCTCGACCACAACAGCCGTATGGTGGTCTCAACTCTCAGCCCTGTCCTCACTAGCTGGCCAGACCGGTCTCTAGACTCTCTAGTGACGTATTGCATGGTTTGACCCATGAAAACCGACTTCACCGGTCAACTTGACCGATTCGAGAACTGCCTGATTCATCCAGCCGTGTCGGGTAACTAGGACGTGGGGTAACTTTAAACCACATACTTCCTAGTCGTGGAGGATCTAAATCCCGCGTGAGGAAGCTGGCTCGACCGGTCCGGTCGAGTGCTATGACCCGACCTCCTCTCACCAGCGTGATCGCTGACCGCTCAGCCAGTCTGGGCGAGCATCAGAGTCGTCAGCGCCGCATTCCGACTCATTCAATGAATCGGGTGATGAGCCGTATATGTATGGGTTTTATATATGCCATGGCGATTGCTGTAGGGTACCACCGGTTAGTGACCGTGGCGATGTGTGCCGTTGACCAGTCCACTGACCCATGGTTGGTGGTTATATGCTCGGTGGTACGGTGGTAACCGCAGCATAGGGTCGTCTTCCTCATCCACCGAGCGTGTGAAATTCCCACGTTTTATTCCCTGGGCAGAAGCTAATGTCAAGCCGCGCGGTTGTCATCGGACAACGCGAAGACCGCAAGCACAAGTTTTTGCGTTTCGAGGCCACATGAGCCACTGATCCATAGTGATTGCTGGCAATCACTATGTGCACTGTGCACTGTGCAATGCGTCATGGCCACTGGCTAGAAATATGTCAACATATATTTACTGGGTAACTAACTAGGTATATGAGTAAACACGAGGCAGGGTCTCAGGGGACCGGGTTAATTAGGAGTGGCCCTATTCACAACATTGTGAGGGAGAGTGATGGGGCTAAAGAGGGGCTAAAGAAGAGAGAGAGAGAGAGAGAGAGAGAGAGAGAGAGAGAGAGAGAGAGAGAGAGAGAGAGAGAGAGAGAGAGAGAGAGAGAGAGACGAGACGAGACGAGACGAGACGAGACTAACTGAAACAGTGCGCGACTAACCGAGACGAGAGTGCAGACGGACGGATGGGCAGAGGGCGAGACGAGAGTCGTGACCACACCCACTGCCCGTCTGGCGCCTACGAGCTAATTAACCTCCGAGCCTACGTCGTACACCGAGCATTGGCACGACCTCAGCAGAGACGTGAGGCGCCCGGTGCCAACCACCAACCAAGGCCAGGCATGGAGCGAACGGTGAGCTCGTGCACACTACCCAAGCTCGTGTATTCGTCAGACGGAGCCAGAGGCGGCGGTGATTAGACCCCCGGCAATGTTTTGCAACTGACATAACATGACAGCTGGTGCCCAGACAAACAGCTGGCCGTCGTGCAGAGAAACCTGAGCTTTGGGCGAGGGAGAGCGAGCAAGCGTGAGGGGAAAGGAGAAGAGGGAATGAAGCATCACGAAGAGATTGAGTACAGATAAAAAAGAGGGATGAAGACCTTCGCCCGTTTGTCATAATCAAACAATCTAATGTTATTATACACACCTCGGTGGGAAGGTATAAGGGAAAAAATTGGTTTTAGGGCTTCACTGTTTGTTATAAAATAGAACCAGGTGATATATAATTGCCCTATTTAGTTAAAATTCTGAAAAATTATGTAGAGCATGCCTATGCAATTGCATGCGTGTACGGAAGCAATGCATCACGCATCCATGCATCCATCAAAGAAATAACTCTCAGATTAGGGAAAAAATAGCGGCTACCAAATATGACACTGTTCGCATTCCTACGATTCAAAAGACGGACTCGTTATATAACAGGTTTTTTTCTGAACTTGACTAATTAAAAACGGTCGACTGTCTACAATCACGCGACACTGCGACTACGCGTCGACTCACGCGGTTTCTCAGAACCTTTCCATCAGAGGACCCGACCACAGGCACACCTGACAGTGTGTGGGCGAGGGACGACCAGTACTACCACCCGGGGCGACCCAGGCCACCGTTCCCCCGTACCCGTCACCCACGCTCGCCGATCAGTTCAGCTCGGCCGCCGGTCGGTGCGTAGGAGCTCGCCTGCTAACTACAGGCTCTACGGGCGACGAGGACGGGCCTTCAAGGTCGGCGGACGGGCGCAAAAAGCGGACGGTGCCGCCTGGATGCCGACAACAGGATGTCGAGACGCGCACAATGGATACATCGGGTGTATACCGGCGGCCGGACGCGGGGCGGGACGGGACAGAGACTACTAGAGCCCAGCCGAATAGACGGTCAAATACGGTAACACGGTGACCGGGATACACTATTTGTTTTTAGTAGAAGCCAAAATACTCGTTCGCTAGGAAATGTGACACGACGGGGACGCGGATAATCGGTTATACCTACCTACTTCCTGTGGATTCACGGTCTACATACAGTTATAGCCATGTTGGCACGATATCGGATTTGGTCGGTCTCGGTGGGAATCTAGAGACGATGGGAAAATGCGAGGGAAATTGAGATGATTTGGGGGAGGGCGGATATGAATGGTCGTCTGTAAATGTTGTAACGGGCTTCATTCGGCAGTGCCTGAACCCGTAGCCGGTAGTGTCTTTGATGCATAAATATATGCATGCATGCACCGCACGCAGCGTGTCTTACGTTTCATAACATTTAACATAGTGGGACCGAGGTATATTGCGTTTACGTAGGTATACGTGTTCTAAAACGATAGCAATTGAATGAGTGATAATTTGTACATAGAAGTTATTCTTAATTCGGAATACAACGAACGTAAACGTGAATATCTGACACGTTTTTGTGAGGAAGCATCATCAAAAGGTAAAAAAAAATCAATGAGATTGCGGTTTGCGCCTGTGCAGTGTGCACTGTGCAGCGCGCACTGGCAGGATGTAAACATTGATATTTCATCGGCACAAATATCATTGTGCACTTTTCGCGGTGCTGACGGACAGGCTCACGTTGCCGCACGCACATACAGCATCCTGACGGTAGGTAAAACGTGTCGTCCGCTGTAAATAACTCCTACACTCACCGGGGTCCGCGCTGCCGATGGCCAGCACACTCCTCTCGGTCGTATGTTTCGCCAGCTCCATTCCACGTGCCAAACACACTCGTTTCAGCCGGCGCCGGCGGGCGGCGTACAGGCGCTCGCGGGCCCTCAGCCAGCTCTCGGCCAGCGGTTCGACGTCCTCTGGGCGGACCCGCTCCAGCTCGTGGTCGTACCGATCAAACGCGCGCTCGTGCGGAACGTCCTCAGTTGGAGCGGAGTTTGTGGAGGGCGGGTCGGCGGCCGGCGCCGGCGCCGGCTCCTGACTGGGAGACGGTATGGGGACGTCCGATGGCTCCTCAGCCGCTGATGATGATGACACTATCACCGAGAGCAGGTCCCCAGACCCCACGGAAGACGGGCTAGGAGAAACGGGACGGCCGTCACTCGAGAATAGGTTCCGCGCTGCGCCGTAGAACTCCAGCCGCTGAGCGGGGCCAGCGGCGGCCGCAGGGCCGCCCCAGACCAGGTGATCGGAGTCGTGAGATGCCGTCCACGGTCCGGAGAGCAGCGCTCCGGCAGCCACAGTCAGCAGCAGAGCGGCGGCCAGAGGCCAGCGCCGCCACCGCGGTATTCTCACGGGCCACATAGCGGCGGAGGTGTCTCAAACGACCCGCACTCGCATCACGGCACACCGCCGCACCGGCCGGCCGAGCCGACGGACACGGACACGGGGCTCGTTCGCCGCCCGACGGGTCCGAGCTGCTGCTCCGCCGACGGCCGCGGAGTCACTGCCGCCCAGCCGCCGCTTGCCGGTCCGCCGCGCCGCCGCCTCCGGTCACGGCAGACAACGCGGCGGCGGCGGCGGCCGAGGTGTGTGTGGGCACGTAAACAGAGGTCACGACGTGGTCCGATCGGCGCAGACCAGCGAGGGTATCTCAAAGGGGCCCATTCGATTATCAATGCTCATAAAACTTGTTGGTTGAAATTAGAGAAAAATTGCGAGGTGTTTGAAAGTCAATCGTTGTCACTGGGATCGTGGAGCCTCAAACGATCAAAAATCGACTATAAGCGGACTGTCAATAAATAAAGTTAAGAAACTTCGTTAGACGGTTTAATTCTATTCGTACCGGCGGCTAGTGGCCCTTCCGCAATCACTTTGAGCGATTCTTAGCAAGGCTTTTAGCTACGTACAGGACAGGATCGGGGTTGGTAGGTATTGGTAAGGTGGATTGGAGGTGGGGTATGGCCATGGCGAGATCAGTCCTGGGCATGCTGGCTAGTTTTAACTCTTGTTATGAGTTATAACCAATTACAGCTAGTTCATTCAAGGATCCAACTTTGTTTACTAGGGATTCGGAAATAATTTGAGTGCTACTGGCCATGTTCATTGACTGTGAAAGTGGCGATTTGGCTTCTGTAGCTTTAAAGTACAGACTACAGAGCATAGAAGTTACACACGCACCGCGGTACATGAATTGTACCATTGCTTGGACCAGTTGGACGAGCATTCGGTATTGTTTGCTGCAAGGACTATGAATTTAGTGGCAGCGAGTCAAAGCAGTAGCTTTGCGACAGAAACAGCGCATCTGTTTCAAATAGGTTCAGTGAGTTTTAGGAATTTTCGTGGGAATTTTGATGTAATGGCGTGATAATAAAATTTGTTTTTTATTAAGTTTTTACGAATATAACTTCATTAATGTTGAGGCCAAGTTAAGACGCTAACAATGATCAGTACAAAGGGTAGGATGCTGGCAATTCGTAGTCGTACCCTATTTGCAATTATAACTCACAGCGAATTTTTTTGTCACGTTTTTGTGAAACCTAACTTTTGGTAGGGTGTCTTGCCGGTGTTTTTGTTAATTGGTAAGATATGAGATACCACCATGGATAAAATGCACAACTGGATTCGCTAGTGATTTAGTGAAAGATTAAGATATACGATGAGCAGTAATCGACACACATTTTGTACATTTTGTAGCTCTTAAGTATACGAGATAATACAAATGGATGGTTGCTGATGGCCCTGATGGGCTCATTGACATGTTGGTATGAAATATTGGCATTTATTTAGAACTTAGATGTTGTAACTCATATGCAAGGTTTCAAAATTCAAATTGAAATAAGCATCAGCCATCAAGATGAACTTAAACTGTCCCTATTAAAGGGACCCTCCCACCTTCAAAAAAGTTTATGAATTGGCATGAAAGTGATGTCGCTCGGTTCAGAAAGAGCGAAAACGAATGTCTACCAAATTTCAGTGAAAAATATTCACCGGTTTTCAAGATATTAGACTTTTACTTTTGTTTACTTTTTGGGATCTCCGCTGTTCCTAGCGACTTTATTTGGAAGCAATAGTTTGGCAGCTGAAAGTGCGGCACTTGATGAGCTAAGCAGCATAGACCACCGCGTGCTACAAAACGTTTTGTCAAACATTTAAAAATCGTTAGATATCTGCGCTGACGTCACACATTCAGAGGGGTATTCCTATGCATTAGCCCCTCTGAATCAAAATGCTGCAATTTTGAAATTCAATATTTCCGATTTAAGGCATTTCTCGATGTTGTGAGTGCCGAAACCGGTAATTGTGAGCCAGGGACCCCATTTTGGCTATCTCAACTCAAATCTAATGTTAAGGTGGGAGGGTCCCTTTAAGGGCCTATTTCGTCATTTGAATGACATTTTTGATTTTCAGAGACTTTGCTCCACTATCAAGGCCATTGATATATAGAAGTGCATACAATGGGGTCTTCAAACACAAGTCACTGTGAAGATTACACTGTATTGCCAGTTCACCAGCATGGTTCTCTTATGGGAAATGTTTGTGTACTCCTCAATGAAGAGTGGCCCAGGAGTACTACAGCCAGGTTAGTGAAATTAAGGACACTTCCTTGTACCTTGTAGAATACGAGTGCTTGAGGTGTTCTATACACCTGTTTTGCTCGCTCTTTGCTTGTATTTCTTAATCTTCTAACTTTCTAAGTGGTTACTCGTTTGTCTGTGATTCTTTATCAATATGACACATGACACCCATGTCCTGGTATTTCATTTGATATCAATCTCACTTAGCATTGAGACATGCTTTGACTTTGTGGATTCAGACATGTCCTTTTGAAACAGATGAAGACATCTGATATACAGACATCTGATGAATGTGTGGAAGGTATCATTTCCATCAAGCTTCTTCAGCATGCCAGCCTGCCTTGTCCAGAGCCATTCAATGACACAGTTACCCCGTTCTGCCAGGATGCGGACTCTGCAGGCCTCTTGTGAGGAGTTCCCTGCCTGCCTGGCGCTGGTGGAACAGTCTCGACCCGACACGGTCGTCGGCCACGCCAAGCTGTCTCCAGTGCCGGACCGGGACGACGCTCTGTTTGTCGAGTCTGGTGAGACTTCTCCCTGTCCGGAGGTCGGTTTCACTAATGGTGAACCAAATCAGGTTTCTTTCCTGCTCCTAGTCTTATGCTATAAGTGTCTGGAGTCCGATGATAATACCCTGAGTCTCATGATACTCACGGGAGTCCATTCAGGCGCCCAACCCTTCCCTGAGTACGATGAGACGACGCCTTCTTCCCTGCCCTGAGTTCGATGATACTGTCGGGAGTCTGATGATACTGCCAGGAGGCCGGTCAGGAGCCCCGTCCTGCCCAGTAGTCCGACCTGAGTCTGATGAGGCGTCTGCCGCGCTGTCTCGAGTGTGATGAGCCATTCCCTCTTTTTGTCGTGAGTACGGTGACTTTGGCACTAACTTGAGTCCAGCAAGGTGCCCCACTCTGACCCGATCGTTCCAGTGGCGCTCGGTTCAAACACGCCAATGGTGTTTACAGCTGTTTGTTTTAAGGTGTTGATATGTAACCTGGTGGTGCTGTGTGATGCATTGATATAATTGTAAAGTTTGCGTGCCTCTGGCTGATCGAATGTCGATGCTGATGGGTTACCCTTTTCGCAGTGGTTATATCGCCAAAACTACGGGGCAGAGGCCTAGGCAGGCATCTGATGCAGCTAGCAGAAGAGTATGCTGCCAGGTGAGTTACCTAATGTTAACTTTTTGACCCTACACGACAAAATATATCCAGTATGGTACAGCCCTCTGCAAATTGCGTAGTAGGTATTCTTTTTTCGACAAAACCGAGAATAAGGCGAATGCTATGCGATCGGTCATTCGGAAACCGTAACAGTAAGATGCGCGAGACTCCGCACCTTAGATTGGCATAATCATCGTATTCATTTTCCATCCATTTTGGCAACAAAACCCAAAAGTTTATATTTGCCCCCAAAACAAACTTTTGCATTTTGTTGCCACGCAAGGCGCATACTTTGTTTAGTGATAGACCTAATCGAAGGAGTGGAGTATGGCGCATCTATCTGCAGTGAGTTCCGACCGATTGATAGCATAGCCTTTGAGTTATTATCGGTATTAACGAAAAAAGAATACCTACCACGCAGTCTGCTGAGGGCTGTACATTTCAGATGACGTTGAAATGGAATCAAGCGACTTCAGCGTCCATTACATCGTACCATCTGCCACTGTCCAGTTTTGTATCGTATGCCACTGTCCTATGTTACGCATGTGACGATATCGACATAACCCACATTCACACATGTACTGCTGTGTGTTAGTTGCGGTACCTGACGGCGTGTTGTCCGTCGGTTCTGCCGTCAGCCGCGGCTGCCGTCAGCTCTACCTGAGCACACACGACAAGCAGCGGTTCTACGCGCGGCTGGGCTACACTCCGTGCGCGCCGGTGGCCACGTTCGGAGGCAGTCGGCGACTGCTGAAGGTGAGATAGACAAACCGAGTGAGCTAGTGATTACACCCTGACTAAAAGGGGTAACTGGGTCGGGCGCTGGAATGGAAGGAAGACTCTGACGTTGTTTTGTTCATTGTAAGCTCTTAAATTTTCTCGATACCCTTACCGCCGTTTTTTCTGCCACATCCTGTTGAGGCGGTCCCTGAAGTTGGTTCAGGGGCTACGATGCCTTCACGGCTTTACGACTTAGCGTCTGATATCCATGCTCTACATGTCCCACACCGTCCGCTTTAGGTCTCCTGAAGTCGCAAGAATGTTTCTAGAGCATGTCTGCTTGGCTTTGGTCAATTTCGCTTCAGACAAACTGGTTTGAGATCTGGGGAGTCGACTTACATATCTCTCTACCACTTTGCAGACAGCCGAGGCAGGCTCACCGCGTATCACCAGTCCTACCACTGACCGAACTGCAGCGAGCGGACCGCCCACCGCCCCTGCACCGCCTCCGCCACCGCCAGCGGGGGGCGGTGGCCCACCTCCACCCCCACCGCCCCCACCGCCCGCACCGACCGGTAAGCGACCAGCGCAGGACCAACCCAAGAAGGAGTTCATGATGAAAATGCTGGCGGATTGATGCTGGGATGCCGCGACTAGGTAATTCGGAGGGAAGACGTCTTCCCATAACTCATAGGTTGTTCCTACTGTTGTCTGTTATTGGACTGAGTGTTACCCCTCGTGCGCTTTCAGAGGGTGCCTTTTTAGGTGCGCCTGTGCGTTTTTACGGTGTAATTATGTGAAGTTGAATCACGTAACATTCGTTATTTGGGTAATTTATGAATCTGGATTAATAAGAGATGCTAACAGCATATCGTGCTTGGCATTTAAATTCTCTTCAATGATAGTACACTAAATTGTCTTTGCAATTTACAACAGGAAGGCAGGGAAACTATTATTCATGGCTGGTGTGGTCCTCCGCTGTGGTCTGTTACGTAAATGTGCCACTTGGACTGTGAAGTGTGCAGTGCCAAATTATTACTAAGGCCGGAGTCGTTTAAGCGTTTTTATATTTTACTGTTTTGCATTGCTCAATGTCCCACTTTTCTACTCATTTTTATGTGTGTTATACTAGTCGTGTCCATTTCTAGTCGCCCTAACTAGGCCAATAGTCAGGTCAGTCAGCAAGCAAATGGGTTGCTAATCCCCTTTATAGTCATTGTTTTTAACGACCAGATTTCAATACAAATTCTGCGAAAATGGTGCGACTAGGCTCTTGTGCGATGAGAATATGAAGTCCCACCGTCGTTTGTAGGCAGCAGACAGTTCAACGTTACACCGTGCGAGATACGGTTGGAGGAGTCGGTGGTTCCAGTGCCTAGTTAGCATGATGATTTCTAGCGCCCGTCTTTGCTCACGGTCTTGATAATCCTTTTCAGATATATTCACACAAGAGTCGATAAGATATGGGTTATATTTGTAACAGCCGACACGAGGATCGCGCGTCCACCCGCGCCCCAGCCCCGTACGCCGGCCCAAACGGCCTCTGCCTGATGGGGATGCCTAATTTCTGATACATGAGGGTAAACCTACAGCCGTGGAGTGGGAAAACGCTTAAAAACAAGTCAACTAAATTGACGTTCCAGAATGACGATAAAATGAAGCAGTGAACACAGGAGGGTTATGCAGGGTGCGTATGTGACCTTAGAGAGCACCAACAGACACACTTTGTGCACACAACAGGTCCGACGCGCGCTACACAGCGGCCTAACACTATGAGTTCGACACACAACAATGAACACACGATACAGACACCGCACACGCGCGTAACTCCCTCGATCATAGATTATTGCCGTACCTCCCATAACACTCTTACCCTGATATAAAATTGGGCCGGTTCAGTAATAGCGCAGGGATATTGCATACCTCTGAAAGAGAAGAGCCCATCCCGGCCGGCTAAGAGATGAGCCCACACACACCGCGGCGTTCGTCAGTTCGCCGCTGTTGTGCCGTACTGCCCTTACCGGCCGGCTATTTGTGATCAGTGAGCCGGTCTGTGGTTGATGTTGGATCCCGAGGTCCTCGCCAACGGGCCGGGGAGGCTGACCTCAGAACACAGCACAGCGGCCGGCGGGCGGCCACCGACCAGACGCCGGCGCGATGGGCACGCCGCGAGCAAAACACCCGATACGGGCCGCAGTGGACGGATCTCGGGACCGCCGGCCCGTAACTCCGACCAGTTCCCTCCCTGTCTAACGATCCAAACGGACACTTCCCACCCAACAGATACAGACATGCAGACAGATCGCAACACTGACACACAAACACGCCCTAAAACAGTCTACAATCATCCTAGCATCGGTTACTTGACCCGGATAAACACAGGAACGTATCGTACCATTCGCACAGCCTCGGAGCTCTGCTGACACTCGCGGAGCCAGCCGTCCGTAAAAATATCGCACCCCGACACAGCCTCAGCCCCCTGGCCCGATTCGATGGGCAGGATGGCGCTATGTAACTGATGGAACGACTCTCAGTCCGTGCGTCCTGGCTCCCTGAGCGGCGGGAGGGTTGACGCCACAGCATTGCAACGGAGGTCCCAGCAGCCCTGCAACTAGCCGAGATACGTTCACAGAACACAGAACACTTACTTCTCATAACTCACGAGTCTTACAGAACACGACGGTCCAATGAGCAGACGTCCGCTGTAACTAGATACGGCAGCAGAATCCCTCTACCTGCCCTGAAATCCCTTCACTCGTCGTCGCTGATGTCGCAGCTCCAGGCGGGGAGTTCGCGGGGCCGCCGTGTGGATAGGTCCAGTAACCGAGCGGCCCTGGCGGTGGGTTTGACGCCGCCGCTAGTCCACAGCACCAGCACCTGGTTTGGTTTGGTTTGGTCGGGGACTGGTACCGACCGGCCGTGCAGGACGTATAGCAGGTGGCCGGTGGCTGAGTAACACAGGCTGCCGGGTACAGAGAGAAAGGCGCGCTCAGGAACTCATTAAAACAAAGAGCCATCAAGTGACCACAGGGAAAGAGGGCTTAGGGGATATCAGTCATAGCACAACAAACAGGAACGCACAATGTCCAGCGAATCGCATATGGAGACTGCACGCGCCCTTAAAACCCCCACTAATATAAAAAACGAAAACAGCAATCAACAAACACCACCTCACCTGGTGACCTGCAGTCCGACTGCGGCCGGCGGCGGCGCCAGCGGTTCCCCCACCGGTCGCAGCAGCCACGTATCCCACAGAGTGACAGTGCCCTCCTCGTGTCCGGCGGCGACCACGTTCACGGCGCGGCCCTCGGTTAGTGCCGAGACCGTCACCGCCGTCACCTGATGAACACGGGGTAGGGGATCTGCTGAGTCAATTGGTGGCACGGGCAGGTAGGTCAGCTGGTAACATACTGGGTTAGCAGTCAGGCTGTAGTCAGTCACTGGTTGACTGTCTACACTGCACAATGTCCCAGGCTAGCCGAGAGGGAGTAGCTATAAAATCATCGAGGGCCGACCAACTATTATCAAAGGAAAAGGTTCGGTTACAGCCTCAACATTGACAGCGACTGGGGGTCGTATTATCATCCCACGATATTTTACAACGAACAGCCGTGGGATCCCCACAGCGTGGCGCCCACCCGGGCGATCACGGTCCCCCGGTCGTCTCACCTTTCTCGGACAGCCGCGGTGCGCCGCTGTCCGTCCGTTGATGGTGATCAGCTCCAGCGTGGAGGCCGCCGCCGCAGGGGCGTCCCACTCGCCGTACGCCACGATCAGGTCACCGGCCGTTGGGCTGACGGCCAGCGAGTGGACGGCGCCGGCCACAGAGAGACGCCGCACCAGCTCCAGACTGGGGGTATCCGGCGGGGCAGGTCAAATCAGTGCGGGCAGTGCAATGACGACAGAGGAAGGCAAACCAAAAAAGCAGATAAGTACAAAAAAGACACTAACTAGAGTTGATGGACACGACGATTGACGAGTCCATAAGAAACGCTGGGCCACAGAGCAAGTAGAAAAAAACTTACTGATCCTACCATACGTGACATTGCCCTTACCCTTACCCTCGCCTCCCCTTCGCATGGCTTTCCACACCTCCCATCCCATATCCCGTCCACTCACGTGTTGGTGTCCCAGATGGCCATGCTGCCGCCCCGGTCTGCGGCCACCATCACCGAGAAGCTGTCACACGGCTCCAGGGCGGCCAGCCGGCGCAGACCGAGCCGCACCAGGCGGACACCGGCCGCCGCCGCCGCCGGCCGCGTGTCGTACACGTGCACGGCGCCCGAGCTGAGACCCACCCACAGCCGGCCGGCCGAGAAGGCGCACAGATCCACCTGAGGGGAGGGAGGCGGTTAGACGGGGAAAATCACAGAGGGTAGGTCAGCTCGGTCAGGTCATCAAGGAAAGGTCGGCGGCGGGAGGGAGAGCAAAGGGGACGGGACGACCGGTGCTTTTGAGAGAAAATAGCAGTCGAGGTGCCTAAGGTGGAGGCAGAGCGCATCCTGCCAGGTATGTACCAGCTAGCAGCATTGACAATAGATGGTAAGAAGATCAAACCGAAAACCGAATAGACCATGTGTTACATTACATCGGCAATGCATCGCCAATAGCATTGTTATGTTATGCACTAAGACATATCGGCTAATAACGTTTGATATCCCACGGAATACAACTCACGATTACCTAGAACCCTACAGCATTTATATGTTTGTTTGTTTTGTTGGGTTAGGCCCTTTCGGTCTGACAAGACCATTTCAGAGCCGGAAGAATGATAGGAAATTAGGGGGAGACATTGGTCTGGGCAGGCACCCTAGCGAGTTACCGGGGCTGAGCCCGTCCGAATGGACAGGCCGACCAGCCCCCAAGGTACTCCCTGCACCCGGTCCCGGCTACGGGGTGCGCTCCCTCGGGAGCAGCGGTGCCGCTCAAAGGGAGCAGCCCGCATGAGATAAAGGTGCCTGTTCAGCACGGACTAAGGGTTGCGGCGTGGGGGAGAAGGATTTGAATGTCCTGAGGATTGAATCAACGGACGGGGTGCCCTACAGCATGGACAGTTTCCCACCCAGCCAAACAATCGGAGATCTTCCTCCCCCGTCCGCCACCTCACCTTGTCGCCGGGCGGCGGCGCGACCACCGGCTGCGTTTTCTGCGCCTGTCGTAGCCGCACCAGGCCGTCCGGCTGGCCCCAGTTGGCGAAACTGATCTGGTCAGCCGGGGGAGGCGGAGTGACCACGTGTCTGCGCGTCTCTCGCCACAGCTGAGTGGAGCAGGTGTTCGGGGGTAGGGCGAGGACGGCGCCGGACGGCACGGTGCGGAGCCGGCGTACTGGCGCGCCCAGGGGCCGCTGCCACACGACGGCCGGCGCGGAACACTCTGGAGAGCCGACGTACTCACCCCAGCGCAGACCAGTCACCGTCGGCAGAAGCGCCGGCTGGAGAGGGAAGCGAGATGAGGGCGGGGGAGGTCAGGACATGGCCCATACAAGATCTGAGACGGACAGACACGAACCATTCAGAATTAGTAGCGTTGTCTTGCGTCGGATGTTCCCTAGCCTCTACTCATACTCGACAGTCAGAACGTCAACACCCACACATCCTATCTCCGTCCCTTCTGTCCATTCTTCCTATCCCTTCGGCTATCAAACTTTCTCCCCGGACTCGCATCCGTCCACCAGTCCTTTCCTTCATCCCTCCGTCCATACCTCCTTCCCCCATCCCTCCCTCCTTACCTCTTTCACGGGCAGCTGTATATTGACATGTGTCCGGTCGGGCATGTGTGGGTGTCCCCCTCCTCACCTCTTTCACGGGCAGCTGTATATTGACATGCGTCCGGTCGGGTATGTGCGGGTGCGCCGAGCGGAACAGTCGCCGCGGCATCTGTCCGTACGTGCGCACCATGGTGAGCCGCGCCTGACGAGCCATCGCGTCCTCACACCGGTGAATGTCGTAACCCACGTATGTCTGTAATGAAGGGGGTATCAGACGGTTAGTCAATACACGGTAGTGACTAGTGACAGAGTACGAAAGATACAAAGCGGATGATTTAAGCAATGATTAAAGACGCAAATGAAAATAATTCAACGTTTGACCGAAACAAAAACAACGGAGCAACACAATAGCAATATGACTTAATAGCAGTGCTACGCTTACATTCCTCAATCCTTTTTTATCTATGCATGTGCATTTGTGCACTCTGCATGTCAACCAACAATAACGTCTAACAACACTAGTATATCGGCGCTTCCCGCGGCGGTCCCCCACCCTCACTCACCGCCGGATGGAACACGTTGACCGCCTGCACGGCCGCCGGGCCCGTCTGTTTGTACCCAAACACCAGGTCGATCCAGTGGGGCAGCTCTCGGCGCACCAGTTCCGACTCGAGCGCCTGGCGCAGCACCAGCACCAGTAGGCGCGCCGAGTGCTGGCACCAGTCCGGCAGCACCACAGAGTCCACCGACTGACCCGACTGGCGGCGACCGATCTGGAATCCTGTAGACAGAGGCGGACGAGCGGTCATTAAGGGCAGTGTAGTGGTAGGGGCGAATACAGTAGGGCGAATAACTACATCAGGCTAGCGCCGTCCTGATAGGCTGACGAAGGGCCGGTTAAAGTTATGGCAGCGTGCCGGTGTGGAATTTGAGACGCAGTTGTGCAGTGCACAATACACGGGGCCAGTTTTGAGGTGACTAAGACACAGAAAACGACCCTCTAAAAACTAAACATGGCTTCAAATGACGTCAGCTTTAGCGTGAATACTGAATAATCACTGGAATAACTGTCTCGCTCATCGCTGGTCAAAAGGCTGTTCGGCTACATCACTGTATCGGAGATGGAGCCACCGCTGCGCCGCTGCCACGTACCCTGACTGTTGGCGAACATTTCGTGCAGGAAGTAGAACTCTGGTATGAGCTCCTTGAAGTCGGTGTTGGAGGCGGAGCTGGACAGACGCCACACCTGCTCCACAGAGTGGAACGTCCGGTCCGGCAGGTCGAAATTGCCGTCTGCCGATACAGAAACAGAACAGGGGGCAACGTTTAAGACTGGAAAGGGTGTAGGCTTGATATATTCGACACTTCACCGGGAACATCACGGGCAGGCGACACGAGAAATAACTGTTCATCAACGAATGCGTTGAACATTTCTGCGGTAGCGTTTCCAATAAATATTTCTGTGCATAATACATGATGCATAGAAACATACGGAAAATTAAGACCTTATAGATTTGTCCACATATTTTAGCCAGTGTTTTATATGTCTACTGTTTGCCAGTGGCGGCGCAGACTAACTTCTCCCAGTCTGCACTTACCCTGGAACTTGAGGAAGAGCTGTGTGAAGGGCGGCATCCTGACCAGGAAGTGCAGTACGATGCCCGAGTTTGAGTAGTGAGTGCCGTAGTGGTACGGGCCGTCGATACCCAGCCGCTCGGGGGAGCCGAACATCTCCGACTGCAGGTACTGTAAGACAGGGGGAGGGCGTCAGTACGGGCCGTCAACGCCCAGCCGCTCGGGACTGCCAAACATCTCCGACTGCAGGTACTGTAAGACGGGGGTGAGAACCGTTTAGTGCAGTCTGCCGGTATCGGAGACAGGGTACTCTGACAAATAACGACCGGTTGGTTATTATACCGGACCTGATCATTGTCGTGCAATACACATGCGAGACAAGAATGCATTGGAAGAAACAAAGCCAGACAGCAAAACAAAACAAAACAACGATATTCTACACAGTTCAACGTGTCCAATATTTTTTTTTTTCAATTTCCACACCTAGTTACGCCATGTGACCATCCAATTTTTGACCTTATACGTCAGTTATAAAATTGTGTCCAACTAGGCTGTCGGCCAGGCGTGCCCTGTCGTACCTTGTACCGTTCCACGTAGTAGGCCTCCCGGGTGGGGTCCTGGACGCCCATGGGCCGGCGCAGGTCGCGGTACACGGCCGGGTCACTCAGGTCCAGGCTGGCCGACCGGTAGTCGCGCACCACGAACGGGAACACCGGGTACTGCATCAGGTCGTTGAACGTCCGGCCGGCCATCTTGTTCAGGTGCATCAGGTACTCGAAGTTGGTCAGGGAGCCTGCCAGGACACAGAGAATGGGAGGGAGGGTAGGGTCAGATGCAAGGCGATAAGTCAACAAATAGAGGAACGGTTCTAGTTGTGGCACTGGAACTGCAGCGGCAGGTGTGAATATTCAGCATGCTTTTAGAGTGTGATGTGTTAAGCTGGTATTCCAAGAAAGTAAGTTGTGTCTTAGCATTAATCTCTCAAGTCTACTATGCAGCAGCATCCGCGCATCCGATCGGCAATTTCCGTGAGCTCAACCGAACGTTACAGTTCCCGCAGGACCACCACACCCCGAGTCCGCTAGTGACCGTTGGCCGTGTGGTCAGCCTTGTGATCATCCACTGACCGTCTCGCCAGCGCTGTGTCAGGTCGGCCAGCGAGTCGCACTCTACCAGCTGCAGACCGGGACAGGTAAACACCTCCGTCAGGAACCGCTCACGGGCCTGCCGGACAGGACATAAGGCACGGTCAGACATGACGAGTCAATGATGTCGAGTGGCGACACATTGTGGTACATTTAACAGGGACACACTTTGCCAGGTAACAAAAATACCAGGTCACAATAAAAACGCAAAGTGGTACAAAGAGGAAAATCACAAGTGGCCAAAGGAAGCAAAAAATAATATGAAAAACAAAGCAGTGCCACAGTGACACGTGATTTTAACGGTGACAACACCGGCCGTCTAACCGACACTGAGGGCTATGGCAATAGGCCCTTTATAGTCTGACACCTACTCAGATCTCTCCGTCCGCCTACCTCCGTGGTGCTGAATGTGATGAGGTGGGTGTGCCCAGTGCTCATGAACAGCTCCACGGCACACTCCCGCAGCTCGTACCGGCGACGGTGCAGCTCGCGAATGTCCTCACACGGCCAGCGCTGGTAGCCGCACTCGGACGAGCCCAGCACCTGTGAAACACGGGGGGAGGGTGTTTAGACCAGGACATGGGACAACAGAGAGGGTGAGGCCAGCGCTGGTAGCCGCGCTGACGAGCCCAGCACTTGATAAAACGGGGATGGTGATGATTTGGAGGTTTAGGGTCCCCAGGCCGGAAATCATGCAAACATCGGCTTAACGGGCCGAGTGCCTAAGGGGGATGAAAAGGGGAGATGGGAGGGAACAAGGCGGGGAGGAATAGAGAGGGAGGAAGGGAGAAGGAGCATGAACGAGGGCCTACCGGAGGGCGTGTCGCGATCCCTGTTCGCGGACGACGTGGCGCTACTGGCCGACGCCCGCACGCCGGAAGAGTGCGACGCCCACCTCCAACCGTGTCTGGACAGCATCGGCGCTTGGCTGACGCGGTGGAAGGTGACGCCCAGCGTCTCCAAGTGCACGAGCACCCTCTTCTCGCTCGACCCCAAACAACAGAGAGGAAGAGTCCGGCCAAATCTGAAGCTCCACGGACAGGAGATCACCGCCACCGAACACCCGACCTTCCTCGGCATCAAGTTCGATCCGCAGCTGACCTTTGCTGAACACGTCTCCGATCTGAAGGCGAAGATGGCCCGACGACGACGATGTCTGCAGGCGATGGCAGGAAAGACATGGGGCAGCCACCGTCGCACTCTCCGGACCGCCTACATCGGCTACGTGCGAGCGCTATTTGACTACGGCGCCGCCGTAGTTGGTACACATGCAGCGCCGTCCGTCAGGGAGCGACTGGAGGCCGAACAGAACAAGTGTGCTCGCCTCATCACCGGCTGCATCCGTCTGACTCGCACGGACGCCCTGCTCGCCGAAGCCGACCTCCCGCCACTGTCGTTGCGCGCGAAGCAGCTGGCCGGACAGGAGTGCCAGCGCCTCGCCAGACTCCCCGCACTCGATCCTGCCAGGACCCTCCTGGAGAAGGAGGTGCGGCCCCGGCTGGAGTACCGAGCCCACCTGGCCTGGCGGAGAGACTGCACGCAGGCAGAGGCGGCGCGGAGGCCGCCACCGAAGCCGCCCGACGAGGACGCGGTGCTCACCAAGAAGCCGTGTCTCAGGCGGGTGGGCCGGTGGATCGCCGACGAAGCCGGGCTAAAGCGGCTGCCGACTGAACCACTGGCGTTGTACCAGTGCCGGCCGCCCTGGACAGTGGAGAGGACCCCCGCCCACTTTGTGGTGGACCTGCCCGCGCCCACGCGTCGCACAGACCCCCCCCCCCCCCCGACAAGCGCAGAGAGGCGGCGCTCCGGGCCATAGAGCTCCTGCCGCCCGCAGACGTCACCATCTGGTCGGACGGGTCGGCGAGAGAGGGGACGACATGTGGCGGCGCGGGCGCGCTGATCCAGCTCCACTGCCTTGGCCGTGAGGAACGTATCAGGGCCCCGGCCGGCGCAGTGTGCAGCAGCCTGCGTGCCGAGCTTACCGCCATCAGGGAAGCACTGGCTGTGATAACCTCTCTACCTGAAGAAGACCGGGAGTCCGTCCGCGCAGTCCGCCTTTTAACCGACTCCAAGTCCGGCCTGCAGCAGCTCCAGAGGGGACCGGCCGGCCAGGTGACCGCCCTGGCCGCCGACATCTGGGAATGCCTACACACCCTCAGCGAGCGTGGCACCACCGTCACCTTCCAGTGGGTGCCGGGGCATGCTGGCCTGGACGGAAACGAACACGCCGACCAGCTGGCCGGCGAAGCGGCCGCTGCGGAGCAGCCGGACGTCCAGATCGACTTCGCCAGCGCCAGAAGCGCGATCGGGCGCCGGGTGGGGACGATGGTCGACGCGAGAACAAGAGCGTCCCACCCCCACCCGGCGCCCACACCGGGCCACAACGACCTGTCCCGCTGGGAGGCATGTACCCTCTCCCAGCTGCGGACGGGCGCGTCGCCGCTCACGCGGGACGTCGCCCACCGCCTAGGCCTGGCGGTGGACGCGGCTTGCCCTGCGTGCGGCGAGCCGGACAGCGCGGCCCACCTGCTGACCGACTGTCCGGCCTACGAGGCTGCGCGGCGCCGCCGCTGGGGACTCAACCCGAGCCTGGGGGACGTCCTCGGCGGACCGGCGCCGTTGGTGATTGAATTCATCCGGGCTGTCGGGCGGACCGACCCTCCGGTCGACCCGCCTGCGCCGTCGTCCCCCTAGGGGGGCGACGGGTGAGGTGCAAAAGAAGAAGAAGAAGAAGAAGAAGGAGCATGAATCACCGCGCCAGCTGCTGGCGAAAAAGTAGAGAGGAAGAGAGATAAAGAGGTAAGGAAAGTCAGGTACCCAGGAAGCCCACTCACCATGCCGGCTACTGACGAGCCCGTTGAGGCGGTCCTGTCCACCACGAAGTAGAGGTTGGAGTCGCTGATCAGTACCTCGCCGGGCACCCCGCCATCCAGAGCGATCACCTCGCACGGCGTCATGTACCTGCGGGAAAGGGTAAGTCAGGTTATCGTCCATTAGAATCACGAAAAGACCATTATGAATGATCATTTATGACCCTCACGTGCTCTCAGGTTGCCCTAACTTAGATGAAAGATGACAGAAAGCCTCAGATTCGCAACTATAGGGGGCGGAGACCTCTAGAAACTGATCCCTGTGAAGCTGTCCCTCTGAAACGGTCCCTGTGAATCTGTTCGATGTACCGGGAAGAGACCTTAATCGGGTGACTGGGGGAGGCTCCTCTAACTGACCTGACTCTGTCCATGTGGAACTGTTCGATGTACTGTGACGAGACCTCGGCAGCGCTCGATGAGAACAGGTAGGACAGCGGAGCTGGCAGACGGTCGCTCTCTGAAACAGACAAACACTCAGAAGTAAATAACCACATCGGGCGGCAGGAGACCATCAAATATCGAAATGAAACAGAGGAAGGACGTTCATTTTTTGGTAGCTAGTTGCTATATTATGACGCACACTTATTAATTACGATGCAACAAAGTGCGCTACTTATAACGCAAGATACAGTAATTGCGACACAGTCGCCGGTCGCTACTGATTAAACATTGAGATACCAACTACCACCCTCGTTCGTCACTTACCGACACACTTGGCCGCGGCCGGCTGGAAGAAGCGTGCGGCCAGGTTCAGCCGGGTCTTTCTCAGCCGGTTCCGCTGCCTCAGGTAGCCCTCGGTCGGGTCCAGCTCCCAGAAACTGACCGAGAGAGAACACAGCGATGTGTGAACTCGAATAGCGTGAACATTGCAAACGACGGATATTACTTGAACATTACTATAAATTGGAGAGGTGGGTCATTGCCTTGTAGTTTTGTTATCAGGTCATCTTCAACATATGACATTTTCATTGGTTTTAGTGTGTAAGAGGCCTATTCATCCACACTTATCACTATTTGCTGCATGCCCATCGCTTATGATCGTTAATTGCTTTTCGACTTCATCAGCAAAGCTGCTGGTTCGGCCTGGTGATGTAAGATATGAAATACACAAAATCTACGCACCTGTGCTGCGCCTGCGGCGGTGCCCAGGGCGCGCCCTGGTCGGCCATCTGTTTGACCACCCGTCGCCACGCAGACTCCACGCGGGACTGCAGCATCGCAGACGCTCGGAGCACCTGAATAGAAGTGTACGATCGTCAATTATATGGTTAGAGTGGGTAGTATACGACGAAGAGCCACTCGGCTTACAGTTAGTGAATTATCATTCATAACGAACAATTCCCTGTCCGAGACTCCATGGCTTGTATCATAACACCAAGTAGTAACGGACAGTACGAAAGCCCGTTGAAGACCGTCGTCGACCGTGACCGACGCGCTGGGAGGGCGAAGGGAACTCACCTGAAGGTGCGCCCGGCGCGCCTCGTTCTGATGACACGTGGTGATCTCTGTGGCACGGTGAGCCGCCTCGCACACACGGTGGTAGTGGTTCTCGTAACACTGCATCGCCCTGGGGACACACAGGGAATAGGCGGCATCAGAACAGCGGGGCAGGCGCACACCAGGGTGCAAATCGCCTATCATACATATTGATTGGACTAAACCGAACACCAAATGACGCATATAAAAATGATGAGAATTAATGACAAGGAGTAGCTCTCAAGCAAAGACTGTTTCAGCGACTCGACCTCAGCGGTGTCAAGTCTGTTCTCACCTTTTCTCGGCGGCCACGAGGTTTTTGCGCCACTCGGCTCGCCTCTCGGCCCGCTCCTGTCTCCACAGTCGAATGGTGGTCTCTACCACTGTCCACTGGGCGCCCTTCTGGCAACAAAGCACACCAAGACAGTCAGATGTGCTGGGAAAAACGGTCGGTCAACCTACACAAATATCGGACCGGACAGCAGTAGGCAGGATAGTCATACCTATTTTATACACTTGCCCATAAGAAGAAAATATGCGGTCAAGATCAATCAGCTCACCAAGCGAGCCACTGAAATCGCCAGAGACAGACTAATAGACGGTCTAGCAAGACATACCTGGAAGGGGTGCTATTCGGACAAATCACGGGTAAGGACTGACTAGCTCCATGCCCCCAAAAATCACGCATCAGCCGATTCTGTGATTCCCCGTACCTGAGTGGGCGGCGGTGGTGGCGAGGGTAGACCGTTCCTCTCCAGGGCCTCAGCCACCACGCTGAGCGCTCCGTGCCGACCCGATGTGGCTGCCGAGCGCAGGCCGCGGCTCCGACCGTCCGAGGGAGGCGCTGACCAGCTCGGGGGCCGGCCGGACGCCGACGCCGGACCGGGGGTGACCGGACTGGCGGGCGGCTCGTCCGGGGATGAGTTGATGGAGCCGGAGGTGGACTCGACGGCCGAGGCCGGGTCCGAGCTGAGGTCGGACGAGTGCAGCAACTCGTGGAAGAACAGGCTGAACTGGTACGCCTGGGGTAGACGGTAGTTAGTGTCAACACCACGACTGTCATGCATATACCAAGCTAGCGCTTAACGGATACACAAGCCAGGTTATGGCGCAGCAAAATACACCTGTTTAGCTTCAAACTCATATTACATGTAGCTCTCAAACTCATGTCATTAGCGTATCAAACACCACAGTGTCAGTGACATTGCAGGGCGACTAAGAAGACAATAGTATTATTTCACCAGCACCGGTCTTCCAGTTCCCTGCAGAACCCGATACAACGCACTGTGGCGATCGTGGAAACACGCGGCCGGGTAAATGGGATCCCAACGGCGGATTTTGGGACCCCACGGCGGTGTCTCAATCCCACACCTTGCTGGCGGTGTTGAGCAGCGAGGCCTGTAGCACGGCGTCCACCTGGGTGTCCATCTGAGCCAGGAACACGGCCACGAGCACCCGCACCTCGGACGGCCAGTCCGGGGAGCTCAGGGTCACCAGCAGAGTCCCTGAGGGGCGAGGGCAGGGGTGGGTGGAGATGAGTATATCAGAAGAACGAGTTACTTATCAACGGCGTACTGGGTGATAAAAACAGCACAACTGAAGTTGTCAAAGACGTCCTTGGTTCAGAGATGTATCCACGAAATCATGCGAACTCTACACGTATATTCGAGATGTTTGGACAAAACCTGACAGGACTTGCAATCACCGCGACTTCACCTTTTCATATATTTTAAAACTACTCACACACCAAACGAACGCAACTAAACGAATAAGACACTGAGCACATCTATAGAACCATATGACTGCACAATACTGGCCACTTCACCCGCAATTAAACTGACAGCACACGTCTCCTACTCACCGAGCGCCGTTTTGAGTCCGGGCCGGTTCTGTCGGAGCGGCTCGGCGCGCCCCTCGGCCAACGGCGTCTGTACACACACGGCCACCATGGGCAGGAGCCACTCCAGGAACCGCACCGTGTGCTCCGTCACGTCCGCCGGGTCTGAGAGGCGCACAGTGGGACAGGCAGGGTCAGAGACTGGCACACTCGGGGGCAGACGGGGTAAGAGGGGCGGTGAATGCACATTAAGACAGATGGGATTCGTGGGGTCGATGAAGGTGCAGCGTCATTGGCTTTGCGGGTCGAGGGCATGGTGATAGCGGTCTGAACAGTTATATGTGTTGGCGGAATATTGGAGGGAGTTGAAAGTTAACAATGTTCAATGAATAAGGCGTCTTTCAAAAAACATAGGAAATTAATGAGAATAATCGAAAAACCATGTCGGTTCAGTGTTCCGTATTCACTCAGTCAGAGCAGTCAGTCCTGATCCATTCAGTCTCAAGGTTCCTAGTTCCTACCATTCCCGTGCACGGCCCGCCCGTGTTACTCTCTCCCTTTCAGTGTCCACTCCTCGCCATCTTACCCAGGTAGGTTATGATGTCCACCGCCAGCAGTAGGATCCGTCGGTGTCGCTCGCTGAGTTCCCAGCGCGAGGGTACCACCTGTCGCGGCCGATCACCGTCCGCCACTATCTGATTCACAGAGTCCTGACGACGGGAGATCGGGGGAGGATTAGATTAGGTCGGCGTAAGGGTGGAGAGGCGGGCTTGGCAGTGGGCGATTGTGGACAAAAGCTTATGATGATGCCATTGAAATATTATGGAGATATTTGCTCATACATCCGCGGCCATCCTAATGGAAATCAAGGTTTTCGCCCAATGGTTGACGTCGCAGAAAAAAGGGCTTAGCACTGGGAACGCTATATTAACTTTTCCGATAGTAGACGTTTGCAGTTGAACCCTCGCCACCTAACAGTTAATAAGCTCGGCTTCAATGAACATCGTTCCTCGGTAATAAATGAGCGAGCGAGATCATTACACAGCGATCCAGATTACGTGCATCCCTTACCAAAATGGTGGACAGTGCAGCCTCGACGACGTCGAACTCCAGTCGCACCACGGTCACAGTGGGTGTGGATCCGGGCCCGCACTGCCGGTGCTCCTCCTCGTATAGGTAGTTGAGCACGAGCAGAAGGTCGTACAACACCTGATCCGGGGGCGGTGGGTACAGGGAAGAGTCAGCTTGGAGGATCGCAGCGGCGGCTAACAACTAGAGTAGTAAAGTAATCTTGAACAACTAGAGCCGGCACCGAGCAGCCCGTATTGACAAATGAGCTTAAGAAAACAATAATGCATTATGTTTGCATGCTATGTATGTATTGCTTTTCATAGCTTAACAGTCAACACGTGTTTCCTTTCACTCAAATATTTCCGTTGCTCTTAATGGTAAAAAGGCATCAAGATCAACCGAAGAATTTCACTTAAAAGTATGCAGCCAACAGTGAGAAAATATGTTCCCACTTCCCACCTGGAAGTGTTTGGACTGTGTGGACAGCACCAGCCTCTTGGTGAGCGAGGTCAGCAGTCGGGTGATGTCGTCGTACAGGATCTGCCTCTGACTGGTACCCAGATCAGTCAGCTGGAGAGGCAGGTGGGCCAGCCGGACGGCCGCACCGCACACCGACTCGACCAGACCGTCATCCAGCAGCGCGCCGATCCAGTGCTCCACCTGGGCAGGGACGAACAGGATAGAGAGTAAGGCGAAGATCACACGCCAGTGGCTTGATTGGGAAGCGAGTTGATCCCAGCCAGACATCGTGGGAGATCTAATTGGGGAGTTGCACAGACCGTTCAGTTAGCTGTGAGGGATCCACGACACCGTCTGTTTAACCAATCCCTTCTCGCGGCTCCATCAAACATTTATAATTTAGACCCTTTCCGCTCACACAAACCCTGTCAACCCACTCCCCGGCTCTCCCACGCCGTCCACCTCTAGTTTACGGGTAACACTCGCCACTCGCTCATCCATACACTGCCCACTGTCGCTCATCTCTACACTACACACTCGTCCCATTGTATCTTTTAAACACTCGCCAACCATTAAACCGCCCTATTTCCACTCCTACCAGTTATACTCGCCCCAGCACCCGCTACTCCACTCTGTGCACGCACCCCAGTGACGATCAGCTCCAGGTAGTTGATGATGTTGTGACACACGCTGATGTCACCGATGGAGGCGGGCAGCAGGGCCAGGAGCAGAGTCAGAGCGCCCGCCTGCACCTGCTGGATGGGCCCGCGGCCCGGCGGGGCAGCCAGCACCATCCGACGGCTCGCCTCCAGTACAGAAGCCGTGGCGGGGTGGGAGTGCAGCTGGTTACCCAGTAGGTGGAAGCCGCAGTCGCGGGTGAAGTGGTGTAGCGCGGAGGCTGGTGCACGCTGACACCACACGCGCAGCAGCTGTGGGTGAGGTGGGGCAGCAGATGCGTTACCGACCGTGACCTAAGGGGATAGATAATGAGGAGAGCTACGATATTGACATACCAATGCCGCAGCAATTATGTGACAATTTAACAAGCAATTTAATATCTCATACTTTCTTCTTCGCTTATCCAATAATGGCCAAAGACAAAACTTCCCAACGTCTGGCCAGAAAGAAAAACCTTGACATCTAGCCACGATGGCAACCTATCCTAATCTCCCTCCCCACCCTACCACCCCATAATCCGCTCACCTTGAGAACAGCGGCGCGCACTGCGGGCTCGTCATGATTGGCCATGACACAGAGGTGCTGGGCGCGTACCTCTGCCCACATAACCGGTACGTGCTGTTCGGGGAGGGCCAGCAGCGCCGGGCCGAGCAGGCCCATCAGGCGGGCAGCCATCTGGCCGCCGGAGACCGACGAGCGGTCCGACACACTCTGGAAAACACGGACGGATAATCAAACTTACTCTCGGACTTACACTCAGAAGTGTGAGCTAGGAAGTTACGCCAAAACGGGAGGTGCGAGGGGTGTGGCTATGGGTGTTGGCAACAAGTTGCAGTATAGAGTGAGTGGGAGAGCTTACGGTCAGACAACTTTCAGTGCAAAAGTGTGCTCGTTAGAGAGTCACAACGAGGCTGAGTTAACCGTGATGCTACGATATTGTCTGCAACAAATAACAGACAACAATCCAATTACGAGGAAAGAAACGCGGGACACTGACACATTCGTGCGGTCCATCGAAAATACATATTAGTACTTTAACTATAGCTTCACCAGCCCGTTAGAGCCTATCCCTGTCATCAGAATCTCCGCTCGTCCACCCACCTGAGTCTCGGACTCCTCTGACGCCTCAGACTCTCCGCGCATGCGCCGCGCGAGCAGCAGCAGCGGCGAGCAGGGTCCGGTCGGCGTCTCGCCGACGGGCACCGGCGAGGGTGGCACGGATCCAGCGCGCGTGTCCGCCTCTTCCGACGGCGAGACGCTGCCGCTGCGGCCGCGGGCGCCGGCGGGCGGCCGCTCCGGCGACACGGTGCGGGCGCGCGCCGACCTGCGGAACATAAAGTCCACAGAGAAATGTCACGTAATGCTGTAAACGTGGTGGACTAAGTCACGGTATGATAGCCGGCCTGGAAGAGTGCACTAGTGCGCATATTAGGAAGAAGTTTTTGGGTGTGATCCACGAGACTGATCTGTTATTGCGATTTACTCTATCAGTTTGCAGACCCGCTTTATTTCCCGCTTGTCCAAACAGCCCACATACTAGCTCATCAGCCTGACATATCAAGCAAACAACACTTCAACTGCTGCCTTTCCCCCCCCCCCCCCCTCCTCCCTAGCTTCCACTGCGACTACTGACCTCTGCGGCGGCAGGCTGTCCAGGAACCTGCTCACCAGCTCCTGTTTTCCGTCGGCCAGGTCAGCGGCCAGGTCGACCGGCGGCCCGCCCGACGGAGCGTCTCCGCCGGCCGAGTCCACGGAGAGCGAGAGCCGCTCGGTGGCCGCCGGCTCCTGGCTGTGTGTCAGCGCTGAGTCGAGCAGGTAGTAGCACGACGACCTGAGGGACGGTGATAGGTCAGCGACAGGGCGGAATAAGACGATGGCACTCGACGGAGGACAGTCAACAAAAGCTGGCCGGAGACGTTCGGCGTGCACTTAACGCATACCGGAGTGTATGAAAAGATACAAAGCCGGGCTTACGGGAATATACAGGCGTTTTCCAACATGACGACATTGCATCCGTTACGTGGTGGGGCAGCCTGTGCGGGCCCTAATTCATACTGGCAGTATGTACAGACCGTCTGTACGGGGCAGTCTGCACGAGCCATCCAAACCAATTTCGCTCTTACCTGGTCTGGCAGACGAACATATATCTGGACGGGTGCAGCAGCAGCACGGCCCGCCAGAGCGCGGTGAGGGCGGACGCACACGGCGGGGTGCCCACCAGGCACTGCAGCAGCTGCAGCAGCTGGTCCACCAGCGGCGCCGGCAGCGGCTCGCCACGCTCGTCCACGAAATGAGACTGGAGAGTGGAGGGACAGAGGGAGGGTCAGACACGGCGCGGGTCGGGGCACCATGGCACCATATCTCCATCGGGTCAGGCGCTGGTTTCGTTGACAGTAAAAGACGTGTCATATAGCAAAGGAAACGTCGTGACCGGCATCCATCAGAGATCAAATTTAAGGCGTTCAGCTGGGCAGACATTTGGTGATCTTCTTAACAGTATGAAGTACATCAACGACAAATACAAAAGCATGAACTGCGCCAAGTACAGACAGCTTCGTATTGTAGAGAAGTGTGGTAGTTAGCAACAGCGGTGCACCCAGCCGCACCGCCTGTGGGTGTGTGCTCACCGTGAGAAACTCTAGCACTTCGTGCAGCAGCCTCTTCTCACGGAGTACCGTCAGGTTGAAGTCACGGTACTTGTAGCGTTCAGAGAGCACCAACACCACCGTCCGTACCGCCTCCGTGAGCAGGCGACACCGGCCGCCGAAATCACTGTAACGGCACAATATCATATACAGATATAACCAGTATAACGCCTTTTGGGGCGACTAACGGAGCGAGCGAGAGGGTGAGCCTTGCACGTGCGAAATTTCGACGAGGTACCTCCAGCTGACTTGTGCACGGCACCCTACTAACCGGTCTCTCGCGATGTGCCAAATTTGAGCACAATCGGCCCAGCCGTTCTCGAGATCTGGAAGCGGCACCCTGTACGTGCGCACGTGTAAAATGGGTCCCAACTGAGTTTTGCACGGCACCATACTAACCGGTCCCTAACCATGTGCCAAATTTGAGCGCCATCGGTCCAGCCGTTCTCGAGATCTGGAATCGACCCCTGCAAGTGCGCACGTGCAGCAGCACCTCAATTCTGGCACATGGATATGCATTGCCTAGTGGGTGCCTACCTACATGCCAACTTTCAGCGCAATCGGCCAAGTGCTTACCGAGATATTGCAACAATTACAAAAGTGACACCTCTTCGTTTTGCACGTGGCACGTGCATAAGGGGTCACCCACATGCATCGGCAATAGTCCAATACTTGGTAGAAGGAATGAAGCTACCCCACAAAAATTACCGCGTGTAAATCGGTCAAGTGGTTGCTGAGATATAAGCGTCGCAGTATCGTGACCACGGCCGATACTCAGAAATTTCCGTTAATCTAAGGAAAGACTACGCTCGCTTCGCTCGCTCCGTAATAGAGTTGCAAAGTTTTCCCAATGGGTTGCTACCGGCACCGCCCCGCCCCACAAACATTTTCTGGGATACCGGCATGCTACCACGCCCCAAGCCAAAAACCGCCAAATTACCGGCATACTAAAAAACCTGCATTCTTGATTTTGGCTTACCCCTACATAAGATGCCACATTTTGGCAATTTCAGTAACCGCCCCACCCAACAGCCACCCATTGTCCAACTTATTACAATTCAATAGCCTCTTAGTGTCCAAAGTTTGAATCATATGCTGATAATTTTTTGTGCAAAATCAAAAATACCGGCATGCTACCGGCAAGACATGCCAGATACCACGAAAAACCTGCGGTAGTGAAAAATTACCGGCATGCCGGTAGTGCGGTAGGGAAATTTTGCAACTCTACTCCGTAACTACAGCACCATGGAATAATAAAAGGAAAGCGCCAGCACAAGAACTAAAATTAACATCCTTAGCATACGACACCGGTTGTCCAAGCCGGCTCATACCTTAAAATTCCTCTAAACCTGCAGTTACACCTCACCCTCAAAGTGACATGTGATTGTGGTCGGTACGGTACCCACTCCCCAGTAGTTCCCCCAGCCCTCCACTCACTACCTCCGTCCATCTACGTCCCTCCACTGACCTGTGGTCGGCGGGTGGCTCGAGCCAGCAGCGCCAGTGGCGGAACAGGCCGACCAGCAGTGACGGGCTGCGCACCACAGGGTCGCTCAGGCTGACGCCGGCCAGTACGTCCGGAGCGCGCAGGTGCACGGTCACGCCGCCAATACAGGCGGACAGGTATACCTGAACAGACGGGGGGGGGTCAGAACTCCGCAGGTGTACGGTCACGCCGCCAATACAGGCGGAGAGGTAGACCTGAACAGACGGGGAGGGAGGGGAGGTCAGAACTCCGCAGGTGCACGGTCACGCCGCCAATACAGGCGGAGAGATATACCTGAACAGACGGGGAGGAAGGGGAGGTCAGAACTCCGCAGGTGCACGGTCACGCCGCCAATACAGGCGGAGAGATATACCTGAACAGACGGGGAGGAAGGGGAGGTCAGAACTCCGCAGGTGCACGGTCACGCCGCCAATACAGGCGGAGAGATATACCTGAACAGACGGGGAGGAAGGGGAGGTCAGAACTCCGCAGGTGTACGGTCACGCCACCAATACAGGCGGACAGGTATACCTGAACAGACGGGGAGGGATGAGAGGTCAGAACTCCGCAGGTGCACGGTAACGCCGCCAATGCAGGCGGAGACGTATACCTGAACAGACGGGGAGGGCGGGGAGGTCAGAACTCCGCAGGTGCACGGTCACGCCGCCAATGCAGGCGGAGAGGTAGACCTGAACGGACGGAGAGGGAGGGGAGGTCAGAACTGCGCAGGTGCACGGTCACACCGCCAATGCAGGCTGAGAGGTATACCTAGCGGTACACAGGAGAGGGAGGGCAGGTCAGAACTCCGGAGCACGCAGGTGCACGGTGACACCGCCCACGCAGGCGGACAGGTAGGTATGCCTGGACGGGGAGAGGAGTCAGGACTTCGGACATACGGGGAAGGGTGGGCATGTGTAGCTCCCTGAGGGCGTTTATGATCGGTTAGCATTTCAACATCCTCAAACTTCACACCAAGAGACGTCACAAATTATAACAAATGATGCATATCGCGACCAAAGAGCCACCGCATTCCAAAACCGTTTAGCCACAACACCATCAGAAGCCACAAAGAAAAACATCATTTTTTTAAAGAATACCTGAATCTCTCCCACCCCTTAAGCACAGCGCAGCCGCAGCACACACACAAGCCTTACTCTAACATCGTTCCCCTATCCATTTTCCCTACCAACACCGCATCGCGCCCACAGACCTGGAGCATGTGCCCACCGACGGCCGCCTGTTTGGAGCCCAGCACGGCGGCCACCATGTGTGGCAGCAGGTCCTCGGACTCGTCACAGGTCCAGCGCCACTGGTGGGAGGCGGCGGCGAGCAGCACGTGCAGAGCCGTGGCCTGGCTGGGACCGTCGGCGCCCAGCTCCACTACCTAGGGGTGGGAGAGGAGCTGTCACATATGATCTTTTGCAGAGGTTACATAGAATATCAGTGACTTTTCGATTAATAGTACTATCTAGCTTATGACTGAGAAATGCATGATTATGAATCATGGACACCACGGACGTGTGATGCAACTGAAACGCCTGCTGTTGCTAATAATGGCTACTGACGAATTGACAATACGAAGAACAACTTTTACCACATCAATCACGCAATGCAAATCAAATGATCGTCCTACTTATCCAGTACTCAGTGGTGGTACTCACCCTAGCAAACAGATACATGAAGAACTTGAGTCCTCCCAGTCTTGCCACGGCAGTGACCAGCCGAGGAGTGACCTGATGACGAGCAGCGGACCGCCACAGCACCGGCCTTCTCTGAGGCACCGCTCCAGGTTCCGGGAAAGACAGCGCCACCGCCGGCTCGGCAGTGCTGTAGGACAGCAGCAGCGCCGGCTCCATCTTCTTGATGAGGTCGCCGAACGAGGTGGTGATCCGAGAGATGTTGACCTTCTTCAGAACGGAGGCCGTGAGGCTGTCTGAGATGTTGATCTTGAGTGGGGTGAACCTAGAAACGACAGTACAGCGGTCAGGAGGTGATAGCGATGGTAAACAACGGGAATCTTCGAATTATTAAATAGGACACAAATGTGTTCTTTTTGCATGTTATCATCTGACTTCAACATTAATCTCCCAGCAGAGAACGACCAACTAGAAGCCAGAAACGTGCGTAAAAATCAACTTTTTTATAGAAAGTAGAAACTCTTCTTCCCCATGAAATACGGCATACCAAATTTATTGAATTGCGGGATAGGAAATGCATTCGCTTGCCATAATATCAGCGTCATTAGCCACCCTGGTGACGACGAGCCGACATGAAGCACCAGTCTACCATCCCATCCGACACCCCCGTGAGCGTGTGCACACTTACGAGCAGGCGGTGAGGTCGGCACAGTCGGGTCCCAGTAGGCGCAGGGTGAAGGCGTGCTCCAGGTCTAGAACCGGCTCAGAGAACACCAGCACCGAGCTGAGCTCGTAGGAGGCTCCGGCGTCCCCGCCACCGTGTCCAAGTAGAAGGACGGCTGAGCCGGCACAGGTGGCCGATGGGATGTCCACACTCTCACTGACACAGCCGTCCACGTGTACCGTCAGCTGGGGAGGGAGCGGAGAGCCGTTAGACGGTGATAAGAGGCCCATTCAGTCATAGCGGGCGGGTTTGAACGTGTGTCAATCAATAAAAGTGTTTAATAAAATACAGTAGACCCTTAAGCACGCAATGTGAGGAAAACTTATGATGAAATCTTAAATGTAACACGAGCTTTGATAGCAGTTTCAAACAGAAAGAACGCGAGGCAGGAGGCATCAAAGCTTGATTCTCTTTCGGTCTTAGCTCGGAGCCGCTGACCTGGGAGCGTCCACATCGGAGACATACTCACCGTCATGACCTCTCCATTTGGCACCAGTCGAAAGGCCAGGTGGGTCCAGCGGGCGGGCGCCGGCCGCGCGGACAGTGCCGCCTCACTGAGCGCCCGACAGGTGAGCGCAGCGCTCTCCGTCCGCCGCGCCAGCAGCCGTCGGTCCTTCTGCAGCCACAGCTCCGTCAGCTGACCGGCAGCGCCCACCGATAGCACGTGACACCGCGACCGCTCGGACGCTGCGCCGCTTTTAGCCTCCGAGCGCGCGGCGGCCGCCGGAGGGGAGGGCGGCGCGGAGGCGGCGGGGGTTTCAGAAGGCAGCGGCCGCAGCCACAGGGAGACAGAGCAGCCGGCGAACGGGTCCAGGGGCCGGGTGGGGCCGCCCAGAGGCACCGCGGCCGCAGAGAGTGCCAGCGCAGAGCCCACGCCTGTAACACACACATGGGACGGGAGTCAGTACGCTGATATAAGCGGGACGCACCGGCTTACAGCAATGGCCCACAGCTGCTCTAGGTCGTGGGTAATGGATATTTACTAGTATTCGCAGACAGTATCAATGCAGCATGCTGAAAGTCAACGAGCCCATAAATCACCATTGTCAGCTGTCAAAAACTTTCGTGGCCACAAACAGCAAACAAGTGCCTCAATTTAAAGGGACCCTCCCACCTTCAAAAAAGTTAATGAATTGGCATGAAAGTGATGTCGCTCGGTTCAGAAAGAGCAAAAACGAATATCTACCAAATTTCATCGAAAAATATTCACCGGTTTTCAAGATATTTGACTCTTACTTTTGTTTACTTTTTGGGATCTCCGTTGTTCCTAGCGACTTTATTTGAAAGTGCGGCATTTGTTGCGCGCAAAGCAGCATATACCACCGCGTGCTACAAAACGTTTTAGTCAAACATTTAACGGACGTTCGAAAGCCTGATGACGTCATCAGATTCCCGTAATGGTTAAGAGATAGGGACCACGCTGGTCCCACCCTGCAAGTAAAGGGAAGAAATTTCTTGAACACCATAAAGCTGCGGGGGTTGCGACCAGGATAAATGGTGGTTTCTGAGCCTGGCCGCAAACTTGGCTATCTCAACTCAAAACTAATGTTAAGGTGGGAGGGTCCCTTTAATGTCTTGACAAAAAAAAGCAGCATTCAAGCCATGTTTCACTGTCAAAGTTGAAAGTAGTATATATGGATAAAGGATATCCATCGATTGACACCGTCCCCGTGCTATCACTTATAGTCAGCAGTACAGAGCGCGGCGTCCAGTGACCCCGCTCACGTCTATCACGGTGAACGCGCTGCATTTTCAGCACGTCCGCTATGCCGCCGGCGGTGCCATCAGCCGGCACAGTCGGGTCGGCCGGCTCCACGGGCGCGCCGGCCGGGAACTGCACACTGTGGATCGGAGCCGGAGCGCCGGAGAACAGACGCGGCAGCGGCCACAGCAGAGGCATCTGACGAGAGAGACAGGTCAGACTCGTCATCGGCCAGCAGAGTAAGGCTTAAATAATCCAGCATAATCATCAACCGAAAATGCAAACAAATAAACGCAATTGATTGGCCACGGCCATCGTAGACCGGAGAATAATTGAACATGATTTGAAACACACACTCAAGGTATCATGTTCGCAAGCTAATTATCTACCTGTATCCGTAAGGGTGTGTTCCGTGAACGACCGTTACTGTCAAGGCGCCTAAGCATAACCAATAAGATTCTGAGAGAGCTCACCACCGGTGGGTTGGGCGCCGTCAGGAAGCCCAGATACCGTCCCAGAACATCCTCTGTGACGGAGTCGGCGTGTACCGACCAGATCAGGTCAGCACAGGCGCGAACCGCGTCTGAAACGTACCGGCGAGTCAGATTGCGGCAGTGGTCACGATAAGCCGAGCAGGGATGAAACGAGGCAAACAGTTAGATATTTCAATGTTTATGATAAAAAGTTAGTCCGCGTATCAGCCGTCCAGATTCTGGCTGCAGATTCTGCCGTCAAGACCAGCTTCATTCATAAATTCATTCGTAAGAGGAAACTCGATCGTTCGTTGCAATGCACGCTTACTCTTTAGTTCGTTAATTCCTTCGTTTATGCAATGGTCCATCTTGCAGCGGCTAAACTCACCCTCCAGCGCCGGCACTGCCGTGCTGAACAGCTCCGGCATCCCGCTGAGCAGCTGGGACGGCAGCGCCAGGTGCCTCAGCTGCGCCGCGGACGTCTCACTCTGACGAGCGGCGGCCGCCAGGCGGGAGGCGGCGTGGCGCAGGCCTCTGCCGAACTCGCGTATGAAGGCCGGCACCGGTTCCGGCTGCGGCTCCGGCTCCGGTTCCGACTCTGGCTTCGGTTCCGATTCCGGCTGAGGTTCGCAGACGGACACCACCGGAGCGCTCGGGCCGGGGACTGCCGCCGGAGGTTCTTTGGCCAACTCCGGATCGGACTGTGTGGGTTCGGAGGTCGGCTCTGTGGAGTGAGCTGTCTCGTCGGAACACGCCCGGTTGACTGTCTGGGGCGCCGATGTCGTTGGGTCCGATGACTGAACGTCCTCAGCACAAGTCACCGCGGTGTCCGGCAGAGCGGGATCTGCGGACGCTTCCATACTCGCCGGGGTGTCTCGTTCAACCTCTTGATCATATATGTGAGCAGGTGAGATTCGTTCACTCAGCTTATCCGCGCCCTCACCCAGTGGCGACAGCTGCCGCTCAGAGACCTCGACAGACTCTGCCCTGTCGGTACAGTCCTCAAAAGGCACGTCGACGATCGATGACCTCTGTTCAGCCGCCGACTCTGACAGACCAGGCCGAGGTAAAGGGTCCGTCTGTACGCCACCATTATCTCCAGAAGACTCCTCTGTCACAGTCAGCGGCCGTTCCGCAGGCATCGCGCGGGTCTCTGCCGCCTCCGCGCACGAATCAGCCGTGGGATCGCTATCACCAATCTCACCACCGTCCGAAGCTATACCCTCGTCTGCAGCCGAGTCGTCCGCGGGTTTTTCCAGCTTCGCCGGACTCTCCGCAGCACCGGCAGAACAACTCGGCTCTCCGAGCTCTTCCGTCGTAGCTTCAGCATCACAAGTGACCTGTTCTCCTCCTTTAGCCCCTGAGTCTTCAGAGTTTATGACACAATCTGCACTGGGACCATCGGTAGCGGTTATTTGCCCATCTCCTGTCCTTTCCACGACCTCTGCCTCAGTCTGCTGCTGTGTTTGAGCTCGCTGAGCCGGCGTCGGCTCCGGCGGTGGCGGTGGCGGCGGCCGCGGGGCCGATGTGGGCGCCCGTTGAAACAGCGCTCGCGGCGGATCCGGTCCAGTTGGGTCAGCACGCCAGCGGCGCAGGTGGCTCTGCCAGTCCTCCTCTCGACAGCGCAGCAGGTTAGAGCGGCAGCTGAGGGAGAAACTGCGCACCAGTAGGTCGGCCAGCAGCGGCAGAAGCCATACGTGCAGCAGTCGACGGTGCGCGCAGCTCTGAAACGGGCAGCAGCGGCGGTCAGATAACAGACCGCAGATGGGACAGTCAGATGAGCATTAAAGGCTCACCGAGGCACGCGCCTGCAGAAAGGGACAGACGATTGCTACACATGAACCATCTGACCTCAGGAAGAAGAAGTAAAATAATACTTTTACGGGAAAGATAACGATCAGTTTGTGTCATTTTTTTGCGAATGGATTGAATTAAGCGGAGAGATGAGCATCTTCACTACGCTAGTGGCTAGTGAAGAATGAGCCACCCACAACCAAACGACCGTTCTCCTGACCTGGTGCGGCGCCGGTCCCTCGGTGATCTCAAAGTCGGCGTCGTAGCCGTCCGTCGATCCGGGCGGGCTCTGTGTCGACTCCCCGTCAGAGGAGGGCACCGAACCGGCGTCCGAGCAAAACTCCGACTGGAAAAGCGACACAAACGGAGGGGTACGTTAGCGTCAGAGGAACAGTAGGTAATACTGGCCGAGATAGGTCGAAGATCAGAGACAACAATAATTCTACAGCACACGGCCAGCTTCGTGAAGCAAAATAAAATAGCCAATCTCTTTCAAAGTTTAAAACGCGTTTTTTTTTTTCGTTTCCCACCTGCTGTGAGCCGCTGGGCGGCGGCTGGCAGCGGTCCATGAGCAGGTCGGCCAGCCGACTGAGCAGAGCCCCGGAGCGGGGTCGGAGCGCGGCCAGCGCGGCCGCCAGCCGGCGCTCCAGCTGCGCCTGCTGCTGGGTCAGCTGGGCGACCAGCAGGGCGGCCTCCAGTAGCACGGCCAGCAGCCGGCAGCACGACTCGGCCGCACACAGGTCCAGCGCTGCAGACACAGATAAAAAGGAGAAACGTCGGGTTAACCGCCAGAGAAACAAGAGGTTCGCCACTGCAGTAAGTAGTAACAGAAAAGGCGGCCAGGCGTTAGACTGAGCGGTCCTCAAAGCTTTTCAGAAATGGCGCCTAAGACCAAGCAGCCAACGCCGTGAACAAGGGCAGAGAACAAAGCTGCATAATTTAGATGTGCTTCACAATCTTTGAGAGTTTCTTGGGCGTTTTGAAACATGATATTCTTTACAAAGTATGAAAAAAACTCCTGTTTTCCCAAGAACCACAGAATTCCCACTTTACACAAATCAAGATGTCGATCCCTTAATCACCACTAGGCGCCTTTATAGCGGTGGAGACGCACCTGTTTCACCATCTCCTGCGTCCCGCTCCAGAGACCCCAGGAAGCGCAGCAGCCGGTCCAGAGCCGAGGCCAGGTCGCGGCCCAGGTCCGGGTAGCGGGACAGCACCGCCTCCCCCAACAGCTTCCACTGGGAGATGGCCGTGACGAACGCCTGCCACATGTCCGTCAGCTGGGGCAGATCAGCCTCCAGGGACGGCGGGAGAGCTCCGCTGATCGCCGGACTCGAGTCTGTAGGGTGTGCGTCTCCAACTAGCAGGGCACGCGAGAGACTCCCCGTGTGAGCCAGCAGGGTGTCCATCAGCGCGGCGGTGCTGTCACCTGGCGGCGGTGTCTGTGAACCACTGCCTGTCTCGGCGGCCGCCAGGAGCGCCAGCAGTGTGAGGGCTCGCCGCCGGAGCCGCGGTCGGTGCAGCAGACCGGTGAGCTGAGCAGGGTGAAGACGCCGGCGTACCACGGCCACCGCCGGGTCATCGTCCGCGGCAGAGGTGTCCTCCAGCACCAGTCGACACGCCGACACGCTCAGAGTTATCAGGTACTCCTGGCGGTCGACGGGCACGCAGTGAGCAGGTAATACTTCGACACACATGGCGGGGTAAGCCTCCGTTCCCTCTATTCCATCCTCAGGACAGACAAATCCTTCTCCTCCACTCCCCAACCCCCTGATCCCGGCTGGACGGGCTACTTTATCCCATGCGGGCGGCTCCCATTGGAGCGCATCGCAGCTCCTAAGGGAGCACGCCCATAGCCGGGTGCATTGAGTACTTGGGGGGCTGGTCGGCCTGTCCTTTGGGACGGGCTCAGCCCCGGCGACTCACCAAGGTGCCCGGCCAGACTAATGTCTCCCCCTAATTCCCATCATCCTCCCAGCCTGAAATGGTCTCGTCAGACAGAAAGGGCCTAACCCAACAAAACAAACAAGCAAACAAGCGGGGTAAGCAGATGCTCTTAGCACAGGGCTGGGAGAGCTCACACTTCTCACCACACACGGGGGTACCGTGGGAGGTAGTCAGGAACTCATTGTCACACATGAGGGGGCAGGAAGGCACTCCCCAACATGCATAGAGCTGGGGGAGCAGAAAGTCATTAGACAAGCTGAGAAGTCACTACTTCCGTCCCTGGGGAGTAAACAGCAAGACAATTTTGTTTGTTTTGTTGGGTTAGGCTCTTTTGGTCTAACGAGACTATTTCAGAGCCGGAGGGATGATAGGAATTATCATAAGGGGAGACATTGGTATGGGCATTGGGCAAGCACCCTAGTGAGTCTTCGGGGCTCAGCCAATCCAGCGCCTAGTGGACAGGCCACCCAGCTCCCTGACACCCACCCCACCGCACCCGGCTACGGGCCTGCTCCCAGGGGAGCTTCCCACATGGGATAAAGTTGTCCGTCCAGCCCGCAACAGGGGGTGGAGGCTGGAGAAGAATTCCGACTATCCTGAGGATGGAATCGACGGAACGGAGGGAGCAAGACAAAAACATATTAACATTAGAGGCATGACAAGGACAAATTCAGAGGTTATCATTGATCTGATAATAATGGCTGTGGATGTTTCCGCGGCAAAACAAATACTAGGAATCGGATTTAATTAGCATATACTGTTTGATAACCACGTGTAGTGAAAAGAAGCAGACCATCTGGCCAATCGAAGATCTGTCAAAATAACGAGCCACCCGCCGGAAAAAAAGACTGGATAAGGATCACTAAAAAAAACAACAACAACAACAACAACAACAACAACAACAACAACAACAACAACAACAACAACAAAAACGAAAGCTTACAGAGCGCTATCGTTAATTATAACCGTACACACAGGAACACATTGGGGTTAATGAAGCCCTCCCCCTGCCCCACTCCAAGATGGCACACTAGCGTGCAGCTAATAGCTCCGTAAGTACGGCCGGAATTAAAATTATTCCACATTCCACGGCGCCACAATCGTTTACCAAGAAACCCTACAACATATAGAGGGGTGGGGGCGGGTGAAGGGAGGGGAGGAGGGCGCTCGGGGGCTTCCGTAATCCATCGGGCACTGAAGGTCATCCCTGGATAGCGATACACCCCGCTGTGTGTCATCAGCCGTAGACGGAGACCGACATTAAAGGGAGATTATGACCTTTTTCCACAAAATCTGAGTTAGGGCCATTTTCTGACAAAACACAACAAGTTATAATGTAAATTAAAACCATTTTGCTCAATTCGGTACCTTGCCGCAAATATCTCAACTTGAAGTCACGTTAGCGGGGAGCGCTGAAAATGACCGTTGAATAAGTACTTACATCACTTTTTGGTACTTGCATGTAATTTTGTAAAATGAACGTATTCCTCACATTTGATCTTCATCACATCTAGTTAGTTAACCCGCGCCCAGATGGGGTCTGCCGAGCAACGCGGTCTGATGGGGGGGGGGCCATTTTGGCCCCCCCCCCTCAGATCTCGAGAACCACGCAACATAACGACAAGCGGTAAACGGTGTTGGATAGCCCCAACAGGGAACTACCTTGTGACCCAATTTCATTGACCTCGGTCAAACCGATGACGTCACAGGTCAGGTCAAAGGTCGAATTTTCACCGTTTACAGGCATTTCAAGAAATGCGTTGTAAAATCGTGTAAAATGCATTTCACTGAAAATCATCGATGGGGAAATGTTCTTCAAACACATATTTTGCTATTTGAGGTCACTGATACCAGGTCAGGTCACAGAGGTCAGGTCACTGGGGGGTCACAATATGAAAGTGTCGTGTGATACATGTTTTATGGTCCATTTTACATGACAAATGCGATTATGTGGGTCAGACAGACTTTAGGGCCAGCTTAGGTCACGTTTTGGTCAAGGTCAGGTCAAGGTCAGGTCAAGGTCAGGTCAAATTAGGTCAAATTTCAAAGTTGATATTTTTGCATAAAATGGGTATCGATTCGATGCAGCTCGTCACGGGGAGTTCAATGGTGGTCTCTGTTTTGAGCTACGAGGTCTAGAATTGCTAAAAATTGAGTTCAAAAATTTGACGTCATCAATTTTTAACAGTTTTTTCGCTATAACTTGGCCAAAAAAAGAGGTATCGATCTCAAATTTGGTATGTATATCGAAGAGCGCAGGGACTATCACATATATTCCGGTTTTTTCGAAATTCGAAAATTTTTTGGAAATTTTTTGAGTTTTTCTAAAAAAATCAATTTTTTTGATTTTTGGGGGTCAAAATCCAAAAATTTCAAAAATCCGAGATAGCAGTTTTGTAGCGCCGTCTTTTCTCTACACAACCACATAAAGAACTTTAAAATTGCTTGTGAACTGTAGAATTGGTGGGCGTTTCAAGATGTCATGTTTTTTGCTCATTTTTACTCGAACATGACCTCAGTTTGACCTCAATAACTCCTGACCTGAGGTGACCTGTGACTTGAAATTTTGTGTGAAGGTGTCAAATTGATGTCCGGTAAGGTACCCAAAATTTGGCGGCGCTGCGCGCCGCCGTTTTCTCGCTATTTAGGAAAAACCACAGGGGGGGGCCAAAATGGCCCCCCCCCCATCAGGGCGCGGGTTAATGGTCGTCTATAGTGCCTTCAAAAGATATTAATGGTTTGGGGGTGGTTTATGTCTAAATTTACGCAACTATTTTTCCTGTTCATCATCTGTGTCCATATGCTGCTATTTTAGTAGCAACGACTCAATTTTGAATCGGTCCCGCCGACTGCACAATAAAAGAAGATAGATACAACACTTTTGCGGCATCACTGAAAAACTTATGCAGTACTGTTATCAAAATTCTCATAACACCGTTCGACAAACCTGAAGTCTTTTTGAAATAAATATGCTTGTATTTTTCGCTTCAGGCTCTGAGGCCAAAATAATGAATTTCGTAGTCGCAATCGCAAGATTTGGCTGCGTTTCTGGCGCATGCCGTTCATTTGTGGCGCAAAATAATACTTGGAAACAAAGAAGAGTAGGCACTATGTACGAATCTAATTAATTCTAAACCGAATTAACTCTAATTCAAATTAGAATCCTTACAACCAAGCAACGACAAGGCGATAACAAAAACAAAAACCCAAGCGTCGCTGTTTGAAACAAAAGCGCCATATACTGCGACTTTTTTATAGAGAAGGACAACGCATTTCGGTGGGTGTTACAAGTACTGCAAGTACTGCTTCTTTTTTGCAAAAATAAAAACATTTTTCACATACGAAACTGTGCTAGGAAATTTTCATATTTTATAGAAACTACAGTACAAATAGTATAGATGTCGAGTAATTTTTATTTAAGAAAAAAGAAAGCTCATTATCTCCCTTTAAATACGCACTGTATAAACATTGGACGAGATAACGTGAAAGCAGACCCCGCGTCCGATCGGCAAATACGGCAGAAAACACAGTAACGCACCGATATGAATGAAGATGAACGGACCACCGAACTATACACAGACGACCAGGCCCGGAACATCACAGTACGCAATTATCAATTTTGACTAACATGGACATGTTCCAGTCATTCACAGAGAGCTCTGTTGTGCAGACCTGGCACAAGATCAGCGTTTCGCTGGTCACAGTCCAAACGGATAGCCTTTTTCAGCTCCCGTTATCCCCACCCATGCCGGCGTGAGGTATGCGTGTTTACTATAGTTCAGCCGTCAGCCGGGGAGCCGTTCCACTCAGCACCGGGGGAGGCATGGCCTTTGTCACGGTACGGTTGTCTATCCACGTTCTTCCTTTGCTCATCATTGCAAGAGTGGAATACCAACGTGATCCCTCGTGCCTAAACTCTCAATCCAGTCGTTTCATTCGTCAAAACAAAGACAAAACGGACGGAACACGTGTTTTTGAAACTCCTATCAATACCCTTGGCATACATTACATCATGTAAGCGCATCTTTAACAAAAAGATTTCATAAACCGGGTAGATAGTCATTGGCAAGCTAAGGATAACATTGCTTGTTATTGTTTTTCGCTGTCACCGTGTAGTATCTGGATCATGTTACAGTTACGAGAATAAGAATCGGCGCGCCTGTTTGCTGTCGACGTGAAATTTCCCAGTTCAAGAAAAACGCAGAAGCTCTATCTATAAATGGATCTCAAGGAATCGATCGCTTCAAATCAAACAGATGTTCGAGACTGTAGACAGATTTAAAATTAGGTTAGTGCGACAGACAAAGGAATATAAACAGCACGAATGTCTGACTATCAGCATCGAGTATTAAAACCTTCGAGTAGTACACCCCAGCAGCAAGGCACTACATCCCGAGTCACCACACCCCAGTTTCTGGTGTGAACAGTTAAACACTCACCTGGTGTTGTGAAATGTCTCCGGCAGCGCATCCGTCGTCCGCCGGCGGCAGACGACGGACGACGTTTCGCTGGTCACAAGATCAGCGTTTCGCTGGTCACAGTCCAAACGGATAGCCTTTTTCAGCTCCCGTTATCCCCACCCATGCCGGCGTGAGGTATGCGTGTTTACTATAGTTCAGCCGTCAGCCGGGGAGCCGTTCCACTCAGCACCGGGGGAGGCATGGCCTTTGTCACGGTACGGTTGTCTATCCACGTTCTTCCTTTGCTCATCATTGCAAGAGTGGAATACCAACGTGATCCCTCGTGCCTAAACTCTCAATCCAGTCGTTTCATTCGTCAAAACAAAGACAAAACGGACGGAACACGTGTTTTTGAAACTCCTATCAATACCCTTGGCATACATTACATCATGTAAGCGCATCTTTAACAAAAAGATTTCATAAACCGGGTAGATAGTCATTGGCAAGCTAAGGATAACATTGCTTGTTATTGTTTTTCGCTGTCACCGTGTAGTATCTGGATCATGTTACAGTTACGAGAATAAGAATCGGCGCGCCTGTTTGCTGTCGACGTGAAATTTCCCAGTTCAAGAAAAACGCAGAAGCTCTATCTATAAATGGATCTCAAGGAATCGATCGCTTCAAATCAAACAGATGTTCGAGACTGTAGACAGATTTAAAATTAGGTTAGTGCGACAGACAAAGGAATATAAACAGCACGAATGTCTGACTATCAGCATCGAGTATTAAAACCTTCGAGTAGTACACCCCAGCAGCAAGGCACTACATCCCGAGTCACCACACCCCAGTTTCTGGTGTGAACAGTTAAACACTCACCTGGTGTTGTGAAATGTCTCCGGCAGCGCATCCGTCGTCCGCCGGCGGCAGCAGCGGCAGCAGCAGGTCGCGCAGCAGCACCAGCCGCAGCCGCGGGTGAGCCGTGGTCAGCACACGCAGCAGGTGCTGGCCGAGCAGCCGGCGGCGCCCGGGGGACGCGTGCACGGCGGTCAGCAGGCGCGCGTACACGGTCCCGGCGGGCAGCCAGCGGCCGCCGTCGGCCGGTCCCCGGTCCGGGTCACACACTCGGCAGTCCACAGAGCTGGCCGCCCCGCCCAGCTGCGCCAGAGTCCCCTCCATCAGCCGCAGTGTGAGGCGGCAGCCGGCCGCCGAGCCAGCAGACTCCACGGCAGCGGCCAGCGCCGGCAGCGCGGCCGCCGGCGGCAGGCAGCAGCACACCCCGCTCTGCTCGGCAGTCTGGATCAGCTGCGCCCGCAGCGCGCGGTCCGGCGGCGCAGCGGCCAGCCGCAGCAGCTGCTCGGACAGGAACGCCGCCGGACAGCCGGACAGCCCGGCCGGCTGCTTCGGGCAGTGGTGCGCACTGAGCGGGCCGCCTCCGCAGCCGTCGGGCGCGCGGCGCCGGCCACCAGCCACCGGCGGTGGAGCCCGCAGCTCCTTCAGCGCAATCACAGCTGACGCGATGGCCGAGGCCAGGGCGCGGCACAGCTCTGGCTCAGCGCCGGGTTCACTAAAATACCGCTGCAGAGCCTCCGTCACCTGTAGCTTACCCCAGAGCGCCAGAGTCTCCGGCCACACACCGGGCGCCTCCTGGGGGTTTCGCACGCTCTGATACGCTAGCAGAGTCAGACACCTTACCACCACGAGCAGTGCCCGCCCGGAGAGGGAGCCGTCTCCACCGGCCCTCTCAGCCGCCGCGAATGTCTCTATGTGGGGCAGTATCATATCAGGACGCGTCACTAGTGCAGGTCCAGCGGTGGCCACCGCTAGCAGCAGCGCGTGTTCCGGCACCACACTTCTCGCCCTCTTAGTGTCCACCAGTTTGAGGGCGGTGCGCAGGCAGACGGCGCAGCGCGGGTCGGCCTGGCCGGGGGCCGCCCTCATACAGCAGCGCGTCAGCAGCGACAGGCCGAGGCGGATGACGGCGTCGGGCGGTAGGTGGCGGCGCACCAGCAGGGGCCGGTACCGTGCCGTCCAGTCTGCCGGCCGCTCGGCGCGCGGCTGAGCCACCCAGGGCGGCCGCTCGTCGCTGCTGGCGGCGCCGGCCACCGACAGGTAGTCCCAGCAGTCGGCCTCTGGACGGCGTGACACCACCAGCGCCGGCCGGGCGTGCAGCCGCTCCAGCGCAGCGGCGCCCTCCGCGTCAGACTCGTCGCTGCTGCCGGCCGGGGAGGGTGGCCGCGACCCCTCTGCTGGGGAGAGGGAGGAAGGGCGTAAACACATGGCCCAGCGAGCACCGAAACGGAGAAATAGCACACGGATCCAATTCCTAACGGATATCAACCGGAAACGAAATAGACACTCGTGTTTTTATTCTGCTTTCATTAGCGGTCCAATGAGAAGGATAGAATAACCGCGACTGGCAATCTGCTCCATAAACACAGAACAGCGATAAACGATGAAAAGTAAGCTTAAGGAGCGTATCGCCTTTCCTTGCAGGAATGGCAAACATCCTACACGGCCCAAGGCAAGACGCATACATTCAATCAAACCGGCGAGCGACAAGTCAAACTATTCGTGCAAAGACATTTTGATCAAAGCATCAGGTCACTTCATGTTGCGCTTATGGTTTGACCGCCTGTATAAAGTGAGATACCGGATTGTGAGCCTGTCTGCTTGTAGCGTACAATTTAAATAAAGTGCAATACCAGGTATACAAGTCTGTGTAATGCACAGTACTATGGTCTGCTTCTCTTCGGACGCAATCTCACCTGACTGGCTTCTCCGCGCGGCCAGCAGCCGCTCAGTGTGGGGACAGAGGGGCGTGCCGTGTACCGCTGCCGTCTCCCAACTGATCGGTACCGGGTACAGGCCGTCCGCAGGGGCGTCCGGCAGCTCCCCCTCCGACTGCGCGTCAGCAGAGGACTGCCGAGACTCGGGCCGAGACGGGCTCTCCGCTCCCCGACACTCCTGTGATCTGACCGACTTCTTCGGTAAACCCTTCTGAGGCGTCTTGGGGCGAACGTCGGACTCAGTTGGAAGGTTCGCAGACCCAGTAGGCGACTCGCACTTCTGAGCCTCCCGAGCCGCCGGACAGTCTTTGGAGGAATCTTTCGTGTCGTCCGATTTCTCCGCGTCTCGAGAGTCCTCTCCATCTTTATCCCTGTTTTGTTGTTTCTCCTTGCTGGAGGCGGTATCCTGCATCAGCAGCGCGTGGTTGGCCATCGGTGCCAGCAGTGAGCAGATCAGCTCCACCGTCTCCGGAGATATGCGAATGCTCTGTCGGCCAGACGAGAGGAGCGCCGTGACAGTGGGTTGGTGCATCATTCACTCCAGCGATCAGGGTTCAGAACGGTAAATGCAAGAACAGCTATTGCAGATGGTTGAGATACCGCAAAGATAACCGATATCTACGAATTAAAATTAAAGCATGATAGTTGAGAAATACACCGGAAAGGTCTCCTTCTCATATGATCTTGAGAAACATGCAGAGTTGGAAATGCAATAGGGCTAGTGATTGCAACACAGTATTGGAAGCTCGACAAATATGTCGAGCAACCAAATTGTTACTTAATCTTGTTTATGTATTTCGCCATAGCCGGACACCAAGATAAGGTTCAATGAATTTTGGAAATGCAACGCAATAACACGTCAATGGCGCAAACGTCGGGGGTTCTGGAAAGATAGTCACAGGTAGTGCCCGCAAAGAATTCTGTGAATAAACAATAGGTAACCTTTCTGCACGGCTTTGTAAACAAATTGCACCCATAGCTGGCAGACCTCATAAAAATAGGTTTTAAAACATTCATTATTCAGCTGCCAGCACTACCATAAAAAGAGCACATGTTTGGCGACTGTTGTGTTCATAATTCTTCATTTTCTAGCAGGTCTTGCATTTCATTGAATTTACAGCATGTTATACATATATCACGATGAGCACGCTACAAAAGCTTCCATCCAACCTCATGGAAGCCTTATGTCACGAAACAATTTGCAAAGGAGCTCCGCTAGTTGGGCAGGCATCGTTATTTCGGAATGGTGCCCATGATATTTGGGCTCGCCCATGTCATTTATGATCGGAGAAGGGTCTCGTTTGGAAATGGGCCAAATGTTTGGGACAGCCGATGTCATATACGAACGGGATCGACCCTCTTGATCAGATTGCATGGCAGTTTGTTCAGCCACGGCGGCCACTGGTGACCCTGAGATGTCGTCGAGGCAACAGGGACTGGTGGACAGCTTAATGAGAAACTAGGAAAGGCGAATCACCGAAGCTTATTCAAAGGTAATCACATGGATGACCACGAGGCGATTCCAGGGGACGGAAAGAATCGATCAGGTCACTGGGCTAGGCCATTGATGATAAATAAATAAATAAATAAATAAATAAATAAATAAATAAATAAATAAATAAATAAATAAATAAATAAATAAATAAATAAATAAATAAATAAACTTTCTTTGCAAATCTTCAGATATGCTTCATCACACGGTGAAGTCGCACATGGTGAAGTTGTTAAGTTAGAAACTCTGCGCGGAAAAATCGAGCCCTGCCATGCGCCCCTGCATCGCTTCCTGTTCAATCGTTCATCGAGCTAACGGTCAACAGTGAGCAGCATACCATCGGCTCACGTCTCACACATCGCCGGTCGTCGGGCTGTCGTTCCAATGTGGGGCGGTATCGGCCGCTTAGTTCAACCCTCTCGGCAATCGGTCAACAGACTGTGTGTGGACACCGCACCGACCCACTTTCTGACCATCGCGCAAACTGTGAATAACCCGATACTGACTCTGGTGTTATGGGGTGCACCAGCAACGAGGCTTTATCGGACACTGACTCACGATAGCAGAAATAACAGCAGGCACTTGTTACCACAATGACTTCTGGGACCACGAGAATCCCAGAATCACAGATCCGAGAAAAAAACAGTCACAAGTTCACAGGTGCGCACACTGCGTGGTTGTTTGTATGAGTTTGGGGGCGGAGGAATGGCAGGCACACGCAGGCAGTAGCCACACGGTTCGTCAGCGCACCGAGGGCAACAAGTCGTGATTTACATAAGACCGTGTACTGCTGACAAAAGGTCCGTTCCATGCATGACGCGGTCAGGTTCAACGGCGGAAGGCGTCGAAGGCCCCAGTTTTGAAAATGTCTCGGATCCTCCGAATGCTACTCGATTGCTGCTCGATTGGACTCACTACAGAGGTTGGACCGTCAGAGGCATTTAGACAATCGAATGAACCGGGTAGCCGACGTAGCTGTACTATCAAGTGTTGGGTTGAACAGAGCACCCATCAGCTAACATCAAACCCCTCACAATCGGCGTATTTCTGGGTGTCCTCTTGCCTGAGTGAGTGTGTATGACAATTATCAATACAATTATCTTTCTGTATCTTCATGCCTTTGTGTTTGTGAGTCCGGCTATCTCTGTACATATCTATGTTAGTGTCTGCATGTTGTGTGCCTGGTGTATCCGCGTCTACGTTTCATTGTGCCTGTGTGTCCGTACTCCGTATATCTGTGTTTGTGTCTGCTCGTCCCTGTGTATCCACACCTACGCCTGTGTTTGTGTGTTTCTTTGTCTGTACAACTGCGCATCTCCCCACAAGTGATTCTGTCTCTGTGTAACCGCCACCTACCGCGGAGGGTAGTGCGTTGATGACGTGTAGAATCATCCATCCCCTGCCGGCCACCATGTAGCGCAGCACGGCCCCCAGCTCGGACTCTGGCCTCTCGCCGAGCGCCCCGCCGCCGGCCAGCTGCACGCTACACGCCTCGTGCACGTCCCGCTGGAACTGGTAGATGAGGCCCTGCACGAGGCGAGACACGCACCTGAAAAAACGGGACACGACGGCAAGTTAGAGAGTCTCAGAGGGCGGGCTGAGTGATAAAGAAGGGGAGGGAGAGCGCTGGAGGACAGGGAGTGGGGGTGCCAAAGAAGAGAAAGAGAAAGAGAAAGAGAGAAAGAGCCAGAGAGAGAGAAAGAACTAGAGAGAGAGGGGAGGGAGAGGGAGAGGGAGAGGGAGAGGGAGAGGGAGAGGGAGAGGGAGAGGGAGAGGGAGAGGGAGAGGGAGAGGGAGAGGGAGAGGGAGAGGGAGAGGGAGAGGGAGAGGGAGAGGGAGAGGGAGAGGGAGAGGGAGAGGGAGAGGGAGAGGGAGAGGGAGAGGGAGAGGGTGAGGGAGAGAGGGGAGAGAGAGAGAGAGAGAGAGAGAGAGAGAGAGAGAGAGAGAGAGAGAGAGAGAGAGAGAGAGAGAGAGAGAGAGAGAGAGAGAGAGAGAGAGAGAGAGAGAGAGAGAGAGAGAGTACGGTATCTTACCCACTTCCCTTGTCAGGCCACCGCCCCCAAATTAACCCACATAAACAACGCACGATATTAATTGTGGGGTTCACAACGACCAATTATAAACTTCTTACAGAACAGGGCGAGTGCCAATCGCGACATCAGCATAGGAATCTTGCCATCAGCAACACTGAACAATAGTCGAGCCAACTGTCATCCAGTCTATCCAGTCTGACCGGCAGTCTCCGACCGGTCTGATTGGGGAAACGGCACTGCGACCCGGCCAGTGCGACCGGAAGATAACACTCCTCCAAACTTTATCAGTTTGGCCAATGTTTCGGTCGCCGAGCGCTGCCAAAACTCAGAGCGAGTCGCCAACGCAAGGCGCAGAAAGATGGCAACGTCATAATATAAAACGGAATATCGTCGACGAGTGCCAGTGAAGCCCACGAGCTCTCTCATTTTAAAAAATAGGGTAGTGAGCCTAAAATGAGTATACGCAAAAAAAAATGAGTATAGTTTTGGAAAATGTGCATTACGCCAAAGTTATTTTGAACAAAAATAAGAAAAAAATACACAGTGCGTCCGAAGGTCTACTGCAACAGTTGCAAATACGTCCATCGCCAAATGTCAAGCAACTTTGGTCTGAAAAATGATTGAATGCTTTTTTCAAAAATGTCACAAAAAGTACATGCTAAAAAGTGAAGCCTGGGCCCTGTTCATGAAGTCTGCGGTCGCTGCGGCCGGCCGCAGGTTCTAAGCCCCGCCCATTTTTGAAACGTCATCACTCACTCGGCCGCAGCAGCGTTCCATGAACAGCGTCTGCTGCCGAAATAGTTTCCGATAATTCTTTACGACTGACGCACACCGCTAGATAATTTGTTTACAAAATCGTCTCCATGACAACACGGCTTGCGCCTATTTGACTTCGGTGCGCCAAGTTCAGTGCAATTAGTTTTCTTGCGGCTCGGCGGTCGCTGGATTGCGGCCGCAGAGATCGCAGCGGCCGCAGCAAGGTGACGTCATACATTCGTCATACTACATGAGCCCCGCCCCTTTTCGTGACGTAACAACCCGGCTGACCGCAGCGGCCGCAGCGGCCGCAGCGACCGCCGGGGTTCATGAACAGGGCCCTGGTGAAAATATGTGCACTGCTGAAATAATTCTACCTTTTCAGCTGTTTGTCTCATGCACTGAGCTTGCTGGCAGCCGTAAAAAATAATCGAAAATTCGAAAGCGTAATGCAAAAATTTTAGCATTTGTAAATTTCTATAAAATGAGTATAGTTCCACAAAGTGTTGCAAAAAATGAGTATAGTATGAAAAGTGTGAATTTGAGCATGGCTACTCCACCGCCTGCTAAATATCGCCTCCAAAGACATTTCCGGGATTATTTTGGTTATGATTACGATCTACCGGCCATCTTCGATGGCCACAATGACTGACGCTGCAGCGTATTTGTAAGCGCGATACGGTAAGCGTTGGAACTCGTTTCGGTCGATTCTCATTTGCTTGAGCTTCAGTCACCGATCTTTTTTTTTTTCTTTTTCATTTTCCTTTATTTTTTATTATTATTTTATTTTTGTATAGTTAAGCGGTGACATTAATTGCTTTATCTACTCCTGGCCATTTTGGCGAAATACCGTACAACCGGATGTGACGTCATGTGATCTGCGACCACCAGTGCCCTCTCCCCCAATCGGGAGTCACCGGAAATGGCACTGTGACCTGTCACGTGACCAGCACCGGCTCGACCAATCAGGAGGCGTTTCCGGCGACAGAGGTGACTCCGAGGGTCGGCTGAGCTTTTCGCGTCCTTTTTGCACTGATCGTCGTCTCGTGCGCGTGTCCTGCTGGCATACGGCAAAAACTGGTGAGTTTTGAATGGCATTAGTCTTGGATTCTCCTTCAGTGATAATTTGTTGTGTATTGCTTACAATCTGATTTCAACTTAAAAAAAAAATTATATCAGGTAATCATTCTGGTTTGTAGCGGTTCGCAATTTAGTATGCCCTCAGAACTCTTGATATATTGGGTAATGTTTGGTCATACGGGACCTGCTGAAGGACCTGCCGACCTGAGCTGCGGGCCTCTGCCTGCCGAGTATCGTCGTCACTGATTCAAAAGCACTGGTGTAAACGCGCACATTCCTGGCACGAATTATTAAACAATGACCTCTTTTTTGTCAGGTGGCACCAATCGTCATGCCGAAATACACGGAGGAAGATCTGGGCAGAGCGAAGAAGCTCGTCGCGGATGGATTCACCGTCTACAAGGCAGCCAAGGACACCGGCGTGCCGTACGAGACGCTCCGCCGTCACATCTTCGGCATCAACGTCACCGGCTCCACTGGCTCTGGGCGACCGACGGTGCTGACGAGGACCGAAGAGGACAAGCTGGTGGAAATCCTCGCTTACCTCGCCCGCCAAGCATTTCCACTGGACACCAGTGACATCTGCGATCTGGTCCAGCAGTTCCTGAACAACCTCGGCAGAGAGACGCAGTGGAAGGACAACAGGCCCACCCGCTTCTGGCTGTCACGTTTCAAGGCTCGTCACGCCGGTGTCCTCGCGTCGCGCAAACCGGAGATCCTCACCATCACTCGTGCCAAGTCTCTGACAGAGGAAATAGTTGGCGCCTTCTTCTCCATGTACAACGGGGTGCTCGTCGACCTGGGACTCGAGGACAAGCCGGACATCTACAACCTCGATGAGACGGGACTCTCGACCGATCCGCGCTCGACAAGGGTCATCGTCCCCAGCAAGTCCCGTGACGCCTACCTGAAGACGGCCAGCTGTGGTAAGGCGACATACAGCGTCCTCTTCTGCGTGAACGCCACTGGAAACTACTTCCCACCCTTCGTCGTCTACAAGGCCAAACGTGAGCCCTTTGACTCGTGGATGCGTGGCGGACCGCCAGGAACGGCCTATGGGACGACACCGTCAGGCTGGATGGAGGGCAACATATTCGAGAGCTGGTTCCAGACCATCTTCGTCCCAGAGATCACCAAGAAGCATGATGGTCAGCCCACAGTGCTCGTCTATGACGGTCACGGATCCCACATGACGTATCGGACAGCAGCGCTTGCGAAGGACAACAACATCACGGTGGTATGTCTTCCGCCACACACCAGTCACGCCATCCAGCCTCTCGACGTCGCCGTGTTCAAGCCGGTCAAGGTCGCCTGGGCGCAAATCCTGAAGCGGTGGCAGCGTGAGTCACGACTCGTCGCTGTCGACAAGTCGGTGTTCCCGACTCTCATCTCCCAGCTGTGGAAGGAACTGGATCCGGTCCACGCCGTGGCCGGATTCCGCGGCTCGGGTCTGTTCCCAGTCGACGCTGAGAAGGTTCGCAGCCGGATGGTGGGACCCGGGAGCACGTCACGTGATGACATCCCGTCACCTGATGAGGCGCTCCAGGATGCTGTGCTCAGTGTTCTCAGTCCGGAACAGTCAAGTGAGACGAAGGCGGCCCTGGCCAACAAGACGAAACGCCGCAGCCGAGTTCAAAACAAGAGCGGCGAGGTCTTGACGTCAGAGTCTTCTCTGCAGAGGCTCGAGCTGGAGGCGGCGAAGCGCGCAGAGAAAGGGAAGAAGTCTCCGTCGTCACAGCAGGACAGGAAACTCTCCAAGAAACGCGAAGAGAAGGGAAAGAAGCGGTCTTCGTCGCACAAGATCGAGAAGCCATCCGCGAAGCGAAAAGTGACCAAACTGACGACTCGATCGAAGTAGAGGGGGTAAAGCTCACGCAGGTTTTTGGAAATGTGGCGGTGCCCGTTCGCCACGCCACTGTGACCGTGGTTGGTGTTGTGGCCATTGTCGGTTGTGTTTGTTGTTGTCTGCTCAAGTCATCTATGTGTCTTAATAAATTGAAACGACCGGTAATACATTTTCTTGATTTTTTTTTACATTTCAATACTTATATTGTTAGCAACACCGATTTCATATCCACGTTCCAGGCGAATTTCAGCGTCGCAAATCCAGCAGATTAGGCACAATAGAGCGTTGAAACAACTGTACTCATTTTTTGCGAAGGAGCAAAAAATGAGTATAGCCGACATTGGTCAGAAGATGCAATTATTACAGAACAACCGCTCGTCTGACACCGTTGTGCCACATAGGACGTCGTAGTCAGAACACGTAATGTCAATGTCCCATATAGCCATTATTCACACCCTTTCTAGTTTTGAATATATTTAACTGATAATGTAAAACTATACTCATTTTAGGCTCACTACCCTACCAATTATGCTAAAATTTGAGTGCTTTGCATAGAAAGGTTACGTGTTCGAGATGACAGGCTATGGTCGGCATACCAGGAAATATTGGTACGGCAGCCATCCGCAAATAGAAACTTGGCTAGCGTGAGCTCTCTCAAAGCGCGGTATACTTGTACGTTATGAAGAAAAACTTACGTCAACTTACGTAGTAAAGATTTGAAAAGAAATGTGCGACTAAAGACTGGTGTAAATAAAATAGAAGAAAAACGCCCAGGTGCTGGGATTTCACTGTTGCGGGGTGTTTACAGCTCCCGACATATTCCGGCGACATTTGTGAAAACATCCGAGGTTTACGCAACACTAGGCGAGCGCTGGTAGACGAGGAAATATACAATGAACGTAAACTTTATTACGACGCATTCAGTCTTTCCTGCAGTGGCTATTGGTCCAAGAACACGTATGTGAATTCGTAAAGAAACGAAAGGAATCTGAAGGCTACAGCTATGCACGTAACATAAGTGTTTGCGCAGCTCTACCGGGTGGCCCAGAAAAAACGTTCCGAACTTTGGAGGCCTATGTATCAAATTCGAGTACAAATAACGAGCCAAAATTTTCATCAAGTTTGTGTCATTTCTTTGCGCATTGATATGCCAAATTATAACACTATACCATTATTTTCAAGCTGGCAATCTTGAGTTGAATTAAGCAAGACGTTTTTGCTTTTTTTTTGCCGATGTCAAACGATAGTGATAATTGGGTTAGACCGTTTCATGTTATAAAAAAAGAATAAAAAATAGAGCACGTGAATGAAACCAACACGTATGTTCTTAATTTAAATATTTTTGTCTCACTTATGAGCCAAATATTCAAATACTGATCCAAAATGGTGCTCATGGATGCCATTCGTTTCAACACCAAATCATGTTTCGAGCAGGAGTGGCACGGTGCATGGATTACTGCTGATTACGTTCCTTTCAGTAGATCAAACAGTAAATCGACCGGAGAAGGAAAACAAACTAAAGCAGGCTGGTTCCTGTGCCAGAAGACCACAGAATAGGAAGCTTATGAAAAACAACATTGCCAGCAGATGACAAAAAAACTGGTTGAAAAGCTACCCTTTCCCAGGAATGTCAGCCAGGAAAGCATTTGAGCCACAAGATGGTTAGAAAACTGGAAACTTCTTCCGATGCCGCTGGCACAGAGCCATCGTGGTTGCCTGAGGGAATGTGTCATCCTGAGACCCGAACCATCAATGAGACTAGCTGCCAGTAGAAGTCATGGCTCTAGGCCGCGGTGCCGCTGGGTGAAAGTGACCCGTTCAGTCACATTTTGTAGTAAACATCGGAGCAAAAAAGTAATTTTTACATGGCATGCTTGAAACACGAACCGTTTAAAAAGTAATTTACCGAACACCATGAAAATCACACCATTTACTGAAAATGTGTGCCGCATTGACTATTCGAAGTTTCAATGTTGTATCTTTATCACTTTCTAAGAAATCTTGATTTAAAGTTGGGAACGTTTTTTTCTGGGCCACCCGGTATATTAGGTGTGCAGTCAGTTAGCGCACACGACTCTCTATGTACAACACCCATAAACCCACCGTAATACGGCGGCGCACAGTGGCTTATATGGATGTACGGTTATACAAAGATATGGGAACTAATTGTGGCCTCACTGATTTTAGTTGTCGGACTTTCGTCCCCGTATTGAGTTGAGATGTTAGTTTCACGACGTTTCACAATGGGGACGAAAGTCCGACAACTAACATCAGTGCTCTCTGGACTTAAACTTTCTCTTAACGTGTAAGACTTCTAACATCAGTGATACTAACACCTCGTCTCAAGCATTCCGAAATAATTGTGACCTGTTAAAAGTCACGTTGCATGGATGTGTCGTGGATGTCGTGGTTGCATGGATGTCACTTGGCATCCAATCGCTGACGGCAACGTGCGGTCACTGGTCAGTATGACTATGAGCTGATGGCACGGTGGGTCGAGATCTCAGACGGCAGGTAGACTAACGACGGTGATAGATCATGCTATATATTAACCCTCGCCCATGTAGGGGGGGGTTGGTGCAACCCCCCCCCCCCTGAGGTTTTTCGGAAATAGTGCAAAAACGGCGGCGCGCAGCGCCGCCAAATTTTGGGTACCTTATGGGGCAAACCTTGCGCATCTTTTGATGAAAAAAATTTGACCGGGTCATGTCAGGTCACGGAGTTATGACGTCACAAAGGGAACAGCCTCCGGCCGGATTTTCACAAACTGAGTGCCAACGCCCGAGGTTTCCTGCCGGTGGTACGGAGATCGGTTGATGGATCGTGATGAAACTTCCCATGCATGTTGGGGCAAGTATTGGCTATCATATGGTATAAGAAACTTGACCGGGTCAGATCAGGTCACGGAGCTATGACGTCACAAGAGGAACAGCGTCCGGTACTATTTTTGAAAAGCGCCCGAACCACTATTTTGCTAATTCTTGTCACCTCAATGGGAATATGCAGCAATATTAGCTTCTATAGGGAGCAAATGGACCTCTAAAATCCAAAAATACAATCAGATTTCAAAAATTTAAATTTTGATTTTTCGAATTTCTGCCGCCGACTGTGACCTTGCCGACTTCCGGCGCTCCCAACGCGCCATTTTTAGAGCTAGGGAAACGAAATACATACCAAACGATAGAGAATTGATCAAGGAACACGATAGTGAAGGTTTCAAGTCGATATCTCCCACCGTTTTGCCGCAATCGCCGCCGAAAGTTGAAAAAGTCTATTTTTCCGAAAATTTAACCTTTGACCGGTCAAAAGTAGGTCAAATGTTGACCTAGGACCAAAAAATATACCACCAATCGCGAGATTTCGGCGAGAGCAATCCGTTGGTCTTTTCCGCTAAGCTCTACGACGCTCCGTTTTCAAACGCCAAGGGGGGGTCGCACCAACCCCCCCCCCCCTGCATGGGCGAAGGTGGCAGATCGCCGTTTACGGGCGAGGGATAAGGCAACTAGCACGCACCTGGCGGGTACGACGGAGACAGGCTGGTGGCCCTGCTGCTCGCGGCACAGCAGGTAACAGAGCAGCGCGTCCAGCCACTGGCCGCCCTGCTGTGGACACAAACACAGCGGCATGGTCAGACGAAACGGACAGAGTTGAGCCAAAGACAGCAGGTACGACACTAGAGGCAGGGAGGAAGAGCCACATAAGCTATTAAGACCCTGCTCTGTCTGCCTTGATCACACATCATTTACGTTCCGCATTGATTGGCGTGTTAAACGTAATGCTACGTGCACTGCCGTCTGCCACTGAAGTATGTGTGAACTGTTTTTAGGGCCTTGGCGTGAACATCCGCACGATATGTTTGTGAATGGTGACGACCCGCGCTACTACAAATTCACAAAAACAAAACACTCCTGACAGATACCACTCAAAAACACGAGGCGTTCGGTTCCTGGGAACGTGGGTGCTTACAAGTGGAGTGTCGGACAAGCATCTGTTTGTCCTTCTGTTTGACACGGGTAGCGTGTACAAATTCAGTGGTGCGATTCGAACCAAAGCCCCGAGTGCCTGTTCCCGGAAATGTCGCCAAATATGTTATGTAACATTCAATAAAATATCCATTTATCCACACGTTCGTGTCTTGCCCACTTAAGTCTCGTATCACCCAACATCAGGTAAAGACGGACCCTTCCTTCTCACTATCAGCCTGGCATGTTCGCCTGACGGACGAGTGGGTCGGACTCGGGGTGGTCGATTCTGATCACCATTCGATTAGCATTGTTGACGGGCCGCTCGGCGCGATCGGCGCGATCGGTCGGTTGGCGGAGTCGGCGCCGGGGTCGTCTGCTCAGGGCAGGGTAGGGGCAGGGAGGGTCGGCAGGGACCGTACCCATCCAAACAAACGGCGCGGCGGCCGGACGCACCAGACCATGGCAGGGCAGCGATCTGCGTTAGTAACCGGCGAGGGGCTGTTTCCAATGGGCGCCCATCAGTCCCACGCAGACGGGCTAATGCTAACCGCGTGGGTGGACACTGGAAGGCAATCGACTGTGCCGTGGATGCGACGATCAGTAGCGTTTGTTGCAGCTAAGGAGCGCGAAGATAGCGGGGCCATTATCCACCTATTGCGCTCTAGGCTCATAATAAGCAAGCTTATAGAAATAACAAAATCCGCTTGATTTCATTCCACGTTTTTTAGATATACTTTCGTATTCATTCATTCATTAGGACTGTAACACATGCTTCTACTTCGCGCGTATGCTGCTGGAGGGCTACACAATGCCTGAAGTGCAATCCCCGTGAATTCATCCTCATCCATTAGGAACTCGACGGCAGAAGGCACCGTACTATTCGTCCGACACCGTACTATCGAATTTCACCTTCGGAATTTTGTTTGTAACGCACACAAACAAAACAATTCTGGATCGCGAGCTGGCCTTGCGAGTAGTCATTGACCCGCGGTAATTGTCGGATATTTTCCACACACGGACGGAGATCTCAGTTTATAAATAGAATCGACAGAGGGCGCATTCCTCACACTACGGTAGCTGAAAAAAACGTTCATGCCTCTCTTCAGTGGACATCTGTTGTTGACCTGATGATCTTTGAACTGTGATAAGCTGACTCAATGTCCTTAACACTAATATAGGTATTTCAGCTATGAAATGCTGATGGAAGAAAAATTTAAACAGACTTATAGTCCAAATCGATAAGATGGCAGAAAGAGACAGGCACTTACATATCGGCAGCACCAGACACAATGTCAATAAACAAGACAGCACCCAGGCGAAAATGGTTCAAAAGATCGAGACATAAGGAAGGTGCCACCTTCGCTAATTCCGCAACTGGCATGCCTACAGTCGCTCCCTCCCTTCCGTTACGAATCAAATAGTAAAAGGTCACTGAAGTGGCTTATCTCCTGAAGCGATAAAATGTATGCACCGTTCCAGTGCTCATCACGGCCCGTCATGGCAGTCCAGTGGTGCGGATCTCTGATGATCGAGCAGGGCCTCCGCTGGTCTGGTTGGCACGTGGCACGCACACGTGCATCGCCAGGGAGCCGTCAGCGGCCCCACGAACCGTGGCACCGTTTATACTTTATAGTGTCAGCAAGTGGGGATGGGATGGGTCGGGAACGGGATAGGACGGGACGGTACGGGGTGGGACAGGGCGGGACGGAATGGGACGGGACGGGATAGTACGGTACGGTACGGTAAAGTACGGCACGGGACGGTACGGTACGGGACGGGACAGTACGGTACAGGACGGGGACAGAGATGGGACAGTACGTTACGGGACGGAACCTGATCGGATGGGTCTCACTGTTTACTATCAGCATCCGGAGACCTTTGGTCGCCACACATAAACTGACCGAGAGAAGGATGTGATAGATTGATGCCAAAAGTGCGGCGCACTTTGTTTATCCCACCCAGAAATGTGATTATGTGTTCAATTGAATGTTAGTGGGACACGGCGCCCCGAATATGAGCGATTATGACAACCTGAGGTAGACGTGTGGCATAAAGATACACGGCATGGGAGATCACGGTGGAATTCCATGTTACTAGTGATTGGTTGACCGTTAAAACGTGTCTCTTAACCCGCGCCCTGCTGGGGGTCCTGGATTTCCACGCCCTGCTGGGGGGGGGGTGTTTGAACACCCCCCCCCCCCTTGTAACTCGGCTCCTGGGCCACGTAGCGATACGCGGAAGGCGGCGTTCGAAAGAGCGTAAAAAATAATGACGAAATCACTTCGGTCAATTTTTTGGTCAGGTCAAAGGTCAGGTCACCAGAGGTCATTGAAGGCAAAATTTCGCCGATTTCCAGGTCGAATGTCGATAATTTCCAAGAAGCCAACGCATAACTCGGGAACCAATAGAGCTACAGCGCCGCGGAAAAGCGCATTCGATAGCCCTATTAACGCCCTTTCTGAGTAATTCTCTCAGATTTGACCTAAGGTCAACGATTTTGCCTGCAGGGGGCAAAAACTGCAAAAATAGCCGATATTTTCGAAAACAGTTTTTCTGCAATAACTTTTGACCCAAGCCTTGTACGAGCTTACTTTTACCGGCATCGTGTTCCTCTCGTCAAGACGCATCGAATGAACTATAACTTGACCTTGAAAGGTCAACTTGAAAATTTGACCTCAGGTCAAGGTCATGACCTGACCGGAAAGGGTCATGTTGCATATCAGTCGATCCGTATCGTCGAGCTGAACACATCTAAGGCGTTTTCATCGCTCTAGCATGCCTCTATCAAAAGTTATTTGCGAAAAACTGTTAGATACCATCCGTGACCTAAGATGACCTCAGGGCATAAACAAGGGTCACGGACACCATTTTCAAGTTCAGTGTGTCTAAACCACTTGTAATTCGGTGTTTGGGAGTGTGTATAATGTCTTTCATCCAAAAGAGGCGCATTTAAATTTTCTCCCATTGACTTATAATGGGGAGGTCGCAAAATTGACCTGACCTTAGGTCATCGATATCAAAATTCTGAGATATACATTTTGTATATGCTATTGCTCTTAGCAATCGCTGAAAGTTTCAAAGCGATCGGTCACTCGGTGTAGCTATGACAGACATTGAAAGTTTTTATGAGGTGAGGTCACTTCAAGTGACCTGGTGACCTGACCTTGAATGACCTTGGTCTGAAATTTTCACAACATGTGTAGAATTGATGTATAATAAGGTGTACCAAAAACGGCGGCGCTCCGCGCCGCCGTTTTTGAGATATTCGCGAAAAACCACAAGGGGGGGGTGTTCAAACACCCCCCCCCCAGCAGGGCGCGGGTTAACGAGAGATGAGAACCACTCGGGAAACACTCCGAGAAACAAAATGGACTTTGGAATATCGCTTACGGAATATCTAAAAAGACAAGCCCCCACACAATGTAAAGAGCATGTGGATTGCATATTGTGTAAATACCACCACACTAGAGGGAATACGGATGGAATGTGTGCAAGGTAGCGCCTCCAGCGGCTTTGAGAACATAAGTATGCAGAGCGGGCTCGTCCGCGGCTGCTGCAGCGCAAGGCGATTATGTAACGTTGGTGCACTGGAGCCGCAGACGCCGATCATATTACATAAGTCCAGAAGTCGGTAGAGTCCATGGCTCTGATCCACCAGCATCTGCCCTGAGCCTGAAAACTGAGCCGCTTCGTGGGGATTCTGTACTGACCCGATACTTTTCGGCTCGTGAATTAATTAAAATTTATATAAGCAAATATAAGGAAAAGAATTCCATCGGAACTTAATAATGCGAACATCGATAGACCTGGGAAATACTGACGAAACCAGAACCCCATAGGTCTGACTGAATGATTAAAAAAAAAATGCATAAAATGCATTACATACTTTCGTTCTTGGGAACGGTTTAGGTGAACTTGAAGCATCTGTGTTGTTGGGGACATATTTTCATATTGGTCAGTGGCATGCCAAATGAATGCCAAACAGAACACAAGCCATGCCTTGGTGAGGAGATACCGGTTATCAGCTCGGATCGGGTTTACTACACTACACAGTCGCTGTCGCTAGGCGATCCTGAATGGCGACATTGAATGCAAACAAAACCATATGAGGTCGACGTTTATTCATTGAGATTCCTTTTGATTGAGACACGCCGCATTTGAATGGTACGTGGCATGGTGACCATTTTACCGACTACTTCGGCCTTATAAGGGTGATACTTAGCAACAATTGATCCGGCATTTGATTGATAAAGTACGTAAAACATTAAAGGGACTATCCCACCTTTAACATGGGGTTTGAGCTGAGATAGCCAAGTTTGCGGCGAGGTTCAGAAACCACTATCTATCTAGGTTGCAACCCCCGCGGCCTCTTGGTGTTGAAGAAATTCGTTCCCTTCATTTGAAAATGGGCCTTGTACAAAGCCCTATCTTCAACATGGAGCGACCGTTAGTGTGACGTCACCTCGTTTAGTCATTCTGATTTAAATGGGTTTGTTCGTTGAAAAATCGCTTAAAACTTGGTATGAACTTTGTTGAGGTGCCTACAGAGTAAAAAGAATCAGCTTTATGACAGTAATGTGGCCTGGGGAAGGAGGTAATTTTGGGCTGTGACGTCACATATTTGAAAGTTTGTGTTTGGAATATGGGAAGCCTAAGATGTTTAATGAAAAATAAATGCCAGAGCCGTGTTCCTGGTCATCCAATCTATAAAGTCGGGCACAATTTAACTGGTTTTAACAACATTTTAGAAGGTGGGATAGTCCCTTTAAGCTGACACGTAGGCGAGTTCGAATTTACTATAGATTGGCCAGAAATGATTCCGAAATGACGTCATGTTTGATGTTCGACCGATTCTATTGCAAAACATGGTTTTACGGTAATTGCTCTCAAGAACTCGTTTTTCGGCCCATCACTCGTCTGAGGAAATAGGTATACCCTAGACATAGGTACGTGGGTAAATTAAGCGCTCACTGCAAGTTTTAATTCATTCAGGCCCAATGTTTCAACTGACAGAATGATAGATATGAATCCTACGCTACGCCGGGCTTGTTGTGTAGGACCCGACAGCTGCCGTTCACTTGGGCGACTCCGGAATCGGTAGAATTGGGACGCTGCATATGACGTGCCCGTCGGAGTCGGATACATTCCATCCCACTTAACTGTTTTAAGGAGCTGCATTTAATTAGACATGTCAGGAGCCTCCAGTATCAAAGGTAAAAGAGACTCGAGCAAGAGCTCTCAACAGAGTGCAATGTTCTATGGACTGAGCTAAATGAAAGACAGCCATATGGGAAGGGAACCATAAAACCATCAGCATATACAATGTAATCAAGAACCAGATAACCACATTGCCATCATAACCCATCAAAACCACCCTCAACCCAAAACAACTTACTGTGCTGAAGACATTAGCTCCACAGAAGTGGTCCCAAAGGACCATAAATTCTATGTCAGTATCAGGCATCTGAAAATAAAAGTACATATCTTTATTATGTTGTGTGTCTTGGGCAGCAGAAACAGGTTACCTAAATGATTATGACCAAAATATGCCAAAACATATAAATGACTGATGTCATCATATGTGCCAGTCTTATAGTTTATAACATCCTCTATGATATCACATATAAATCAAAATTAACAGTTATGTAAGTTAGACAGCATGACAAAATTGCAAAAAGTCAAAACCTTTTCTGATGTTTGACTTAAAGCCTATTCTGAAAAGTCCCATGTTACTAAAATACAAAAATTAACATCTTTTTTGACCTTTTGACTTTTAAAGACCTAGCAGGAAGTACACACAACACAAAATCAAGGTGATTGGTGGCTGATGCAGAACAAAATATCTAATTTACCTTCTTTTACTGATGTGTTTAATTATGAGAAAATGTCACATTATCCTTCACAACGATGGCTGAAGTTTAACTAAGTGATTGTAACTAAGTGTCTTCAGTCTTGCAACCATATGCTTCGAATCTGTGAAAAGATAAGCATTGTAATTTGTGCACCAAAAACAAAACTAAGTAGTCTACAAGCCATAAGCACACAAACATAGCCCCAGCATACCCACAAATATGATCATTTTCAACAGTGCTGCACCAGCTCTGCAGTTCATTCAGTGCTGAGATGACATCTACTCTTCCCAAGCAGAATATACACTGCACCAAGGAATGCCATACTGATGACTGACACTGTCACACCACACTGTTATGTTATAAGGTTAAGACAGCACCAATTGAGCAGCTCAAGCTCAGCACAGAGTACAGACTACTTCTGTTTTAAATTCCTAATCATCTTGAACTAGACATATGTGTACCCTCTTTGCAATCCAAGCAGTTGCATGCCAAAACTCTACAGGTAGGTGTAAAGCAGGCATCACACTTATTTTTGTAACCAAGCCCCAAGGAGAGGTGTTACACCCAGAGAGGCTTTCTAATCAAACCAAACCAAACCAAACCAAACCAAACCAAACCTAACCAAACCTGACCTTAAAGGGACCCTCCCACCTTCAAAAAAGTTAATGAATTGGCATGAAAGTGATGTCGCTCGGTTCAGAAAGAGCAAAAACGAATATCTACCAAATTTTATCGAAAAATATTCACCGGTTTTCAAGATATTAGACTTTTACTTTTGTTTACTTTTTGGGATCTCCGCTGTTCCTAGCGACTTTATTTGAAAGTGCGGCATTTGTTGCGCGCAAAGCAGCATATACCACCAGGTGCTACAAAACGTTTTAGTCAAACATTTAACGGACGTTCGAAAGCCTGATAACGTCATCAGATTCCCGTAATTCCCGCCTTGGTGAAATTTCCCAAGGCTGCTCTTTGTTTACATTTTAGTGATGGGCCAAATTGGCCGCCCAAGTACTTGTTTTGCGTGAATAAGTACAATTTTGTCAATTTTGAAACGGCTATATCTCGCAAATTTTGGTACCGATTTACATTTTATGCATATATTTAGAATCGGCAGAGTCTGGGGAGTTCATTGATTGGAAATTTATGCCGATTCCTTTCAATTTTTAAACCCTGATAATCCCTTTAAGAGATAGGGACCACGCTGGTCCCACCCTGCAAGTAAAGGGAAGAAATTTCTTGAACACCATAAAGCTGCGGGGGTTGCGACCAGGATAAATGGTGGTTTCTGAGCCTGGCCGCAAACTTGGCTATCTCAACTCAAAACTAATGTTAAAGGAAATAGTGCACTTTCACGAAATTATTTTTTGCAACGATTTATGATTTTTTATGTTCAAAATAATCAGCAAAGAAAATAAAACCTTTTTATAACAAAAGATTTTTTTTTCTATATTTTGATATAGGAAGAACTTTTCAGTTTCTGTAAGGCACACGCGATCCAGTATGAAAAGAGCATGGGTCCCGAAAATTCTTCAGAAACAGAGAAATTATCGCAGCCACCGGCATTTGGGCGATCTGCTCGATCTGATAATGTTCCCCTGAATGTCCAAATTGATCAGTACGAGAATTTCTCTAGAGTTCTCGTAGATAATTTCTCTAGTTTCTGAAGAATTTTCGGGACCCATGCTCTTTTCATACTGGATGGAAATATATGCAAGGCACACATCCTAAACGCAAGACACCTTTTTCGGGACGAGAAATAGAATATCTTTGCCTAGGGTGATCGTTGGGCTGTAAAAGCTCCTGATTTATGCTCGTCTCAGCCCAAGCTACGGAACTGCTATTCCAGTTCAAAACCCATGTTAAAAAGTGAACTATTTCCTTTAAGGTGGGAGGGTCCCTTTAACTTGCCAGTTACCTACAGCCTACAAACTACAACCTACAGCCTACAACCTGGCCTACAGCGCCTCTCCTTGGTTGCAAAAAAAAAAACAAGTGTGTGGCCTGTTTTCCTACCTACTACCCAAAATTCTTTGCAATGCGGTAACCAGTCACAGGACATTCTGGTTCTGTCATACAAAGGTCACAGATGAAACCATATTTGCCACTGTTTTCTGTGCAACAACATAGGTATGTGGTTTTAGTTTTGCACTGCAGAATTGAGCATCAATAGACAATACGTATTAACGGCAGCATCAATAAATTTGAACACGAGCTAGTGAATATGAAATGCAAGCTTGCCACATAAGCTCTGCTCCGTTACTTATCAATATATATTATACATTATTAGGTAATAAGGCCTGGTCGGTCATAATGGGCGCCAGTGATTTTATCGGCTATCACCATCGAGCATGCGTGACAATTACAACCAAGCTTAACCTAGCTCATTTGCAAGATGCTGAATGTTCAAGATATAGGTACCTAAAGGTTGAATGCATAGACAATGTGAAATAAATGGCAGGTTTTCTTAAACCTATACCAATGCAAGAAGCATAGGAAAAACTTGGCAACCACAGTCCAATTCAACGCCTTGACTTCCATCACCAACCACACGTCTGCATCCGACACCAACACCACGCAAAGAATCTACGAGACTGGGCTCTATAGATGGCCTTGGACTGGGCACTGGTGTTTACATTACGGACCGTTGTTCAGTAATGGATCGCTGTGGCCGGTCGGGACTGGCCACAGCGGACCGTCCACCGCACGCAGCCGTGACGTCAGAACCGCCTACCCATCCCCTACCCCCACGCCTGCTGGACGCACCGCACACACCGCACGCAGCAGTGTGCGGTGCCCGTGAACACCCCTCTGCTTCTTCGCTGCCTACCATGATGTCGAAACCCGACCCCCACCGGACACGATTTGGTAGCCGAGGTCTGTGACGTCAGCCGGGCGTGAAGTTTTCCCTTCACCATAGGCTTCACACACAAACCGGCCGAAGTTCATGCCAGGATAGCCCGGCTTGAAAGTGCAAAAATGATTAAATTTTGCCCTCAATAGATTCATTGCTTCATTTTATAACTAAAAACGTCCGTTATTAGGACTCAATGAAGGTAAAAAGTACTCAAAATCGAAGTTCAAGAAGATGCTGTCCGAGCACAATCTGGTAACATCACGTGACCTCTTTTAAGCAAAATGTATATAATTCAAGGATGTTATTACACGATTGCTGCCTAAAACATCATAAATAATACGCTTGTAACATTTATTGCTTCTGTTTAAGTCATAACATTGCAAAACGCAAAGTTTATCATGGGAGTCACGTGACCAAAGGTATAGCATGGGTTGGGACAAGCACTCAAAGGATTTCAAGTTTTTTAATTAAATTTTATAAGTTTCATGATGAAATTGATAGAATGTATTTTTTCCGAATGAAATACAAATTTTCGTATGTAAAATATTTTTCTTATGGGCGAAATTCTCCATATAAGAAATGTCAGTGACGTCACCAGGGCTTTACGTGGGCTTTACTCAAAACATCGGACCTACCTGTTTCTTATAGGTATCTTGTCGAAACCTGTGTCAGAATTAATGACGTCTTTTGAAACAATACCACCAATGGTGATCTTCTACAACCTACTTCTTGCGTCATCAGCGACGCCTTTCTTAATTTTTCCCAGCCGTGATTGGTTGGAAGAAAAAAAGCAATATAAGAGCAAGATACGTTGAACAGCTCCACGTTCAACATTGCACTTTGGTAATGTGGCTTCTGCGTAGTTATTGTATTCATTTCGATGGCTACCAAATTAAAGGGAAATTTTTACCAATTCTCGATCGGGATAATCCAAGGGCAGCCCGCGTGATAAATAATGGGTGTACGATGCTCGGATATCACCGATTCATCTCATTGCTCCACCAGATTGACCATAACACTTCACTAACATTCTTGCAATTATTGCAAGTCACCAAATTCAGTACCCAATCCAAACAATTGAGGCGATGAAGCCCGCCGAGCGTCGAAGCTACCCTTTCTCCACATGAAGACGTCTGTCCGTCTGCTATCGGAAGCGAATTTTTTATACTATTTTGGCTTTTCGGGATACTGTCAGATCATGTATAATTGAATGAACGACAACAGCTCTAGCAGTGACTCCAGAAACGAGGTCTTGTGATGTGTGCCGCGTGAAACAGACTCAACTTGTGCTGATGTCGGCGTAATATGCTGCTGTCCGTGGGTTCCATCAAGCTTTGGCGAAATCAATCGCATGCTGACAATTAGGCACGGACAATTCTGTGTATTATCATGCAACAAACAATGCACTGTAGGGAACGGCTCAGCAGACCAGCAAAATGACAGATTGAGCATTTCCATATGCAGTTTCATCGATCGATCGCAATATCGAACGTCGCTTCACATAACCTCATCAATCACTCGCCACTGACAACAATAGCAACAGGACCTGCTACATCACAACGCAGATATAAAATGATGATAGCGGTCTGACACCATACATCCGATAGGATGTATGGGGCTGTCGGCTTCCAACAACAATCATATATTCGTAAATCGCGTCCCTGAGGTAGACGTATTAAATTAACTGCAAACATCTCTATGACACCTAATAACAGCAGCCAATAAGTACAAACAGGAAAAATGCTGGCCTATCGGTGGGAGCAGCCCAATCACTACCTTCCATTGCACCAATGTCAGACATAGCCGAACTACTAATAGCGTCCCCGAGGCTTCACCGGTCCGCCGTGGTTTGAATTGGTACTACCGGCGCCTCAGCGGTCACTCCGGGCTAGGGCACCCGCCACCTAATCTTTGACGATAAACTTTTAAAAGAACTTTAAAAGTAAGGCACTATTCGGATCGATGATGCCACACCGATCGATGGCGTGCCTTGAAGGATTGCACTGAACAAATTCTGAGGCACGCAACGCGGAACTGCCCTAAGATGAAGACAAAGCGAGCTACAGCTGTCGATCACCCATACTGTCTACGGCTCATGTCATCGAAATACGGTCAGGCTGCTCATCCGCGACTTGTTCCGATTACTGGCCGGAAAATCTTCAAAATTCACAGCACACACCCTCACCAATAATAATCCTAAAACATTCATTCATCCGTCATCCGAACATAAATAAAATTATGCAGCTTTAACAACAAGGGCAATGCCAGC